AGATGGAATGCCTCGTTTCCAGTAAAAAGGGTCTCCGGTTCTCTATACTCACCATACGAAACACAGCAGCATTAGGTTGCTATTTTACGCTGGTATTCTGTGAGAGTGTGGTCCTACCTCGGTCGAGCCGACCCACTCATGCTGCAAGCACAATATAGCTGCAGCGTTGCTCTTCCACGTTAAATCTTTTATAGGAGAGGGGGCAAACGAGCATGCGGCTCACCTGATGGTAAGTGACTACCGCCGCCCATGAACAGCTGCAGCACCAGGGGATTCGCAGATGCGCTGCCGGCTTGAAATACCTAACCTAACTAACTAAATGGCTCCCAATTACCATTTTCTGTAGAATTAGGGTGAAAGACGAGCACAATACCCACCTGATGATAAGTGGATGCTGTGGCTCATAGACATCTACATCTATCCCGATTAAGATTCAAAATACAGAAACGTTGTCACCCCGGAGAACCAAGATGAAATGGGTGGATGAATGGAATGCCCCGTTTCCAGTAAAAAGGGTCTCACACTCTCTATGCTCACCATACGTAACAGCAGCATGAAGCCACTATTTTACGCTGGTATTCTGTGATAATTTGTAGCACAACTATAAATTAGTTACTGCAAGGCTCTACTTTTTCGGAATTCTCATTTGTATATTCGAAAAAAAGAGCCCACGTTTACACGCTAATAATGTACTTTACATTTATGTATTTACCTGTAATTTCCTTCTCTTTTCAGTTTCAGGTGTGTGATGTAACACAAAAACATGGTTGTTTGTTGTTGGCGGCAAAAGAGAGATTGCTTTTTTTGTTATCGTAGGTATATTTGTAATTTACATATCTATTTAGAGAGTTACAGTTATATGTATGTTTTTTGTTATTAGTAAAAGTATTGTATGGTTTAATATTATCAAATATTATATCTTATAATCAACTATGATTACTATTTAATTCCACTTACATTAGGTATATAAGCGCTAGATAGAGTCATTGATTACTCCATCATCGTGTGATGACGGAGTAATCGAAGCCATTACGTCATTTCATTATCATGGTCATTAGTGGCGACTATGGTAAAGAATACGGATTGTAAATCCAACAATTTAGTTATGCATGGCGGAAAATTCCTAGATAATTGAATGGTGGATCAAACATAGAGAAAATATTGATGGAATTGAGAATTGTGTATCTGTCTGTCCACATTTCGGTAACATTGGTGAATTAAGACAAATATATTATTAGAGTAGTCGATATCAAATATGGAACTGGTAATTCTGGACGATTCTGTTAGATACTTGTGCGTACAGCTCTTCTTCTTCTTATAAGGAGAATTTGACTAAATCGTGCCACCTGGTAGGATCGACGATTGCGGTATGAGGAATATCCCATCTTAGCCTCTGCTTCCATTCGCCGGTCTGCGTATCTTAAGTTTGTTAAAAACGAGATGATACCCAAAATATATCGGAAGCCGTAAGATATTTTAGGCATATCGCATAGTCGCCTTTTTCGACACCCACGGGATGAAATGGGGAGATGAATACTCTAACGCCACGGCTACGCGATGACATACAGCTCACTGTCCTAAAATGTTAATTTATTTAGTGGTTAACCTACTAATTTGATTCAAGAGTAACAGGATAACCGAAGGTACAAAAATAATGTCATTTGATTAAGTTTAAATGAGTGCGACGGAGGTACAGCCGCTGTGATATATTTTTCTTGTGATAAATTTTAGGTGGTTTATGTAAGTACCTTTATAGTATACCATTATCGTTACTGTTACCGTTACCGTTACAGCCTATCGGAAGTCTATTGCTGAAATATGGCCTTCAACATAGATAGATTAAAATAGATATATTTTCCACAGTTGCCGCGCATGGCAACCGAGTTGGTAGCCGCAGATTTTTATTTTTAATTGTTATTAGGAAGATGCCGCTGACCAGCTCCTGGTTCATCTCCCTCTGTCACTTATTACGATTTGAGTAGTGATATATACGGCTAACTCTCCCTGGAGTTCTCCAAACGCGTGTTAATCGTGAATCCGGATGAAACCCAAACCGGGACTCATTGGGGAACAGACACCAAACGTCACTCCATGGTAAATGCTTCCGAGCCCACGAAAGCCGCCGACCGCGATTGCCACGTTAAAATGCCGGAACACGTAGGGGTCTTCGAGCATGAAGACCAACTTCATACAACCTCCTTCGCACGGTTTGGTCGCTTACCAGCAGCTGATGGTCCTCCTGGAGCTTTTTTTATAGGATGAGGCATCGACCACTAATAAAAAACTTCGTTCTTTATTAGTGATCGATGGGATGAGGTGAAAAACAAGCACACAGTTCACCTGATAGTAAGTGGATGCTGTGGCCCATAGACATCTGCATCTATCCCTGGTTAAGAATCAAAATGCAGAGGCGTTATCACCCTTGAGGACTAAGATGGAATGCCTCGATTCCAGTGAAAAGGGTCTCCGGTTCTCTACTCTCACAATACGAAACACAGCAGCATTGAGTTGCTATTTTACGTTGATATTATGTCAGAGCGTGGTCCTTCATCGGTCGAGCAGACCCATTCATGCATGCTACAACCATAATATCTGCAGCGTGGCTCTACCAAATATAAAAGTATTAGCAGTAGTTGCATTGCTGTGATATTGTCTTCTGGCGGTCATTTGGAGAATCGATCTTGTCTCCGCGTAGTAACACGATATCTACCCGTGTCCCGTTCAGCCACATCCCCAGTACTGCGATAACGTGACCACAACTTTGATATCACGTTTTGGCTGGTCAGTACGGCCTCAGTACTCACATCACCACCGTAAGTAGACAACCACACTATTGAAGGCTTAGTGATGGTAGAAGAATATCTTTTACCTTTATGGTATAAATTCAGTTTATATACGGCACTGACATCTCATTTCTAAGAAAGTTATAAGGCTGAGTCCGCTGTACTGATCTAGTGCTCAACTAAGCTAATGGACTTAATGGACTTTACATGTTCTCTTTATATTTTTTTCTTCAGGTATGTAGGTTTCCTGAGAATGTATATCTACACCGAGGTGCACGTGGTTAATTTTATACGTGGTAGAGCCATGCTGCAGTTATATTAGTAGTATAGTTGTAGCACAAATGGGTCGGCTCGATCGGGGAAGGACCACGCTCTCACAGAATACCACCGTAAAATTGTAACTTAATATTGCTGTGTTTGGTTTGGTGAGTGTAGATAGCCAGAGACCCTTTTTACTGGAAACGAGGCATTCCATCTCAGTCCTCACGGGTGACAACGCATATTGATTCGTAATCGTAGATGTTTATTGGCCACAGCAACCACTTGCCGTCAGGCGAGAATGGAATTACAGCGGAGCTTCTGAAAGCGGGCAGAAAACCGATGCTTAAAGTCCTTCAGAAGCTCTGCAACTCCGTCCTCCAAGGTGACACTACTCCAGATGCGTGGAGCAGAAGTGCGGTGGTCTTGTTCTTCAAGAAAGGCGACAACGCTTTCTTGAAGTTTCTGTCTTTGAAGTCATTATGAATTGTCGCATATGCAGACTCGACGACTTGCAGCCACCCGAACAAGCCAGTTTCCGAAAAGGCTTTACACCATAGACCACATACATATACTTCGGCAAATTGTACAGAATTCCGAAGAATACAATCTTCCACTTTGTCTTGCGTATGTGGACTATGAGAAAGCCTTTGATTCCGTCGAAATTTGGGCGGTGCTGCAGTCCCTTCAGCGGTGCCAAGTTGATGGTCGGTATATTGAAGTGCTGAAGTATTTATACAGTAGGGCTACGATGGCTATCTGAGTATAGATCCAGAGTACGAAACCTATCCAACTGCAGAGAGGTGTAAGATAGGGTGACGTACTATGCCCGAAACTCTTCACCGCTGCGTTGGAAAACGTTTACAAATTACTGAACTGGAAAGGATACGGTATTAACGTCAATGGCGAGTACATCACTCGCCTTCGACTTTCCGACGATATAGTCCTTATGGCAGAGTCGCTGGAGAATCTAAGCACTATGCTCAACGACCTCAATAGTGTCTTCTAACGGATCTCTCGGTCTTATGATGAAAACAAAAGTCGTGTGTAATGTCCATGTCACACCTATATCGGTAGATGTTAGAAGCAATAAGCTCGAAGTTGTTGATGAGTATGTTTACCTGGGACAAATAGTCCAACTAGGTAAGTCCAACTTCGACCGAGAGGTCAACCGACAGATTCAATTCGGCTGGGCAGCGTTCGGAAGATTACGATGCATCTTCTCGCTAGGCGTACCTCAAAACCTCAAAACTATATTGTACAACCAGTACATGTTGCCAGCCAGTGATGACATGGATCTGAGATGTGGTCATTCACTACTCGCCGTATGAGGAAGCTCTTAGTCGCTCAGCGAGCTATGGAAGGCTATGCTCGGGGTTTCTCTGCGTAATAAACTTAGGATTGAGGATATTCACAGTAGAACCAGAGTGACGCATAGCCCAATGGATTAGTAAGCTGAAGTGGCAATGGATTGGCCATATAGCTCGAAGAACCGACAACTGATGGGGAAGAAAGGTTCTCGAGTGGCAGCCTCGGACCGGCAGGCCAAGCGTAGGGCATCCCCCCACTAGATTGAGTGACGACCTGGTAAGACATGCAGAAAGTGGATGGATGCAAATGGTTCAGGATGGTGCTTTGTGGCATTCCTTGAGGGAGACCTTAGGCGGAGACTAGCCATTTGCTTGTGTGTGCCAAGTGCTCGAGTGTATGTGTATGCGTAGGAATACTCTATTCTCTCACTCTCATAGTCCGATGGGTCGACAATCCAACACGATCGGAGAGCGATCATGTGCAGGACCATCGGCTTTGCGTGCTTTCCGAGGCTACCTGACACCGGGATTCTTCTGTATAAAACATTTCTATCTATTTATACAAGTGTAAATTACGAGTAAACAGTATTTTAAGTACCGTGATTGGCAGAAGTTATTTTTTTTTGTTTATACAGCGTCTGTACCCACCATGGCCCCGCTCTCTTTGAAGATCGTTCAGGGTGGCGGAGCCATCACGAGGACGGTGTTGTTTGATTCGACCATGAGAGTCAGTGAGGCTCACGAGATTGTGAAGGAGAAGGTGCTTCTAGATAATCCTGGAAAAGGTAAGTTATGACTTGTGAAAATGGGTTTGACTGGTGGCCAACTTTCGATATGAGTCAAATGTGTGTTCCTACTAAAATCAGTCCACATCAACATTTTGAGCTCATGACAGTCTGCTACTCACCTCTGTCAAAGTACGTCATTTTGCTAGATTCCAATTGCTGCCGAACTATGACTATGGTTCTCCGGTCAAGACTATGATTCTCCGGTTGATGGTTGTATTTTGGAATCTAATCTTTTAGAGAACCTTCGAACCATAAGCTCTTTACATAGGTCTTACCGATTTTGAGCTTTTATTTGGTTTGTCTAATATGCGTTATTTTTATAGAGTATGGGCTCTTTCTAACGTCAGCCGATGATGAACTCTCTGGAGTGTGGCTGGAAGGTCACCGAACTTTAGACTACTATATGCTTCGTGATGGGGATTCCCTGCAGTACCTCTGCAGAACACGAAACCTCAGGGTCAGAATGTTGGACGGTAAGTTACATTCATAGAATACTATAAAACAAAATATTCTATGGTTACACCTACGTGTAATTCTCACTCTATATTTATCATAATAGCTACATAAACGTACGTACGTTGTCTCATTTTATGTTATTGTTGCGCGCCTAAGTTGACATCATGTACCCGGCACTAGCACCATCTAGTGTCGGGGACCAGAGCGAGGAGGGCTTCCTAGAAAATGTCAATCTTGACTTTCGACCAACAACGCCATTTAGTATCGAACAGAAGAATTAAGCTTTCTGGAAGCCCCACACTCGAACTTTCTGCGCCTGGTCGGTTGGCGCCCGTATTTACTTGAATATTCTGGATGTTTCGGTGAAAAATGTGTATTTAAAGGCGCTGCATGCCGCGATCGGGGCAGTATTGAATTTGGCGAGACAAGCGAAGCTTCGGAGCGAAATAAAGTGAATCAGTGTGATTAATTATTAGTGTCTTTTAAGTTTTAATTAGTGTAAAGTGAATTAAAGTGTTAATTTTGGTAATTCTATCGGCAGTTTTTATTGTCACGAACCTCAAGCTCGTTACATTATTTTAGTGTGATTAATTTTGCTTCATGATACAAGAGTCTTTGAATACTTCTCCAACTGTCACCGAGTTATCATTAAAATAGAACGTATTTAAAAGAATCTAGAACCTGTTTTAAGGAATCTAGATTTGAAAAAATATTACACAAGATATTGTAGTATATTGCAAAACCCTTGATATAAAGAAAACCTATTATACTATACTAAAAAGATTTATAGGGGGTTTTCTTAACAGTTATTGCGTCTATAACAGATTTAATTGCACCTCATCTTGCATCTATTTTTAATACTAGTATCATAATATAGTAATAATAATGAAACATAGTAAAGTATGCAATACCTTTATTTTAATCTGGTAGTACCTTGAACTCCGCCAATTTTAAATCTAATTCTAGACAATCATGATAAAGTATTATTTATATACCTCTTTAATTTTCAAACTCAAACGGCAGTAAATTGATTATGACGATGTAAATAATGCTCTATTGAAATTAGTACATTGGTTAAACGTCAACAATTTGCTCTTAAACGCCAATAAGACTAAATGTATTAAATTTACAATATCTAATGTTAAACATTCGAATACCAATGTGCTTTTAAATTTTGAGGAGTTGAGTCTTCTAGATGCCACCGTTTTCTTATTGACGCGAAGCTTCAATAGGGAATTTCAAACTCTATTACATCTAATTTAGCAAGCACACTTGGTTCTGCAGCATATGCTATAAGAAAGATTAGAAGTCTCACCAATGTTGAGATAGCTAGGTTAGTTTATTTTAGTTACTTTCATAGCGTAATGTTTTATGGAATTTTGCTATGGGGTTAATGCAAATGACATTTAAGCCATGTTTTTTTTGCAAAAGAGAGCCGTACGGGCGATTGGTAACTTAAATTATAAAGAGTCGCTCAGAGAAAATTTTAAACAAATAAACATATTAAATTTAGCATCGTAACATATTGATGAAATCCTCTTTGCCTCTAGTGCTTACGGAAAGCAGACGTGTTTGTGAAATAGCATAAAATATTAAAATTTTAACATTAGTTTGACAGTTAAAAGTGACCCTTACGCTCATATTTCTAAAGTCTGATTACTTAAAAAGTGCATAATAACAAAAGTACACAGTGGCACATACGCAGCCCCGCTCAGTAGGTACCGTGAGTAACGAAAACAGCTGCCTTTTCCATTGCATTCGCACTCGTACGAAGACTTTGCATACGACGACGCGACGCATCACGCAATGAATCTACAGAGAACACCGCCTAGTGGAATATTGATAAGCGGGAGCGGAAGCGCCAGCGGAAGCGCCAGCGGGTCGGTGCCTAATTTACCCACTCATAGTGACAAGGATTTTCATTCCAATGTGTCTCTGAGAAAAAGAAAGGAACGCATTGATGAAATAGACTATAAAAAAGATTTTGCAAGCTTTCGTACAGACATGATGAAGTTCTTAGAAGAATTCGGAAAAACACAAAATGAGAATCTGAAATACATACGTGAAGAAATATCGGAGATTAAAAATGAAATAAAAACAATAAAATCAACAACAAAAAACTTTACACAACGATTTGAACAAATAAACTCTGAAATAGAAAATATTAAATACAATCATACTGCTACTCAAAACCAAATAAAAAACATAGAAAGTGAAATAACCCTGATAAAAGATAAACAACACATTGAAAGTTCAACGGATAAATCGCCCGTCTTGTGCCACGAAAACCTCATCCTTGAACTCAAAGACCGATACGACCGTGAGAAAAACATCATTATTGTGGGTATACCCGAAATAAATGAAAAAAATTCAAAAGTGAGACGAAATTACGATAATGAAGAAGTTATGAAGTTGTTGATATCATTACATGAAAACTGCCCAAAACCAATTAAATGTATAAGACTAGGGAAATATGTTTCAAACAAAAGCCGGCCTATAAAAGTTTTCTTTAACAATATAGATACTCCGAAATATCTCTTACGGAATAAAAAGTACATAGCCGAAAATCTTAGTATTTACTCAGATCAAACGCCAGTTCAAAAACAGTATTTAAGGCAATTGAAGGAAGAATTAAAGAAACGAACAGAAAAAGGCGAAAAGGACCTTGTTATTAAATATATAAAAGGCACACCTTCAATTGTTATAAACAAAACCCATCAAAAAAACCAATAATGGCTTCACCACAAACCGGAAAAAATACGGATAGATTAAGCCATCATTTAGTAAACAATTACGAAAACATTCCATTGCACCCGTCCTCCTTAAGATTTTTTTATGCTAATTTACGTAGTATTCGCAAAGCTGGGAAACTCGACGAAATAAAATGCATATTAAAAGCAATACCGATGACTACACATTTATTAATTTTTACTGAGACATGGATTACTTCGGAAACCGACGCAAAATTATATCAGATACCAAACTATAAACATATTTACAATTATAGACAAAATTACAAAGGTGGTGGCGTTTCAATTTACGTACATAATAGCATAAAATACGATATAACGGAAGAATTGTGTGAAAATGGAAACCACTACTTATGGATATACATAGATAAACTATCTTTAAACATCGGTGCAATATACAAACCTGGAAGTTCTAATGTAAACAACTTTTTAGAAACATATTCCTCACAGTTGGAACGGAGGAGAAGGGCGATTGTGTTTGGAGATTTTAACATTGATCTACTTAATACAGATAGTAACGTCACAAAATACCTAGCTGAAATAAAAGAAATTGGATATGAAATATTGAATAAAATTAATAGGCTGTACAGTACTCGTGAAACCACCACCACAAGCACTATACTGGACCATGTATGTACGAATATAAACAATCACTCATTTAGTTTCTCAATAATTGAATCGTGCCTATCTGATCATAAGCAGATATTTCTTGAAATAAGCAACTTAACAACAAAGACACATAAAAGAGTTCAATATATGGCGCTTGATTACGAAAAGTTATACAACACTACCTTAAAAGCCAAATACACTAATGAAGAAAATGACTATTACTACCTAGAGAGATTTATGTTAGAACAAATAAACAAAAATAAAGTAAGCAAGACAAAAATTCTTAACCCTCCACAAAAAAGACTGGATAAACCGAGATATTATAAACTCAATAAATTTACGAAACAACTTATGGCAGCAGACTAAATCTCACCCAAAAGACGATAATCTACAAAAAAACTTAATTAAAGAGCAGAACAAAGTGAAAAACCTTATCAAGACACACAAGAAAATCTACTATCATAAGTTATTTCATAACAATTACAATAAACCTAAGAAAATGTGGGAGATAATTAATAACTTAGCGTTAAACAAAATTAGAGACAGCAGTGCTCCTCCCAAACTAATATCGAATACTGAACTAATAACAGAAGGTAATTCAATATGTGACTTATTTAACTCATTTTTCTCCTCAATAGGTTCGGACTTGGCTAACAAAATTCCTAATAAGTATCACATAAACAGCGATAACACGCTTATGTACGAACTTAACTACACGCATGAAATAACACTTAGTGAACTTACACCCTGTAATATCACAGAAGTATCAAAAATAATCGACGATCTTGATACCAACACTAGTACTGGTCTAGATGGCATCAGCACCAAAGCGATTAAATGTCTGAAAATTATAATTGTAGAGAGGCTAACGAACTGCATAAATATGTGTTTGACACGCGGTGTTTTTCCCGACACACTTAAAATTGCTAAGGTCAGTCCTATTTTTAAATCCGGAAGTAGGACTGACCCAAGTAACTACAGACCAATCTCTGTCTTGCCTGTTATATCAAAGATATTTGAACGAATACTTTATAACCGCCTAAATGAATACCTAATAAAAAAGAAGTTTTTAATTGACCAACAATATGGCTTTCGTTCCAAATCGAGCACTCTGACAGCTGCAGTAGACTTAATCACAAAAATTAAAACTCAAATCGATCAAAAGAATATCGCTTTAGGGATTTTTATTGACATAAAAAAAGCATTTGACACAGTAAGCCATCATAAATTGTTGCAGAAACTAAACAACATAGGCGTTACAGGTAAGGCCCTCGAAATGTTTACATCGTTTTTACATAATAGGCGACAAGTTGTTCAAATGGATAATTTTACCAGCTCGATTAAAAACGTATCCTACGGCTGTCCTCAAGGCTCAATTATAAGTCCATTATTGTTTTTAATCTATATAAATAATATAAACAAATTAGGGCTAACAGGTCACTTAACATTATATGCCGACGACACATGTCTCTTCTATTTCGATAAATCTATTCACAACATTATAACCTATGCTCAAAAAGATCTTGACTTACTCGGAGAATGGTTAAAATATAACTTGCTAACAATTAATATGTCAAAAACATCTTTCATGATTTTTTCTACAAAGAATAAACCTTTACCAGAGTTTGCACATCTTACTATTGAAGATAAAATAATAAAACGTTCAACTCAGGAAAAATATCTAGGTCTATTGGTAGATGATAAACTCACTTGGAGAATGCATATCGATCACGTCAAATCAAAACTGACGTCATTACTATGTGCACTACGTAAAGTCGCAAACTGTATCCCGGAAAAGGTTCGTACAATCATATATAACTCTTTAGTTAAATCACATATCGAATATCTAATTGAGATATGGGGATCAGCTGCTAAAACAAATCTAAATCCACTTCAAAGGACACAAAATAAAATTATCAAAACATTATTCCACTATCATTATCTAACGCCAACAAAAGTACTATACGAAAAAACTAACTTGCTAAACCTTACACAACTATACATTTATTGCACTTGCATTCTAATAAAAAACATTACCACTAATTCTATTCAATCAAACATACAATTACATAAAAAAACAACAACACACAACTTAAGAAGTAAAAATAAACTACAATTAATAACTACACGAACTAATTATGGCAAAAAAACTTTGTTGTTTGAGGGAGCACAGCTGTTCAATAAACTACCAGATGACATAAAAAATTGCAATAACATAAAATTGTTTAAAAGTAAACTTAGGAAATACGTACGTACAGTGTAATCTTTTCTGACATTGTAAATAATCTTAATCTTATAACTCATAGTAAATAAGCTCAAAACTATAACACCTCCAGCACTAGAGGTAGATGCGATAGTTTTACTTTAGTATATAATTACTTTGTATCTCATTTTAAGTGAACCATTGTATGTTCTTATGAGAAATAAATTTCTTTAAACCGAAAATGTAATGTACTCGTATGTACATCAACAAATAGCTTTGATAAGAATAAAGATGTTAAACACTAGGAACAATGATTAAAACTACTTTTACGGATTTTATCGCGTTTATTTTTACTTTTTATTTACTTTTATTTTTAATTCCCGACGTTTCGGGCGCTTTCCAGCACCTATGGTCACGGGGGACTGAGATGACTGACGTCCCGATGTCATTGTTAAACCCGGAGTACCTTCAGCTTTGTTAATTATTGTTTATGGTCCGGTCTATGCAAAATGAACTGACTATGTCCTGAGGTCTTGCAGTGGTATGCTTGAGTTTAGTTTTAATTTTATTGATTATAGTATCCCAAGCAGGTGGTAGTACCCAGCCTCCTTCTCTATCGAAATTAGGATGTTTTTTAATTTCAATAGCCTCACGTATCATCCTTGGTAGGAATCGGTGTTCTTTCGTGCGCAGACTTCCCGTCTGCAGTTTGTGATCATATCCTAGACGGACCCAACCATTATATCAGATTTGATAGACCACAAATCCTCGCGGAAGGACGCCAGTTCGCCACCCGTCATGTTCTGTCTCCCGGAGAGGCGAAAAGTGGATTGCAGAGGCCCGTCTGGCTACGTTGAATGTATGTGGGGCAATGAATGATAATATGGATGAAGTATGCGATATGATGTATGATAGAGGAATAGATGTGTTATGTGTAAATGAGACGAAAAGGAAGGGGAAGGATGTCACTACACATGGCATGTATACCGCATACTGGTCTGGTGTAGACGAGATCGAGCGGGCATGCCAGGGAGTAGGTATCATCCTTTCAGAAAGAATGGGCCAATGTGTGAAAGAGTATGAATGTGTAAGCCCAAGACTGCTATGGATACGAATGAAAGTGGGCTTAAAGAAGTTGTTTGTGTTAGGGGTCTACGCCCCAGACATGTCTAAGCCCACTTATATCCGGGAGCAGTTTTGGGAAATGGTAAGGATGGTGTTAATGAAGTGTAAGGGAAACGAAAATATTATTATGCTAGGAGATTTTAATGGAAGGGTTGGGGTGAGGAGGCTTGGTTATAAAAGGATATTGGGAACGTTTGGTGATGAAAGTATAAACGCATTTAGGTTGAGCGCTGGTTTGATACAGGCATTAAAGTCTCTGTATAGGAACTCGAGTGCTTGTGTTAGAATCAACGGGGTCTACTCGGACTGGTTTGGCATCCATAAAGGTGTCAGGGCTGTGTAGCTTCCCCGTGGTTGTTCAACCAATTTATGGACAGCTTGTTGCATGTTGTTAAAGCAATGATTCAGCAACAACAGGAGAAAAATTTAATGATTTTGTTGTCAAAAAGGAACAACAGCAAAATGTTACTCAAAAATCATAGAAACTTCTTGATCAGATTGAGTTAAATTATTATTAAAATTCAATTCGAACCCGAGTTCCGTTGTTTGACCTTACCCGTTTTTATTTAACCTTGCCCGTTTATTAAATAGAGATAAGACTCGGTAAGTATTAGGAAGGCAATGGACGCAGATTTTCTTTAGCAATAGGGGTAACAAGCGAGTACACATTTCAAGTGATGGTAAGTGGATGCTATGTCCCATAAACATCTACATATATCTTCGATTCAGGATAAAAATGCAGATGCTTTGTCAAGTGTCTGAAGACTAAGATGAAATGCCATGTTTCCAGTATCAAGGGTCTATTTCCCCAGTTGAACTGACCCATTAGTGCTACAACCATAATATAGCTGCAGTGTGGCTTTAACACGTATAGTAATTTTCAGGTTCGGAGAAAACAATGCAGATTGACGAGTCCAAGTGTGTCAGCGAATTAATGATGTTCATTTGTGACAAAATCGGTATCACGAATCACGAAGAGTACGGCCTAGTGAGTAATGAATTTTTCTAGTAGTAAATTTCTCATTATCTTTTGTATGACTGTGTCCAAAAACAAAAGAGTTTTATAATCTATGTATGATGTATGTTCATCTGTTCTCTCGGATTAAATTCAAATTTAATTAAAAAAATGTATTATATGTTAGATGTTATACATTATGTGTTCATTTATAATATTATGTGTCTTATAACTTTACCAATTCTCAGGTATTACAATATACGTTATATGTTATAGGCCTGTGTCTAGCATAAGTTACACGCTGAATCAATGTAATAATAAAACAGAGTTGTTAATCCTAAATTACTCCATCTATTTCGGCAAATAAGGTATCGTTGGAAGCGCCGGCATCTTCTACGGGTTATAAGGGTCGTGCGACGCCATAAAAAACCCAAAATGGTGGCTTATTGTGAACATGAAGTGCTAGGTATATAAAAAAGATTAAATTATCATGTTTGGTATCAAACCAAAGGTATTAAGGAGCAAATTCCTTAAATATACCGCAACATAAAAATTGATATACATATACTTATTATTTATTATAATACTCTCCTCCCGACAAAACTTCGATTATGGCGATCAGTCTCAATGTAGGCTAGCCATTTGCAGTTTGCACAGGACGGGATTATAGTGCGCGAGTGTATGCGTAAGCACAGGAGCACTCTCTTTTCCCTCACACTCATAGTCCGATAGGACGGTTACCCGGCATAACGTACTTTCCTAATCACGGAATAAAACACTGCCAACTTCCTAACTCTAGGCTGCTACTGAGAATTTCCTTTAGCCTATCTCGGGTGATTCAAACCTGGGACCTCATGATCAGTAATCGTAGTTACAATTACTAGACCCGTTGGTCTAGTAATTGTAACTACGATTGTGGTGAATAATACATATCGACTGCCTCGTTAGGCAGTCGATATGTATTATTCAGCACATGATGTGAGAAACAATGTATGAGCATGCACCCATCCTAGTCTTATAGTTGAAATTAGTATTGTTTATAGTGCTTTGAGAATACGACAGAACCACAAAAGGAGAACCCAGCCATTGGTACTCTCACCTTGCGGAAGCAGCAGACGCGAGAGAAGGATGCAAAGCTGGAGCAACTGAGCAAGAAACTTAAGACTGATGACAATGGTAAGACATTAACGGCCTTACTCAAATAATGGATGTGAATTTAATAAATGCTTAAACTGGCTCTTCATCTTTTCACCAATGGCAAAAGAAAGAGAGAGTTGTGAAGTGCAATGATAGATTAAATGCTGTTGAGGAGTACCAATCAAATATGTACTGGGATTGCAGGATGCAAATTAAAACACTGTTTATCGTAATGCCTTGCTAATGATACTGAATTTATTATAAAAACAAAATATGTGTACAATGCATTAAAATGACGTCAAACTCGTGCATGAGCTCTAATTACGCTAACATATAAAAATGTACGGGTTTACACGTACAGCTACACATATAATATATAATCAACGATTAGTAAGGCCGTATTTGTAGTGTGTTTCGTCGTCACTGTTTTAGAATAAGACAGAATAAAAAGTAAATAACAGTTCAAAAACTTCTATGAATACAACTGGACCAGCAAACAGCAATTTAGTAAAAAAAACTGTGTCACAGCTGTGGGTCGCGCTGGCCTCGGTAAGTGGCTGGCATAGTAACTGGTACACACGACAGGTACCTTTTAGGCAAATACGAAATAAACTTACATACTTATCTGAAATAAACTTCAAACCACGTTGACAAAATGCGCACATAAATAATAACAGCATTTCTTAGTTACATTAAACAAAATAAGTGTTAGGTTATCGAAAGCAACGCTCGTGGTTTACAAACCAATGAACTAGTCTTCTTGCTCGTTCTCAGTCGACTAAAGAAGTTACGAAGAATTGACCGCAACTTAGTGCGCAATGTATTAGTACCGTAGTCAGTAGTATACACTATAACTCACAGCACGAGAGTCTAGCGGTTATTGCGCATAATTGACCGTATTACGCATTATAGTTGTGCGTATCGTTCGCACGCGCTGATTGGCTCTCCGGTCGCATTTCGTCCCCCGTACTGATACGAAATTCGTAGCTATTCTCTCCACGTTTCATTCAGCGCTAGAGTTACGTGCCGCGAGTTGTGCATAGCAGTCTTTGTTGCGAATGTATGGGTAAATACGAGTATATTATCAGATCTTTCGTCAAGTAAACTGTGAAAAAATTAGCCACACGGTGATGACTGCATCTTATGGATGTCGTGATAGTTGAATATAGAAAATTTCAGAAAATTCTTATAGCAACCAATATCCATCATCACCAGCCTGCGGTAGTCCACTGCTGGACATAGGCCTCTCCCAAGGCGCGCCACTTAGCCCTTACACTTAGACGTGTTATGGAGTGGAGACCGCGTCTTGGCCAATGTAGTGTGGGACGTCCCCTGACCAGATAGAGCGACGATCTGCGCAAGGTGCCTGGTAGAAACTGGATGTGTGTAGCATCCAATATATCGATATAAACATCTCATTGGTAACAATGTTGCAGCTTCATCGTCAAATACTACTGCTGCTTACATGTGGCACTGCAAATGTCAATCGGCTTGCCAAACGTGATGGTTAAAGCGTTACATGCCATGAATGTTTCATAAAAGGCGACTATAGGAAACTATTGAAAGATCTCTGGCTTCACGATATGGTAGAATAACCATATCATTAACGCTAGACGGGAATCAACAATGACGCGAGACTTTTTGATACTAATATCGCTAATCTGCAGTATAATATCCTAAGCATGACGATGAAGGCAAACACTCCTTACCACGGGAGATACCCATATCTAGCAGTGGACAAGTTACATACCACAGTCGATGAAGAACTTATAGGGATAATATAGATATACCATTTTTTATTTATTTAAGCACCAACAAGATATAAGCTTTACAAATTGTACCTAATAAAACACTTACTCTTAGAACGAAAAATGTGTATATGTTTCTATATACTATATATTATCTTTATTTATATATGTATAATTAATAGAAATAGAAAAACAAAATATACCTATATTTTAATTAATTGTTAACTATAGCGTATAGCAAATTTCTATTAAGTAGTGTTTTGTTAATTATTAAGTACGCACGCTGCCTACTTGCTTTACATAAAAAACTGACTCTCTGTCTTAAAGGGTTTGCTGAAAGAGAACTCTCGTTAGAGTTAAGCTCGCCTTTGTAAATCTTATTCAAATATTTAAAATTGTTACCAACTTATAGTGCGTACAATAAAGAGTAATAAACGAAACATGCAAACAAGTATGTCATCTTAATTATAACCTCGGTTTGGTAACCATGGCTAGGTAAAAATAACAAGAAGTAGACAACTAAAACACAAAAAAGCTTAATAAAAAAAGAAATTTTAATTTCTATTACAGTGGAATGGTTGGATCAGCACAAAACCCTGCGACAGTTGGGCGTGGATCCAAAGGAAACACTTTTACTAAAACGCAGGCTTTTCTACTCGGACCGCAATGTGGATTCTCGGGACCCGGTGCAACTCAATCTGCTCTATGTCCAGACTCGCGACGCCATATTGGATGGACGTCAAGTTGTTACTGAGGCGAAAGGTATGTTTTTTCATAGTGTGTATTAAAGGTATGTTTTTTTTATAGTTGGAACATGTGATTAGTCAGGGCACTATTTAATATGCCCAGGCAATATGATAATGACAAGTCAAATCGGGGTATGTAATAAATAGGTACTGATTTAAACTTCATTATTTATTATGGGGTCTGGTTTATAACCTTTTTTCTTACATGGGGAAATACCAACGCATATCCGCCTCGCCTAAGGACGGATAGGATAGGACTCGCAGCGACTAAAACCCATAACAGCCCTTCCCTCCTCAGGAGAGGAATTCTCCTCAACCTTCTTCTTCGCAGGTAAGGCGCATTAAAAACATAAGGTTTAGTCCACTTACGAAACGGACCTCTCCAAGTCTGATACGCAGAGGCCATGGGGTCAGAAAAAAACGAGCACTCGAAAGCAACAGCTTTCCCGACCCTAGCGACGGATCTGGTCTCTGTCTACCGCCAACTAAGTTTCGGCCGCCAAAGGCAGGGAGAGCGGCGAATCGCAACATCGATACTCCTGTCCTCCCGCGGCTCCGCCACCACCACACTCACGGTGCAACCTCGCCAGAGTTGCGGAGGATAAGGCGAGTGTTGCATCGCCGTACCAACACTCCTCTTGCTTACATCCAAAGTGGGCTCGCTAAGCCCAATCGGAGTGGCCATCGGGTCGGGCCTTCACATCGGGTCAACCATGCGGGTTTCTCTTCATTCACTATGGGTGACCCAACAAGATGAGAACCCGTTCCCGTTTATCATATTTTTTATACAGTCTATATACGTCCCACTCCTGGGTACAGGCCTCCATTTATTCTGAGAGGGTTTTAGGACATCGAATTGTTCGACGCGCTGCCCCAAATGCGTGTTGGCGAACTTCACGTGTCTTCGAAATATGTTTTTTTTTATTTCTGAGATATTCAGGTTCCTCACGATGTTTCCATTCACCGCCGAGCACGTTTTAATTCAGCACTTAAAATTGCAATTGACAATTTCATTGGTGCCGGCGGAGATCGAACCCGGCTTGTTCGCGTATTGTGAAATTTGCAGCTAGCGCTAACCATCTGAGCTACCTCGGCTCTTTTTCATATCGCCTACTCATATTGAGAATTTTTGAAACTGTCAATTAACTTGTGGAACAAAACTGGACATTTTGAATAATGCCCCTATAATCACTAAATCCATAAAAAGAATTTTCAGCTTCTAGTTGTACTGAATGAGTTATATTTGTAATGCAAGTATTAGAAGTGAATGAAATATATTTGAATGTACACCCATAGAATAAACCCATAGAAAAAAATACGCAAAAGTACAATTGTGGGCCTTATCGCTTAGAATCGAACTATATTTCTCTATAACATTGCAGAGTACATTAACATCAGTTATCCTTACATAAATCGTATCCTTTACGAGTCCGGGAATTGGAAAACTTCTTTCAATGCGTGGTTTTGGGGATGACACGTGACTAGTGAGGTATAAGACAAATACCTCTTTGCAGTTGAATAAGTTTCGTATTTTGGATATGTACTTGAAAAGGGCTCTAGCAAAAGGACCAATCCGTGGCGCAGTGGCTTAGCAATGAGCTACGGGGCTAAGGGCCGTGGGTTTGAATCCTGCACGGAAAAGTATTTGTATGGTCTACAAATAATTGTTCCGAGTCTGGATGTTTGTCCTTGTGAAATTGATGTACGTAAACTGCCTCCACTGTACAGAAGAAAATGCTAGTGTGGGGTCACGGTTATGTTAAAAAAACATTTCGTTTCCTTAAACCGATAGTCAACCTGACACCGCATGAGGAACAATTTATTATAGCAGAATTCAAATTTCAACGAAATCAAAGATCACATATGCAATACAAAGTGGCCGATTGTATTTTCAGTCTTCCGTATAATTTTTACAACAATACAACAAAACCAAACGTCAAATGGAAGCCTACCATGATTTCCAACAGAGTAAAGTAACACAATAGAACTGTATTATATATATATATATATATATAACTAGGTATTTAGACACAGGTCAGCTCGTCACGTATGAAACATACAAACAAATAGACTAAAAATTGTTTGCTAAAGTGCACGTTTTTTTTGCGCAGCTGTCGAATTCGCAGGGATTCAGTGCCAAGTTCAATATGGGGACTACCAAGAGGACAAACACAAACCGGGGTTCATAGAAAAGTAAGTGGGACAGAAACAACACTCTTAACTGAGGATAGATTTATATGTTAAATGAAACTAATTTTACTGATTTTATCACGTTTAATTTAAACTTTTTAATTCCGTACGTTTCGATTCCGATGTCATAGATAGCCCGGATAATTTCAACTGTTGAATATTAAACGCGATAAAACACGTAAAATTAGTTTCATTTAGTGTGTAGTATTTGCGTAAAATATAAGATATTATTATATGTAGATGTCTTTGGGCCACAACTTCCACATACCACTAGGTGGACTTTGTGTCCGTTTTATTTTATTTATTTAACAAATTATAGATTATACAGAGGATATATTATGGTACAACATAAGCTTAATGAAAACTTTACCGTGTACCTCAAGCCGCCGACATTAAAAATTTGACATATGAGCTACATCTTAATCTACAAAAAAAAAAAAAAAAACGCAACACTACTAAACAGCAATTGTGTTTTAGTTCCATCAATTAGTTAGTTAATTAATATTTAATAGTATACGAATATAATAATTATTCTTAGATTGTATGTCGTATAGGTTTATTTATGGAAAGTACACTTTTTAGTTAGTGGGGATTCTAGTTTTTTCATTACGTTTGTCAAACTGTTTCTATAAAAATTCAGATGAGATTTTAACTGGTAACCAAAAATTTTAATAAAAAGTAAAAATCGACTTTAATAACTAAAAGGAACAAATCATTTCCACATATGCGTTCGAAGTGGGTGTTAACTGGTAGACGTTCTTTATAGAAAAACTAGGGCCCGGACTTCAGAAGCTGGAGATTATTTAATTCGTTATATATATATGTTTCTACTTTTTTATTAAAAAGTTAGTTAGTTAGTAAGGTTTTAGGGCAAGGAATTGTCCGCCGCGCTGCCCCAATGCGTGTTGACGAACATGCCTTCGATTCGATTTTTTTTATTTTATTTCTCAGGCATGCAGGCAGGTCAGGTTTCTTCACGACGTTTTCCTTCACCGCAGAGCATGTGGTAAATCGGCACTTATAAAACAAATTGTAACAATTGATGATTACAATTTCTTTTTGTTCGTAGCCTTAAGGAATTCCTCCCAGAACAGTACGCAAGTTCGTGGGGTGTGGAGAAGAAGGTTCTGAAGGAGCACAGCAAGCATCATGGCCTCAGTCCACTGGAGGCAAAGCACCTGTATACTAAAACTGCAAGAGAATTGGCGACGTATGGGGTGACGTTCTTCTTAGTTAAGGTATGCGAAATTTTCCATTATTTACTTACTTATATCTACTTGTATCCAGCTTCGCAAGGGTGATTTAGATCTCGTTTCTAGACCTTAACAGTAGCACCCCCTCCCGGGTCTTATTGTGAATCTGCACTGTTCTGGGACCCACTTGGTGCAACTCACGCGCCTCTTTGTGCCGCTTAGTGCCGACCCCGTAGTACGTACTATTATATATTCTGTGCCCTTAGTGACATGCTTGGGGTGGCCGTGTATCATCCCGCGCCATTTTGGTAAACACGCGCACGCAGGAAAAAGCACTTTATTTTTATTTATTGTTTATTTATATCTACTTATTTAAATACCGATGTTTTAATTGATGATATTTATATTAAACTTACGTATACGTATTTTATCGCATCTACCACGAGGAGTGCTCTGAAGAATTGTTTGGACTAATTCCAGCCGCACAGTTTCATCATCGCACATTGCGACAAAACTTGCGATCCATCCATACCATCTGGATGACTGGCGGTCCACAACTGTGCGATTTCAAAGAAGTTTTCTTCCTCGCACAACTTCCTTGTGGAATTGACTACCACCAGAGATTACGGACCTAGACCTTCAAGAAAAGAGCCTACTCTTTTTAAAAGGCCGGCAGCGCATCTGCGAATCCCCTGGTGCTGCAGCTGTTCATGTGCGGCGGTAGTCACTTACCGTCAGGTGAGCCGTATGCTAGTTTGCCCCTCTGATATAAAAAAAAGCTATGATTCCTCCCGGGATCTATAAAATGCATGTGTGTTTTAAGTCAAAGGGCGGATTGGAACCCAGGAGTTTTGAATTTACAGTTCGCACACGGTAATATTATCTATACAGTATTCCAACTTCATACAAACGGACGAAGCGAGAGCTATGCCTACGCGCCTCGATCTCGGCATGCGCTCGGCATGCAGGCAGTCGAGACTGTGCCGCAGTGATGATTTTGTGGAATATATATAAAAAATGGAGGAAATAAATAATAGAATAGAAATAAAGAAATAATAAATGCGAACTTCATTTAAAACCAAACATATAAATTATAAAATATCTTTTACTTGGTTATAGATACCTCTTTATCCAAGTAAAAGATATTACTTTTCTCCACCTTGTCCATGTTTCCCAAAATAATTTTTAATTAAGCTTTATATTATAATGCGGATTTTTTATACTTAAAAATTTAATAATAAAGTAATTCGTACGTCTCAGCCGAGGCGCAAATATTTTTCGGTCGCAAATTCATAAGACCGATTTGTTATTCAAACGTAAACATGGTTTTTTAATTAAATCTACCAATCAAAAAACGATACACATTTTTATTGAACACTTCCTATTGAATTTTCAAAGTACCTATTATATTTGATTATATAAAAAAAGTATATTTACAATCATAAAACTAAATGGAAACACAAAGTAGGCAAATGTAATGCTGAAGGCAGGCAGCCCTATTGCATGTTTACGTACCGCGCTGCTGTAGGCATTTATTTCAAAGATACGGCCGAGTTACAATACTGTATAGATAATATTACCGTGGTTCGCATCTTGACGTTAAGATATTGTCGCTTTAGCATAGTAAAAACAGAATAGTAGGATACCTCCCGCGCCGCGCGACATTTAAATGCCTACTGTTGCAGGGTTGTCACTGTCTTTTTGTTTAACAGCTAAGTCTCATTTAGTTTTATAAGTAGTTATAATATTTACAAACATAATACATCCACCCCGGCTTTTCACGGGCGATTTCTAGATCGCAACAACAGCGCCACCTACCGAGTTCAATTAAGTTTTTAAACCATCCAGAGATTCACTCAAATACACACTAAACATTTCACCAAAATCGTTTGAGCGCAGACAGCAATAGATCACTGATCGACTATTGGACTATCGAAGCGCGGAAATGTTTGGATAGTAGGTCTAGGATGACTATTAGAGTAAATAACTAGAGTATGAAACCTAGTTAATTGCAGAAAGATGTCTTATAAAACAGCGTTTCAAGCTACTGAACTGGAAACGCATTAACATCAATGTCAAGATCACCACTAACCTTCAATTCGCAAACGACATAGTTCTTATAGCAATATCAAATTATAATATAAAGTGGATGCTGTGGCCCTAAGAAATCTATATCAATCGTCCATTAACAATTAAAATGCAGATGCGTTGCTAACCTTGAGTACTAAGACGGTATACATTGATTCAAGTAAAAGGGGTCTCTGTTTCTTCACACTCAACATACGAAAAACAGCAGCATTAAGCTGCTATTTCACGCTGGTATTGTATAAGGACCTGGTCCCTTGGTGGTCCCCTGGACATGGGGGATTCTTGCGACAAACGAAATATGGCTGCTGCATGGCTCTACCACGTTTAAAAATCCTAATGTTATTCGGTGTATTTCTACATTATGTCAAGTAATTGTTTATTGTAGGAACAGCAAAAAGGCAAAAAGAAGTTGGTGCCTAGGCTCTTGGGCATTAATGCCGAGTCGATTCTTCGCTTGGACGAAGTCACCAAAGAGATCCTGCAAGTATGGATGCTGACCCAAGTGAAAACGTTTCGAGCAGGAAAAGAGACTTTTACTTTGGACTTCGGAGACTACAGGTATGTCTAAGAATGCAGTATAAAATGCTGACTTTCGACACGGTAAAAGAATAATACATCGTAAACAAAGCTGGTTTTGCATCACCCAAGATGGTGAGCAACTAAAACCATATGATAATATATTTTATTAACCTGCATTTGCGCGTAAGTTTTTTTTAATTAAATTTCACTGATTTTTCGGAATTGGCAAAACTGATTCGAATGATTCATATTTTATTAAATGACATACTTATTAAACTGACAGCCTCGTTGGTCTAGTGGTTGTAGTAGTGCGAATACTGATCAAGAGGTCCTGGTGGCCAAAAAATCAAGTATTGAGTTTTTTTGTCAAGAAATTCTCAGTAGCTCCCCGGAGTCAGGAAGTTGGCGGTGTCTCACCCCCGTGCCTCGGAAAGCACGTAAAGCCGTTAGTCCTGTGCCTGATCTCTCTCCGGTCATGTCGGTTTACCGTCCCATCGGATTATCAGAGTGAGGGAATAGAGAGTGCACCTGTGCTTGCGCATACACTTGGGCACTATAATCCTGTCCTGTGCCGATGGCTAGCCTGCGTTGAGGCAGGCCGCCATGGCCGAAAATCGGTCTGGAGGAGATTATTATTATTTTATTAAATAGGCTATACTTAAGATGTGGGACCACTCATATTAATAAAAACAAAAAAAAATAATCTCTAAGGTTGGACAAATAGGGGATCAATATTTTATTGCATTAAACGATATTCTAGTTATATCATCCCGGTGAGTTATAAAATGCATGTGTGTTTTAAGTCGAAAGGCGGATTCTAACCCACGAGTTCTGAATTTACCGACATCTTGCCGTTAGAATATTATCGTTTCAGCATAGTAAAAACAGAATAGTAGGATATTCCGCGCCGTGCGAGACCTTAATGTCTACTGTTGCAGGGTTATCACTGTCTTTTTGTTTAACAGCTAGGTCTCATTTAGTTTTATAAGTAATTTTAATATTTACAAAGATAATACATACCTCATATATGCATCATATTTGTTAATCATTTCTTTAGTTTCCACTCAAAGAATCAATGTTTGTACATTACAACAAATGCCAAATAACTAAAATACGAGTAAATTAACACTGAGCATATGCTCAGATTTAATGTTTAAAATTAATTTGATCTGATGTGATATAATAATGACGTGATATGATATGTGAATAACAACTTATGAGGTGTGTATCTATGTATAGATATAGTGGTATAACCTACTAATAAAAAGCTAATTTACTTGAACAAACACACATATTAATTTATTTTACAAAAAGAGTAAATAAATCGTAATAAGACAGCTAACAAAATTTTATTATAAGTCAACAAAGTCTCAAACAGACTCGGCCCGATCTTCTCGACGTTACGTTAGTGTCGTTATGTGCGTGCTGTGGCTCGTGCGTATGAGACGTGATCTGTGACGTTCCCAGGCACGCACACATATTAGTGGCGTTCGGTACATTTCTTAGAATATACCCTACTATTCTGTTTTTACTATGGCTTTGTTCAATACCTGCCGCGGTACATTTATCGTATTAATAGAGTACAATGTATTTTAAAATTTTTTCCTGACATGTTTTTTATATATCTTTCATAAATTTAATAAAATACTGTGATGGTCAACCCGCCTGCCGTAGCAACTATGGAAAAATCTTCCCTAGTGCCTAACTAGGCAACCTATCGGAGAGTCCTTGGCTGGTGTGTATTTATTATAGACTGTGATGGATGATGTATTTCTTCAGCGATAAAGAGTACACGGTGAAGACAAACGAGGCGCATCGTATCCGAGACATCCTGCAGGGCTACATCGACATCATCCACCGCTCGCTCGCCGCGCCGTTCAACGTTACGCCGGTGGAGGGACATACCATTTGCGAGGATAACGTGCAGTCTTCGAAGTAAAGTCATCACATTTTTTTAACTATCATAAACAGCATTATTATATTGCCGATACCCACATTGGCTGTAAATACATCAAGAAAAATTACAAAAGTTACTCTTTCTTATTTTTTTTTAATAGACAGGGTGACAAACGAGCACACAGTCCACCTGATTGTAAATGGACGCTGTGGCCTTAGAAATCTAAATCTATCATCGCTTAAGAATCAAAATGCAGATGCTTTGTCACCTCTGAGGACTAAGATTTAGTGCTTCATTTCCACTAAAAAGGGACTTCGGTTCGCTACACTTAACATATGACTACTTAACATATGAGTCCTTCCCCGGTCGAGCCGACCCATTACTGCTACAATTTTAATATAGCTACAGCATGGCTCTACCACGTATATAAAATTTTTCTTTATTAGGTTGTAAAATTTCACATCACATGATCTATCCTGTTGTATTTGGATTTGTCTTAATCATCGCGCTTAACATGCAGATTCGTTGATGAGCATTTACGCTGCTTCCCGTCCTTAGTCTAGGTACTTAGTGTATCGTAAACTTGATGATTACTGCCATCTATCGGAAGTGAAAAGTTTCTTCTGGCATTTTCCTTAACAGCGACACTCACGGTGCGACAGGTAGTGAATTCTTTAACGCAACCATCACACAGTGATTCTTTACTTTATCATAATAAATACAACATATCAAAAGCATGGACTATGCAAATTATTTTAGACGACTTCCTATACGTTGCTGAGTCTAGGTTTTGAAGACCGGCAGTGACGCGCTTGCGCGATAGCGCTACTCGTTAAGTAGAGTGCGCCATGTTATCAAAGCATTCTGTCGCTCCTATCGTTTAATATCTCGAGTATCCCATCCGGCTCACTATTACCTGAACGAGAAAGCGGATCCGATCGTACACCCTCGCATCCATATCAGAAACCGAGACAGACTATTTTCACCTCAAAGCATCTGCGGTATCTTGACCCCGTGATATACAGCATACGCCTCCCCCAAGTAATGTCACAAAACGCGGTCTGGAGGTGCATCCATCGAAATCCTGCATCTCTTACCAGGTTGTCATTCCATCTGGTAAGAGGTATACCAGCCTTACGCGGGTAAGGACTTGTCATGTCGGACTCGCACCGACTAAAACCACATGGTTTCATACAATCGCCGCATAATTTTGCCAGGGCACTGTTACGCATGCACACACATTTGCGACGCCATGTAGTATGATGCAGTTCTTACCAGTACGGTAGTGAAGTTTACATAGTAAAGGTTTTCAATTTTTGAGATAGCTCTTCGTGATATCAAGTCTGCCGACAGACATTTGATCAGCCGCGGGTTAGAAAGGACTCCAAAACCGTCTAAGAGTGGAGGGTATGACCCAGCTCTCTGTTAATTACTTCATAACATCATTCACAGACAACAATTGAAAAACGCTGTAGTGCCTTAGCTAAGCGATTGGCCTAATGATTTTGGGTTTGATTTCCACACGGGATTAGTTAACACTACTAACGTTTGCTTTTAGTATTTGTATTACAAATGAAAGCATACGTTTTAGTAGTGTTTATCTATTAGTAATTTATGTTCTATTTCATTGTATGGAAAACTTAAAAAAAAAGAGAATGCTACTCCAACGACTCATGTTTTATTATTAAGTTAAAATTACGGCCTATATAAGTTGCATTGCTGGGCACAGGCCTTTTTTAATATCTGAGAGGATTTTTAGAGCAACGAGGTTATACAATATATGTGTTTTACAGTATATTTCTTATATGCAACAGATTTACTCTTTGATTATATACCTGTATAATCAAAGAATTTACTATACCTTTGAAGAAAAACCTTTTAAATAATGTTGTTTGTTTCAGAGGGCAAATTATTCAAAATGTCGTTCCTATGAAGGTGGTCGAGCACTCATACGTCGGTCCCAGCAAGCTCATATCATACGTTCAAGGTAAGTAAATATTATTTCATCGTAGTATAAATATCGAAGGCTCCGTGACGCAGTGCCTTAGCAAAGAATTGCAGCGCTGAGGGCCGCGGTACGAATCTCACATGGAACAAGTATTTGTATGGGATAGAAATAATTGTTCCGAGTCTGAATGTTTGTCGTTTTGAAATTTATGTATGCCACTGCTCCAAAGACATAGGAGAAAATTCTAGTGTGGAAGTAGTGTTTAAAAAATATATTTATGGAACGGTGACGTAAGAAATTTTAAAAGATGGGCAGCCATATAACAACTTAATAAAATTAATAAAAACTGCGATTGCTTACTTCTCAGCAGCTAAGCGTGGCTACTATGTATTAGTACGTGGTAGAGCCACGCAGCACTGTATTATGGTTTTTTTTTTTTTTTTTTTTTTTTTTTTTTATAGAAGAGGGGGCAAACGAGCATGTGGCTCACCTGATGTTAAGTGACTACCGCCGCCCATGATCAACCGCAACACCAGGGGAATTGCAGGTGCGTTGCCGGCCCTTTAGAAAGGAGTAAGCTCTTTTCTTGAAGGTCCCCAGGTCGTATCGGTCCGGAAAAATCACCGGTGGTAAATTATTCCACAGAGAGGTTGTACGCGGAAGAAAACTCCTTTTGAAACGTACAGTGGTGGACCGCCAAGCATCCAGATGGTGTGGATGGTATCGGGACGTTTGCCGTGTAGTGCGTTCACGAAATTTGGCGGCTGGGATTAATCCGAACAATTCCTCAGAGCACTCCCCGTGATAGATGCGATAAAATACGCAAAGAGATGCAACATCTCTTCGCAGCGCCAGTGAGTCGAGCCGATCGGAAAGCACTCGGTCGTCGACGATTCGAGCCGCTCTGCGCTGGATGCGGTCAAGTGGAAGGAGCTGGTACTGGGGAGCCCCAGCCCAGAGATGGGAACAGTATTCCATGAGCGGCCGAACCTGCGCCTTGTAAAGTTGCAGGCGGTGTGCCGGCATGAAATACTGTCCCGCTCTGCTGAGCACGCCAAGCTTTTTAGAGGCCAATTTGGCCTTCCCTTCCAAGTGACCACGAAACTGCACGTCACTCGATATGTCGACGCCGAGGATTCCGATACTGGCTGAGGCAACAAGGGGAGTGCCTTGAAACTGAGGGGATACGACAAAGGGGTTCTTTTTAGCGGTTAACGCGCAAACTTGTGTCTTCTGGGGGTTAAACTGGACTAGATTTAGTCGCCCCCAATCCGAGACTCTGTCCAGCAGAGACTCGACTTCAGACACAAGTTTGTCCCGGCACTCAGAGACGTTTTCCCGAGAAATATTGGCTCGGCCGGTGTAAAGAGCATCACCAGTGTTGTCATCCGCATAGCAATGAATGCTACGGGTTTGCAACATATCATTGATATGCAGAAGAAACAGCGTTGGCGATAGCACGCAGCCCTGTGGAACACCAGCATTAATAAGCTTGCAATCGGAGCTTGCACCGTCTACAACGACCTTGATGCTCCGATCTGCAAGAAAACTGGTGATCCAATCGCACAATTTCTCGGGAAGCCCATAGGAAGGGAGCTTCGAAAGAAGCGCTTTGTGCCAAACCCGATCGAAGGCCTTCGCAATGTCCAAACTAACGGCCAATGCCTCCCCCTTGGACTCTACTGCCTCCGCCCATCTGTGAGTTAGGTAGACCAGAAGATCACCAGCTGACCTACCACGGCGAAAACCGTATTGGCGGTCACTAATCAGCTGGTGATCCTCAAGGTACCTCATGAGCTGGCAGTTTACAATGGACTCCATTGTTTTGGAGAACAAGGAGGTGATGGCGATAGGCCGGTAGTTGGACGGGTCTGAGCGGTCGCCTTTTTTAGGGATCGGGTGGACGAAAGCCGTCTTCCATGATTTTGGGACTACGCCTAGGGAGTAGGAGTACCGGAAAAGACGCGTTAAAACCGGTGCCAACTCTGGAGCACACGTCCTCAGCACAATTGGGGGGATTCCATCAGGCCCACTCGACTTATAGATGTCCAGGGAGAGGAGTGCTTTGCGAACCGAGCGCTGAGTGAACTGCACTTCCGGCATGGAGCACTCACACCGCGGGATGGTCGGCGGCGTACTCCCCCCGTCATCGAGAGTCGAGTTAGACGCAAAGAAAGAGCCTAGAAGATCGGCTTTCTCCTTTGTGGTGTGGGCCAGTGAGTCGTCCTCCCTGTGCAGAGATGGAAGAGATGGCTGACAGAAATTCCCCTGGACAGCCTTGGCGAGAGACCAGAATGCACGGGTTCCAGAAGGAAGACGAACTAGTCTCTCGCCAATTCTGCCTATGTGCTCTGACTTTGCCTTGGCAATGACTCTTTTGAAGGACCTAGAGGCGGAATTATACTTCTTTTTTAGAGCGCTGGTGTTTACATCCCTGGACGCTGAAGCGTCAGCCCAGGCTCGGTAGCACTCCTGCTTATAGCATGATGCTATTTTACAGGAGCGACCAAACCATGGCTGAGATTTGCCTCCAATGGGCACCACAGAGGAAGGAATAAAAAGTTCCATACCCTGAAGTACCACATCAGCGACAGAATCCGCAACAACGTTGGGATCATCCGGCGAGAAGCAAACCCGCCCCCAAGGGTAGGATGCAAAGAAAGACCGCATCCCATCCCAATCGGCTGACCTATAGTGCCAAACACGGCGGCAGCCTGCAAAATGTAACCGCGATTTCAGCGTGAGTGGCACCACACTCCGGATCAGACAATGGTCCGAGGAGCCTAAAGGGGCGTCGACGGAAATCTGATATCCGTCCGGGTGAGAGGTCAGCAGAAGGTCTAACAGGGAAGGTGCATGATCCTCCACATCTGGAATCCGCGTAGGCGAAGTAACCAGTTGTGTCAGACCATATGCCAAGGCAAAATCATGAACAGATCTCCCCGCATGATCGGTTAAACGTGAACCGAGCCATTCGGCGTGATGGGCGTTAAAGTCGCCGAGGATCACGATCTCTGCGGAGGGGATCTGCTGTAGCAACGAATCTGCAGCCATTTGGTTGTGTTATGAATGGACCTTGGAGGATCACGTTTTCACGGAGCCAGCGTAAAATGGATGCCTAACGCTGCTGTGTTTCGTATGGTGAGTGTAGAGAACCCCATACCCCTTTTACGAGCCATTCCATCTTAGTTCTCACGGGTGACAATGCATCTGCATTTTGATTCGTAATCGAGGTAAGATGGAGATGTCTATGCGCCACAGTAACCACTTATCACCAGGTAGACTGTGTGCTCGTTTGTCACCCTTATTTTATAAAAAAAGACATCTCCTCTATGAGGAAATCTATTATTGAGGTCAATGTTCATCAGTGGACTTTATTTGGGCTTCAACAAATATATGAAAAAATAATTATGTGCTGCTTATAAATACCTACTTTCTGATATGTCAGAAAGTAGCTATTTATAAGTAGCACATAATTATGTTTTCATATATTACAATACGGTCTTGCAATGGGTAGTTTCTGTAATCACAACTTCGTAATCGCAGGATCAAAAGAACCAACTCACTTTGTAGATGCTTCTTACTTACTAACTCGCTTATTCACTGGGACTGACCGAATCAGTAAGATGACGTGGCAATGGGACAGCCGTATATCTCGAAGAACCGACCACTGATAGGGAAGAAAGTTTCTCGAATGACAGTCTTGAAAATAGTATAGAGAGGCTCCTCCACAAATTGGGGTGACGGCATGGTAAACATGCAGGAAGTCCATGGATGCTGGTGGCAAAGGATCGTGCTTTGTGGCATTTCTTGAGAAAAGCCTACGTTCTTTATGAATGAACTCTCACTTCTGGCGGCGCGTAGTGCGGTGGCTTAGCAATGAGTTGTCGCACAACCACACACACGGAACAAATACTTGTATTGTCAAAAAATGACAAATAATTGTTGTGGGTCTGGACGTTTGTCCTTTTTCAATTTATATATGTATACTGCATCAAAGCTACAGGAAAGAATCCCAGTGTAACGAAGTAATGTTATAAAAAAAGTTTTCGTTGGGTGATCGAATACGAAATTAAATGTTGAAATTTTCTTTCATATATATGTAGGCTCCGAAGCAACAACCGGCACGCAAATAATGACAGTGAATCAGATGCTTGTCACGAAGAAAGGAGCCGTGCAGCAGCGTGGGACTGTAAGTATTAGTATGTAAAATCATAATATTTTAGGTATTTAAAGGAAATTTTCATGTAATAGGTTTTCATTTTTTTGAAATATAAAATGTTTTTAAAAATATTTCTCGCAGTTTTTATGAAATTTAGAAAGAGGTAAAGAATTTGATCCAACCCTAGTCAATTTGTTGAATTCATGGAATTCTTTCATACTGTCTAGTCCTTTCGCAAATTAGGCACTAGCCGACGGAACCTAATTAATAAATCTTAGGGGTAATGGGAAGTTATTTTTCTTCAACCTTAAACATGACACTCTTGAGGTATAGGCTGTTTAATAAAAATGAATCATTACAATTGATTCACAATTACAACAAACAAAACTGAAAGACTGTTCTACACAACGACCCAATTCGTTATGTATGATCTTCCCACCATTAGCCACGAATGAGTACGAATTGACGTTTGACCGAATTTGCCTTAGTCCTTTCTAGGATCGACTAAGCAAAGCCCGAAACAGATCTTCTAGGTTTGGTCAAAAACTGTAATTGAAATTTATTTCGGGGTTTGCCGAAAAGCCTTGGTCAAACCTAGGATAAATCAGTTATTCCGGGAAGAGGCTGCATATCGACCTTTGACTATAGCATATACACAAAATACAGTCGATTTAAGAATCTCCACCTTTTGGGCTAAGTTAATGGTTCACTTTTTATTTAATTCAACAGATAAGATCGACTGGTACACGCGGTAGTTCGATGGAGTATTTGGAGAAGATGAAACGTTTGAACTCAAATTCGATGGAGATGGTTGAATTTTTAACAGGTAAATTGCATGCTCAAAATGATTTACATTTAACGATTTACAATTGAATTACATGTTTTAATTCCTCCCTCACCCTTCTACCATCGGACAACCAGGCAGTTGGCGGATCGATGTTCATGCATTCGGACTAAACGCTTTGCTTCGTCTTTCGAAATGCGTACATCAAAAGAGTCAAATAATTTGCCAGCGTCTGTCTTTCCATTCGAACGCTCTGCGTCTTCAAGTCAAGGGTGAAAAGGCTTTTATTACGCTAAGACAGTGTGATTAACCATCTAGGGATGCCCACAATCACCACTTAAAACCGGTGGGGTTGTAGTAGTCAGTCACTGGCTTATAATAAGTAGAAAAATACGTTTGGTTGTGCTTTTCTACTGTGTGGTAAACTACGGTTTAAGGAAGAAAAAGAAGAGCTGTAAGATATTATTTTACCGGCCTTTGTGTTAATCGTCTTTTCTGTCGCAGTTTAGAGTGGATTACATATTTCACTAGGTGGTGGGACTTCTTTACTGGCTTGGAATCGGTGTGGGTAGGTAGGTATAACCCGTTTACATATGACAGCACTGCTGTTTCAGTGTGAAGAGTATGGAGACCCAGTATAATAACAGGATGTGAGGTTTTTCATCAGTCATAATACTGTTAAGGTATGACTAACAAACTTAGACTAGGTTGTATAGGCATAGATACCTTTGCCTTCATATTTATATAATATCTTATATCTTATTCATAGACCAAAGGGAAGTGTACCCCACTTCCATACTTTAGGTTGGGGTTCAATAATTTGCAAAGACACTAGTGCCATCTTGTACTATATCCCCATAAACTTTCGAACATTAAATTCTAAAAGGTGCGCTAGATGGCGACTACACCAATTCTGGTTATTCTGGAAATGGCAAGTAGCAACTAATGGCTACCGGAGCTGAGCAAGTTGTTGTTTTAAGTGATTTTCGGTTGTTGCTACAATAAGTTTGGTTGAGTTGGGATTAGCCCTCTGTTTTTTTGTTGTCTGTTTAGATTTTCATGCTGGAACTACATTGTTTGTTTGTGTAGTGTTGTGCGAAAAAGACGCTTTCATTTATCATTCCGGTAACCCGGTGGACATATTTAATTTGGTTTGGTGTTGTATTTTGCGGAATAGACGCTTTTACATCGTGTATGTTAAATATATATAACAAAAATAAACGTTAATATTACTAAAATCTATAACACGTCTTTAATTGAACCCTAATCCCCTAAAGTATAAATATAACCGCCTATAGTATAGATAGCTGTATATACATAACTACATACAGCTATCTATAGTGAACATGATATTGAGATTAGTTCAAGGGATATGATACCAGGCGGCGACACTATTCATATTGGGTGACAAAAAATCCTAGGAGATGGCTCTCTATTTCTGTATATATACTCTACTCTATGTCATAGACTTAATAAACTACTGCGTAATAATAATCGTTTCCAGTAATTTTAAATTACATTTTTGGTATGGAATCCGCACGTCCCACCGAACGCTCTGCAATGAGGCATCACTTTTAAACGTAGTTGAAACATTAATAAACATAACAATAGGTACATAACAAAACACAATATATGCAATAATAAGCGAAAGGTGGGGCGGACCCCCCACGAGAAGTAGTGACGTCCTGATATTAGATGCAGGAAGTCGATAGATATGCTGGATGACTCATGTTCGTGCTTTTATGGCATTATTTGGAGGGGGCCTGATCGGCAATGGATTCGTAAAGGACTGTAACGATGATGAAAATTAATGATGATGATGATACGTAAGCTGTTGCTTAACATTCATATTTTATTTTGCTATTATGTTCGTATCGTGTTTTCAGATCCTAGCAACAAGCAGGAAGAGAAAGTGCAAAAGGTCAATGCACTTGTAGCTAATATTGAAGAAGATATGAATAGTATTATAGAAGGTAATGTTCAAACTCTTTCTGACTATTTACCCTGTTCACTGTTTTCTTATCAGCCGATGACTTCCTGGGAGTGCTTTTCCTCTACTAAAACATAAAATCTGTTCCAGGGCTGACTGACAAATTCCGCCCATTAAAAATCATAAGGAATTAAGTCAATAAAAATAAATCATAATAGAAGAATAAATAAATAAAATAAAAATTGTAGTTACTTACCGCTGTGATTGTAGAACCACCTACAGCAAGTATTGTAAAAGGCTATTAGCTCTCCCTTCTCCGCTGCATACATATTTAAAAATACTTAAAATATCAGCTTAATGCTGCTGTGTTTCGTATGGTGAGTGTAGAGAACCGGAGACATTTTTATTGGAAACGAGGCGTTCCATCTTAGTCCTCACGGGTGATAACGCATCTGCATTTTGATTTTTTATCGAAGATAGATGTAGATGTCTATGGGCCACAGCAATCACTTACCTTCAGGTGGACTGTGTGCTCGTTTGTCACCTTGTCCTATAAAAAAATTGTTCAACACGAAGTAAGCGTGTGACATTCAGCGGGTAAAAAGTTACTATATCTGTAACGTTTTTGCTTATGATTAGGAAATAAGGAATCTAAAAAAATGTGGAGCTCGTTAAGAATCTAATTCAATAACATGCCCTTCAAAATAATGAAAAATATTAAATGGTTATTGAACGAGATCCAACGTCAAAACTTTTTATCTCGATTCATATATAAAGTATTTTAAAATCTAATCAATTTGGAATTAAATTGAGTATTTACAGTATGCGAGTATTTTTGTCGGCACATATACTATTTTCTCGAGTGTTAAAATCGTGTCTTAAATGCAATGTTTTCGTTCAACCTTGTCCTAATTCATTGTTCCCCTTTTCAGGTGTTCACAAAAGCGTTGATAAGGATAACGACGAAGTGAAAAGGAAGCTGCTATCTGAATTAGACGATCTTTGCGCAAGCTTCAAGCTCTTGATCAGCACTTCTAAACAAAACGATTTTGTAAGTATGAAAGCTTTTAGACAAACGACGCTTAGTGACGAATGAGGGCTTTCACAACATTTTATGTCACAAGGGTTCACTTTTGGCAAAGCCACTTTGGAATAAAGTGAAATATTTGACAGATTTCATGGTGGGGAAGTAAAATTGTTAGAAAGTATAGATTAACGTTTCTCTCTGGAATATTAGTTATAATGGATATAATGGATAACTAAATTACGGATATTCCAAATCGAAAAAAATTGTGCGTATATTTTTGTACGCACATATGAAGTGAAACTTATTTGCGACATATCAATTCCTAATAATCATAGCCAGGGCTGCATAAATTACTCATGCAGCCCCGGCAGTGAAACATTACAAGAAAACGTGACCGCTCTTTTAAATACCGTACTAAACGTTTCACTACAAGGAATTATTAAAATTAGCAGTAATTTAGAACTCACAAGGAATTAGTGCTTTTAAAATCAGCAGTACTTTTAAAATTAACAAGGAATAATCAAGCAATTTATTATTTTAGGGAACACCAGAGAGTCTTTCGATCGCACAAGAATCAGCCGAGAAAATAGTTGGTATCTGCACACAGATGTACTGCTCTTTAGACCCCGAGATTAAGAGGCGTAGCAAGATTTTAAAGGTGGGTAAAAATAACAATCTACATAAGTTCTGGAAAGTTATAAGTTCTCTTATAAATCTCCTATAAAGTTGCTGCCCGCTGCCCTAACCCATGTTGGTTAACTCCATATGTCTGACATGATAGGCAAGCTTCCTCACGATGTTTTCGTTCATTGTTGAATAAAATTCTTTAATGTTGACCATCAGTGAATTGGCCGCTTGCAATTGCTCTTCCTGTTTGTTGGTAGTATTTGAAATTGCGATGAAGTATAATGCCAAAATATAGTAAAAAAGAGGGCTATGGGAATTACCAGAAGTCTTATCATCTGATAGACTTATTATCATGCCGGTACTTTACTGCAATTCTACTTCGTAGTAAGTGGTGATGAAGCCTCAGATGGTAAACACTAAGCGTAAGAAAAGTTTATTCATTCTTGTCTTGAAGACGTCCGGATTGTAATCTGACGGAAAACTGGCACTTTTTTTTATTCCGTAATGATATTGTTACGAGCTTAGGGTTCGTGACAATAAAAACTGCCGATTGAATTACTAAAATTGACACTTTACCTTAAAACTTAAAACACACTAATAATTAATCGCAATGATCACTTTGGTTCACTTTATTTCGCTCCGAAGCTTCGCTTGTATTACCAATTCAATACTACTTCGATCGCGGACCATAACGGCTTTAAATAGGCCTTTTCCACCGAAACATCCAGAATATTCCAACAAATACCGGCCCCCGACCGACCGGGTGCAGAAATTTCGAGTGTGGAGCTTTCTAGAAGGCTTAGTTCTTCCATTCGATACTAGATGGCGCTAGTGGGAGAGTTCTAGAAAGATCTTGAAGCTCTTTTTTCTGCTGCTTGATACTAGATGCGCTAATAATCAGTCGTCACATACCAGGCGCTAATTATAGCACGCAACAATACGCATATACTACAGACGAAGGAAGTCGTTTGGTTCGAATCCATGGAATATCGATAATAATAGTGTGAAGATTAGCCGATCGTATGGTTGCCCGATGGTGAAAAAGACAGGGAATTAAAGCATGTGTCTGCTTTTTGGCCGTTAGTTTGGACATAGGGATGGTACTTCGATTGGATTTGGCACAAAGCGCTTGTTTTGAAGCTCCCTTCCTATGGGCTTCCCGAGAAAATGTGTCATTGTATTGCCAGTTTCCTTGCTGATCGGAGCAAAGTCGTAGTGGACGGTACATGCTTTATTAAAGTTGATAATAATTACTTCGCTTACATCCGCTCAATAAAAGAAAATGATGTGCCTTATCTAGTTTGAAGAGCAACTCCCACCTCCCGCCCTCTCTCTATTGCGTGCACTAATCCCGTTACCGCTAATAATGCTGGTGCATGCTCTGATTATAAGTCTATTAACGCTGGTGTAACAAGGATGCGTGTTAACCAACACTGTTTCTTCTGCATATCAATGATGTATTGCAAGCCGGTAACATTCATTGTATGCGGACGGCAGCACTGGTGATGCTTTATACACCGGCCGTGCCAGTAAAAGTTACAGCCTATATACGTCCCACTGCTGGGCACAGGCCTCCCCTCATTTCTGAGAGGGTTATAGGGCAAGAAAGTGTCCGCCGCGCTACCCCAATGCGTGTTGGTGAACTTCACATGTCTTAAATATTTCTTTTCTTATTCCTCAGACGTGCAGGTTTCCTCACGATGTTTTCTTTCACCGCCGAGCACGTGGTAAATCAGCACTTAAAATTGCAATTAACAATTTCATTGGTGCCGGCGGCGATCGAACCCGGATTACTCGTATTTTGTTATAGTCGGACTAAAAACTAGTGCGGTCACTGGGACCGGTACTTTTCGCAGTTTCATGATGCAGTCTAGGTTTTTTTAAGTGTATTATCTTAAATTATGTATACACCGGCCGTATATATTAATATAAAAGAAATATGTTGGTACATATTTCTTTCTTTTTGCCTATTATATTTTTTACATACTTTTCTTTAAGAAAATCGTTTTTTATTGACAGCGATCCCATCAAAGCTTCATCGCGGACGAGAGAACCGAGGCAACGTTGCGGCGCGCCTCGTTCCTCGCGGCCGCTGCACACGCGTGCAACACCGTCGACACTGCTAAGAAGGAGTTAGACACGGTTAGTTAATTATAGACTTTATTCTAGATTTAAAACTAATATTTATAAAAATAATAAATTATTTGAAAAAAAAAAACTCAAAATGCTGTAAACATTACTAATATTCCCTTTAACCACTCTGGTAGGCTCAAAATGCTTGTGTTAGGAGTTGTTCACGACAATAGTCAAATGGCGAATTCGAACTCACGACTTTTTGAGTTCGCAGTTCACACCCTGCCAGTTGGCTACTATCGCTTCTAACCAAAAGTCGCACAGATAATATATCAATTTTTGTATTTTTTTTTTAATCTGACTGAAGATAAAAACCAACTTACAGCTTTTTTTGTAGCATTGGGTGAGAAACGAGCCCACAGTCCACCTGATAGTAGGAAGATGCTGCGGCCCATAGACATCCACATTTATCGTCAATTAAGAATCAAAATCCGTTGTCATCCCTGAGAACCAAGATGGAATGCCTTGATTTCAGTAAAAAGGGTTTCCGATTCTCTACACTCACCATAGGAAACAGGAGCATTAAGCTGCTATTTTATGCTGGTATTCTGTGGGAGCGTGGCTCTACCACGTAAAAATACCTGATGTAAGTATTGCAGCACCTGATGGTAAGTATATACGTGGTAAAGCCATGCTGCAGCTATATTATGCCTGCAGCATGAGTGAGTTCGACGAGACGATGTCTTTACCATCTATGTATATTTATGTAATGTTTCATTTTGTCAAAGCTCACAATATATATGTTTAAAATGAATTCTGACGAAATAATTAATTATTGTGAGAGGCATTCGCATAAACTTGTGATACCCACGACGCTCACAACTTTATATAAAAAAACTGCTACTAATCAAAAAACCTGCTCCTGAATGTGTTTAATATTCGATTATTTCGACTACTCTTGGGTAAATATTTTTTTTTTTATATATTTATTATACGGTACGCGAATATTTAACTGATAAATTCGGAATTAGTAAAATTATGTGTGACATGTGTGTTATAATAATTAATATATTATATTGCATTAACATTTTATTTTAACATTTATTTTATAATAGATTGGTTTTGACAATAATTTTTATAGTGAAGGATTTGAAATAGTTATTTAATAAGGTATGTGAGGGTAACATTAATTTATTATTGCCGGGAAAAAATATGGTCAGCCTGGGCTTTGCCAAAATACAAAGTCGTATACTATAAATAATATATTGAGAAAATAATAGTAAACAAGTTTTGGCAATAACTAGGAACACTTCGAAAAATCAACTTAAAAAAACTAACCAAACTAACACAATATTAAAATCGACTAAAATATTTACTATGATGTCAACTGTCAAAATGACGTCGATGAAGAAGCGCATTTTTTACTGTTTATTATTTGATTGTTCGACGAAGAGACTATAGCTCTTCGTCGGTCAATCATACCACAGAGCCGTCTATGCAAACAAGGCTTCAGTTTTTGCGTAATAAGAAAGTGACCATATAAAGAGGATGACCATATTACCCATGTACTATATTCCTATCTACATAAATGTATTCTTTTAATGATAATAACATCCATGCTTATCAACATTTCCGATTCATGCTCTTAATAACGTACATTTATGAGGATTCATAATATAATTCTGTTTCACTTTGAATCACAATTCTTAATGTTTATGTTTATACCTCAATTTTTAAATTTAGTTCAGTGTTTTGCATGTCTGTAAGGGTTAAATATGTGAATCCGTTCAAACTTTTACTATTTTATTTACCATATTTAATGCAAATAAACGGTTTCATTTTGATTTGGGGCATTTATCATCATCATAATAATTACAGCCCTTCACAAGTCCACTGCTGAATATAGGCCTCCCAAAGGTATGCCACAAAGCATGCTCCTGAGCCACCTGCATCCATCGACTTCCTGCATGTCTTACCAGGTCGTCACTTCCTCTAGTGGTTCGCCCTACACTTCGCCTACCGGTAGGAGGCTGCCACTAGAGAATATTTTTTCCCATCGGTTGTCGGCTCTTTGAGCTATATAGCCGGCCCATTTCCACTTCAGCTTACTAATCCGATGGGCTATGTCGGTCACTCTGGTTCTATTGCGGGTATCCTCATTTTAAGTTTGTCACGCAAGGAAACTCCGAGCCTTTTCAAAGCTCGCCGAGCGACCCTAAGCTTCTTTATACGGCCAGCAGGAAGGACCACGTTTCAGATCCATAAGTTCGGGAAATTACGACAGATCTCGTCAGGTATACCTTGAAACTTGAAAACGAATTTGATGATTTGGGGCATTATTATGACGAAAATATTTCATTACAGACGTTTGAAGGTTCAATACCCGAAGGACACGAGGTTCATAAACTGGAAAGAGAGGCAAGAAAGAAAATTGGCAAAATAAGTGCAGCAATAGCACTACTTATGTCTGCTCAAGCTGGTTTGTACTCCTATCTATTTCCTTATTGTGCGAGGCACTGCAACTTAATAGTTTATACTATATAATTATGTTTGTACCTGGGGAATCCTTACTGCAGCTATGATATGTTATGATTGTAATAGTACGACTGGATTAGCTCGACCAAAGAAGGATCTCGCGGAATACCAGAGTGAAATAGCAATGTAACGCTGCAGTGTTTAATTTGGTGTTGTAGAGAACCGAAAACCTCTATTTTACTGGTAACAAGGCATTCATTTTAGTACTCAGTGGTGACAACGCATCTGCATTTTGTTCCTTAATCAGGGATAAATGTAGGTGACTATGGGCCACAGCATCCGCTTACCATCAGGTGGAATGTGTTATCATAGATCACTTTTATTTAAAAAAAATTACGTGTAGGAAGCCTAATTCTGTACTTTCAAAAAAAAAAAAACACAACACGGTTTAAAAAAATATTATATGAACTTAACGATGCAAAAGCCACACATGTAAAGTCGTACAGTGGTGCTGAAAAAGGGTCAGAGTTCAGCACAAGATAGTGTCATGCTTAAGTTACTGCATTGTTGAAGACAGTGAAAGGGTGTGTTTTCACTAAACCGAAGACAAGAGGCAAAAGGAGACGATACGTCCAGGAAAGAAATCAATAACATAATTCGAGCTCTTATCACGTCTCCTCTCACTTTATATGGAAAGATTTTTAGCGGAGAGAAGATGACTTGTATAAAAATATAGGCTTGTATATTGTTGTGTTCACAGAGAATCTCGAGATTAAACTCAAACTTAAAAACATTGAAATTGTGTAGCATATTATGATCTAGACTTAAATTATATATACTAGTACTCAAATTATAATGATTTATGTTGAGTCTAAACTCGTGATTGACTCAAAATACCAGCTTTAGGGCATGCAACGTCAAGTGGTTAAGAGTAGAGTGGGGCAGAGTAGCGTGGAGCGAAGCGGAGTTAAGTAGGAACGTTGAGCGGGGTAACAACGTGACGTGTTGTACCTCTTCACTCTTATGTCATTCATTTCGTTTCGCTCTTGTTTGCTTTACTTTACCTCTTTCTTGTTTATTTCAATTTGACACGCTTTTGTTGGCTCCGTTCATGTTTACTTCACTTTACATCACCCTTGTTTGCTTCACTTTACCTCGCTCTTGTTTGTTTCACTTTGTCAGACTCTTGTATGTTTTTCTCTTGTTTACTTGACTTTACATCACCCTTGTTTGCTTCACTTTGCCTCTCTCTACTTTGTTTCACTTTGTCAGACTCTTGTATGTTTTTCTCTTGTTTACTTGACTTTACATCACCCTTGTTTGCTTCACTTTGCCTCTCTCTTCTTTGTTTCACTTTGTCAGACTCTTGTATGTTTTTCTCTTGTTTACTTGACTTTACATCACCCTTGTTTGCTTCACTTTGCCTCTCTCTTCTTTGTTTCACTTTGTCAGACTCTTGTATGTTTTTCTCTTGTTTACTTGACTTGACATCACCCTTGTTTGCTTCACTTTGCCTCTCTCTACTTTGTTTCACTTTGTCAGACTCTTGTATGTTTTTCTCTTGTTTACTTGACTTTACATCACCCTTGTTTGCTTCACTTTGCCACTCTCTACTTTGTTTCACTTTGTCAGACTCTTGTATGTTTTTCTCTTGTTTACTTGACTTTACATCACCCTTGTTTGCTTCACTTTGCCTCTCTCTTGTTTGTTTCACTTTGTCAGACTCTTGTATGTTTTTCTCTTGTTTACTTGACTTTACATCACCCTTGTTTGCTTCACTTTGCCTCTCTCTACTTTGTTTCACTTTGTCAGACTCTTGTATGTTTTTCTCTTGTTTACTTGACTTTACATCACCCTTGTTTGCTTCACTTTGCCTCTCTCTACTTTGTTTCACTTTGTCAGACTCTTGTATGTTTTTCTCTTGTTTACTTGACTTTACATCACCCTTGTTTGCTTCACTTTGCCACTCTCTACTTTGTTTCACTTTGTCAGACTCTTGTATGTTTTTCTCTTGTTTACTTGACTTTACATCACCCTTGTTTTCTGTAATTTGCTTTCCTCTTGTATGCTCCACTCATCTTAGTTCTTGCTTATTGCACTCAGCTCTATTTTGGGAATTGTCCCATCTGCTCCAATAAGCAATTACATGCTTGTTTTTTTGTTCCACGTCTGGAGAAACACCAACTACTTACACTAATTTACTCTTTTCCTCTTTCTTTTCTAACATTTTTTGAATCTTCCTACTCTAAATATTCACTTTCGTGATGACATAAATAGCATTTGTTGCCATGTGTGATACCACCGGTATCAATCTGTTCTGTGTTAATATTATTATTTTAACTGAATTTTGATAATATGCAGATCCAAATAACCTGGACTACTCGGCGGCTATAACTTCGATGACCACAATCGACGAACTTCTGCCTGAATTAATTCAAGGTGCGTCCTGTAACTAAACTTTATATTAACTTGTTGATTATGGAAGAATATCCAAAGCGTATGAAACAAAGCAAAATTTATTATCTGCGCAGGATAGTATTACATTGCCTAAATCTATGCGCAAGAACATGTGGACGCTCTACTCCCTCACTCTCATAACCTGATGGGACGCTAATCCGATACGAACAGAGAAAGATCAGGCGCAGAACTAACAGCTATACGTGCTTTCAGAGTCACGGAGGTGAAACACCGCCAACTCCCTGACTTTCTTGGCTTTCTTTGCTTCTATTTGAAATTATTGACAGAAAAGCCTAAGGACTGATCTTGTTGATCAGTAGAATTTCATAACCAGTAATACGTTCACAACCTCCATACCAACGAGAAAGATTTTTTTTTTTTATAAAACAGAAAAAATAAATCTTTCATTGGTGTAAAAACCTTCGTGTAGTGGCGGCTCTAATCCATCACCCCATTTCCTCCCGTGGGTCGTAATAGGTGACTATGGGATATCCTAGAAACACCTTTTATAAAGACCTATTCTATCTACGTCAATCACAAAATATCCGTATCGGCGACGGTGTGGGGTCTTTTATGATCAACGCTCATTAGAAAAGGTACAGAAATGCAAGGTCAGTATTGTTCAATGAAAAATCTCTCTTACTTGTAGGTGTTTGTAGTATGTAGTCCTAAGTTACCATATCTTTTAACTTTTACAGATGCTAAAGCTTTGGGCACCGTTAAGGATGAAAAAACTCGTCTTTCTCTACACAGCAAGATAAAGGCATTATGCGACGCTGCTCGTAATATCTGTTCACTGACTGGCGACGAAGATAAAGAGGTTGGATCTTATCTTACTTTTATTTTAAACGCGCTAATATTATAACATTTGGCGTGTGGTGGAGGCTTAGGAGAATCCATTGCCTCATCCCGTTCAACTTGGGGAATTGCTGAAGGATCTTGTGTCCTCCCATAGATGGTGTTATAGCACACTCGTAATTATACTCGTATTTATACTTGGTAGAGCCACGCTGCAGCTATATATTATGGTTGTAGCACGAATGGGTCGGCTCGACCGGGGAAGCACCACGCTCTCATAGAATACCAGCGAAAAATAGAAGCTTAATACTGCTGAGTTTCGTATGGTGAGTGTAGAGTTCCGGAAGCCCTTTTTTACTGGAATCGAGGCATTTCATCTTAGTCCCCAGGGGTGACTACTCATCTGCATTCTGATTCTTAGTCGAGGATAAATGTAGATATCTACGGGCCACAGCAACCACTTACCATCAGGTGGACTGTGTGCTCGTTTGTCACCCTTAAGCTATAAGAAATAAAACAGTTTGATAAAAGAAACGAAATCATCTTTATAGGAACCTACACTTGGTTTTTTATTTTCTTCATTCATTCACGGCTTATTGCAGCATATGCAAGAGCTCGCGTACAAATACGCAAAAGCATCCGACAAGCTCATCTTTACTTTCGGTCGAGGAACGGTGGCTGACAAGGAAAATGAGGTAAGTAACATCTAGCTCATCTTAATATATGATAATGTTTTATTATTCCCAATTCCAAATTACTTTCATAAAAACTTTATCCGTTTTCAAATTATAATTAATATAAGGACGTTATTTGACTGAAATTTATTACAGTAATGATACGAAATTTTCGTATCATTACTGTAATAAATTAATAAAATACAATAATAATAAAATAAAAAATTAAACAAGACAAGAAACTTGTGGAAAATTTTGGGATACTTGTCTCCACCACAATAGTTTATAATATAACTGCTACAGCGCTACTACCCCCAACACCAATCTAAATCCCACACTACGTACAAAATACGTGGCAATTCTGAGGCTTGCTTGCTATCTTTTGTAAACGTCAAACCGAAGCACTTTGTATTTAAAATTTAATTGAATTCACTAGTTAGTAATTTGATGATGGTCCTTCGAGCCGGCTCGTGCGTTAGTGCAAGCTCGGTCTATTAAAAAAAGAAGAAAGCGATCCACAGACAAATAATTAAAACTATATTGACATTAATTTTGGTAAGTGATCAACATCTAAAACGCCAGAGAAATTGCAGTTTTGAGGAGGGAGTAGGCTCTTTTTGAGAAGGTTAGTAAGTAATATCTGCCCGGAAAATCGCTGGTGATGGCGATTAAATAAAGAAGTCGTGCATAGTTGACACCTGGGAATCGCACTGTGGTGGACCGCTACAAATATAGACGATGTGGTGTTGATGGGTATAACTAATTTTGTCGCAAAGTGCCATGGTGAAACTTGGTATTTAGCTGGAATAAAGAGTCGTTGAAAACAAAATTAAAATTTAAGAATTCAAAGACAAAAAAAAACATAATTTCCACATAATACCTTTTGAAGTTGATGTTAAGACTTAATAAAAGGTTTGAAGCCTCTATTAATACAGAAGCTGTAAAGTGATCATACTTTTCAACCGACTTAAAAAAGGAGGAATTACTCAAATCGACTGTATTTTTTATGTGTGTTGTTACCTCAGAACTTTTTTTCTGGGATAGCCGATTTTGATGATTTTTTTTTGATTAAAAGCAGATGCTTCTCGTATAGTCCCATATAAATTTGATCAAGATCCAATCAGTAGTTTTTGAGTTATCCTTAAATAATCCGTATTTAATTGGCTTCGAATATATTGATGATGCTCATTTTAATTATATTGAAGTCGGTTGTACAAAATTTTTAATTTTACTACTTGTATTCTTTCTAGTTTTTTGAAATTACCTTTTACTTTTAAATAAAAGTTTAATAATCGATATTTATGAGTAGATTCTTTCTTTATTTATTTATATGGTTATAATATAAGCGATCTAACATCATTCGTCATCAATATATTTTTAAGAATAACGATGGTGCTTTAAATGTTAACGTTAATACCGGAATGTTTAGTTTAGTTTAGTTTCAGATGCACAATGCACATTCACAACTTTTTAATTTCATAGTCCTTATTCACTGACAGTTTACTTTAAAACCGTAAACCTCTTTAAGATTTTAGATTTAGCGAGGGAGGTCGGAGACAAGACGTCAATGTTGCTAATGAAGGCGCATGAGCTTATCAAGTTGGCCGACTCCGACGCGCGGGCTGATGCGCTGGACGCGGCCGGAGTGCGCTGTGCTGACGCCTCCCAGCTGCTAATGGCTTGTGCACAGGTGCCAACATTGTATTAGTCTACACAGTATACACACGCGCACACACGAAAACAAACACTCACACACGCATACATACATAATCGGGCCTGCTATTTTCTGCAATGGGAAATGTCTAAGCATACCCTCCTCGGCGGTCAAGAGTGAGCAGAGCTGAATAACACAAGTATGTAGTTGAGATTTTCATACCATCGTAACTGACCAATAACAAGATGGATTTCAATCAATTATATTAATCAATGAGATATATCGGTTCATTTTAACCGTGTTCATAAGTTAGATATTGATGTTATAAAACCAAAATAGTGATCGTAAAATACAATATATTAAAAACGAAAAAAATTGCGTACAATATTAAGTTGCATATTATCACTTAACCGGCCTTTCAAAATCAAGATGATGTGTCCTAGACTACTTTACAGCCAAAAGCTCCGCTTGAAAATTACACAATTTGATAGTTTCCAGATAGGATTTTTACATAATTATTGTCAGTTAATGCAGTCGAGTGTTTTTTTAAAATAATAATTTACTTGTTAGACATTATAAGAAGGAGGTTAGCAATTTGACAGCATATTTTTTTAATCATAAAAGAAATTTTTAATGTTGCTGTGTATCGTATGGTGACTGTGGAGAATCGGAAACCCTTCTTGCTAGAAAAAAGGCATTCTATTTCAGTCTGTGGCCGTAGAAGGAAAAGGGGAGATCTCCCGTTGGGCAAGGTGTTCTGCCCGGGGAGCGGCCAACACTCCCTGTGATAGTTCAGAGATGTTCTATATATACTGTTTATGATTCGGAATTTTGATAGCGTGATTTAGGTTTCGGTGTTTTCAAGATTGAAGTGCCAGGGATTCCTTTATCTCCTGTCGAGAAGAAGGCAAGTAATTACGAATTGCGTGGCTGCCGATATGGGGGTCTTGAGGAACAAAAAGCTTTATTATTCCAGTGCTGCGGTGAACCTTGTGAAGTTAGCTGGCTTGCAGGATATGAAGACTGCAGACGATATCTGCTTGAGAGCGAATGGGTGGGGTATTCTGTAACAATGATGAAGCTTGAAGTTTCCGAAAGTTGTTGGTTGCGTGTTCAGATCACGACGGGTGGTCACCACTGCGGTCGTAGAAGGGAAAGGGGAGATCTTCCGCTGGGCGAGGGGTTCTGCCCGGAGAGCGGCCAACACTCCGTGTGATAGTTGGGAAATATTCTATATATACTGTTTATGATTCGGAATTTTGATAGCGTGATTTAGGCTTCGGTGTGTTTCGCTTGAGGCGCGACGATAGCGCCGCCACAAGTCCTCAAGATGACAACGAATCGGCATTTTGATTTTCAATCGAGGATAAATGAGAATGTCTATAGGCCACAGCATCCACTTACTATCAGGTGGTCTGTGTGCTCGCTTGTCATGGTTATTCTATTTAAGAAAAAAAAGGTTTTTTCCGTGCATTGCATTCTGCGTTTTTTCTCATATTGGAAGTTGTTTTCAGTTAACAGCTTCTTCTATTGACGAACCGCACTGCCAAAGTGCAATGACCGCCGCTGCAGAATCGCTGGCTTCATCAGCTCAACAACTTGCTGCGACTTGGAAGCCACTAGTAGAAGAACCTGGTCATAAGATGTTCGAAGAAAGCCTTTTGACTCATACAATGGACCTAATGAAGGCTTTGGATAAGTTGAAAGAATCTTATGCCGATTTATCAGGTATTTATTACTATTTTCTTCGTCCTTGTTTTTCTTGTTACAGCCCGTCTTAAACCTTTCCAGTTGTAATGTTTGATATGATCACCACGCTTTCTAGGCAGATTAACGATTGTAGTACCAAATGAATCGTACATTTAAAGCTGTTCTTTGTCGCAGATCTATTTTACGCCTTATAATCGCATGAGATTCCAATGTGGAAAGGCCGTGCTGCAGCTAGCTACATTATGTTATTACACGAATGGGTCGGCTCAATCTGGAAAGCACCACGCTCTCACAGGATACCAGCGTAAAATAGCAGCTTCATGATGCTGTATTTTGTATGATGAAAGCAGAGAACCGGAGTTCTTTTTTACTAGAAACAAAGCATTCTATCTAAGTTTTAAGGGGTGACAACGCATCTGCATTTTTATTCTTAATTGAAGATAGGAACAAATGTGTATGGGCCACAACATCCACTTATCATCAGGTGGACTGTGTGCTCGTTTGTCAAAAATGTTGTTTGTCATAAAAAAAATTCTGACGTTTCTTACGATACTTGCATATTATAACATTACATTACATGTAAGGGGGTTAAATCACTTTTGTTTAATAAAATGAAAAATCTACTACTAATAATTATATTAATTAATTTACTGAAATGAGTTGCTAAAATATTCTTCAAAAAACAAGATAATTCAAGGAAATGTTCCATAGGTAAAGTTTTTTTTTATATTTCGTTCCAGTTGAAGAAAATGTAGCAGGAGATGATACGAACAAAAAAGAAAACGAACGTCTTAAGTTTATCGCCACGATGAGAAGTGCGGTAAATAACATTTCGGATGCACAGAAAGACTTAGACAAGGTAGGCTGTAATACAACCCGCGCCACGTTTACTTGAATACCGATGATGATGATAAAATTTTTCAGGTAAACTTTGAAACCTGCAGAAAAGAAATGATATTTTTTTTGAGTTAATTGAGTTGTGGATATCACGTTTATTAACATTAATTCATTAATTCATCACAGTATTTCGAATACCATTGCTGATCATGGGACTTGATCCGTTTCGAATTTTATTCAAACTGAATGCTGCGGTTCTAAGATCGATCGAATAACGAATTTAATTTAAAATTTTCAGCTGTCTACGGCTAAATGCTTTTTGTAGTCTTGCTTCGAATTGGTGAAAAAAAAAAACATCGGTATTAATCGAAAACTGAATAGAATTTGGAAACAATTTCGGTAGTAAGCCCGCTGATACTTAAGCCACACGACCGTTCAATATGAAGTATTTTGACGAGATATAGCTTTAGATCTTACTTAAGTCAAAGTCAATTTATTTTATTAAATTAAGGCTTGTTTAAAGTTTTAAAAAATGTTAAATTAACATAGATTTGCTAAGACAAGATCTTATCAGGAAAGAACTGGCAAGAAGTTCTGGGATCATTTTAACAGACTATAATCCCAGACCAACAAAGAGAGATAGAGACTCTACATACATTCCAATTGGCACCGAAACCATATTCATCTTCTTTACACGCACTCACGTACACTTAACTCTTTTCTCTATCTATCTTTGTTCTCTATTTACCAGCACATAAAAGTTCACTTCGTGACGAACACATATGCACGTCAAAAATTTGGTTGGAAATTATTTTAGATACATATGTGTGCGTGATTGTTGGTTGTTTTTACAATGAATTGAGCGTCTTTCTTTGTTGGTCCTTATTATAAAAAAAATAAAAACCGGCCAAGAGCGTGTCGGGCCACGCTCAGTGTACGGTTCCGTAGTTTCCCGTCCGTCACAATAAGTGTTCCCACTTATGAGTTTAAAGGTGGTATCCATTATGTTCGCGCTCCAGCAGCGCTCTGCGTTCCTGCAACTGCTCCCGGGTCAGTGGGTACTGTTGTTTCCATCCAAGTTCAAAATGATTTTCCTAGAAAGTCCTTATAAAGTTCTACTTTTACAGATTTTTTCATAATTTCTAAACTTATGGTTCAAAAGTTAGAGGGGGGGGCACATTGTGTTTTTTAATTTTGGAGCGAATATTTCCGAAATTATTGACATTATCAAAAAATGATTTTAATAAACCCCTACTCATTTTTAAATACCTTTCCAACAATATATCACACGTTAGGGTTGAAATTAAAAAAAAAATCACTTACCACTTTAAATATAGGGGGCTACCCTAATAAAACATTTTTTTCCAATTTTTATTTTACCACTTTGTCGGTGTGATTGATACACATATTGGTACCAAATTTCAGCTTTCTCGTGTTAACGGTCACGGAGATTAAGCGAGGACGGACAGACGGACAGACAGACATGGCGAAACTATAAGGGTTCCTAGTTGACTACGGAACCCTAAAAACAATACAACAACAAATATCAGTAATATTTTTTAAATACGCAAATTGATGGCACTTTATTTCTGTTCCGTTTAGCCTTCAATAACAACGGCCGAGGGTGAAAACACGAAAGAGTTGAAGCGTATAATGGGACAACGTCTGTCGTTGTTGAATGCTTCGATTGCATCTCTAATGCGTGCTACTGCTGGTAAGTGTTTTAAGAAAACGACTAATCGTTTGAAGCAATTATTTTGATGTCATGCTAAAACTGTTATTTATTCTAATGTTTAACCATGTTAATTATTGAAATATAATCATAGAAAAATTATATATAATAATTTGTTTGTTGACAACCGGATGCTGAGGTCCGTTAATATGAATAATACCTTGATCTTTTCTAAACCCCTGCGGACTAAAAAACTACGATTTTCCTTGTCACCAGTAAAAGGGTTTACGGTTCTCGTCACTTAATATATTAATGCTGGTATAGCGAAAGCCATAATACAGGTGTAGCGTTTTTTAAATCATCAAATAGAATATGCATCAACATCTTCAAAGAAAAATGGCTTCGGGACTATAGGCCCGTAGCTATTTTTCCTATAGGTCTTTAAGTTATATTAATAAGTTTAAGTTTTTTTTTCAAATTCTCGAATGCACACAGTCGTTATCTTCTGACAGTAATCAATTAAAATGTTTTGGTAGCAAAAATAATTTTAATCAAGTTTAGCACAAAAGCAAATTACACTACATCTAGAAACTAAAAATGTAGGTTAGCTAAGAGAGTATCTGGGTAGCAAGAAATTTGAAGAATACAATTTGAAGAATACAGCTGAAGAAACCAATTGATCTATATCTGGTATTGGCAGTATAACTGAGAAATTTGGAAAATGTAAAATATCCTTAGCTTTTAAAATGAATAATTTATGTTAATAAGAATATGGCAATAATAGATATAGATTGTATAGTAAATTCATCATCATTGCTCAAGGAAAATCGACGAATATGTTTGTACGCCTACTCACGCCCCCTGGATACACTATTAAGAAAAAAAACATAGTCTAAAATAATTTTAAAGAAACTAGTACTAGATTTTAACTATAATTTTTCAGATCGGGAGCACCCTGATTATGATACGGCCGAAGAAGCAATGGCTATTGTGGCTGAATTGATGCCGGAACTCGTTCGTGGTAAGAATTAATAATAATTATTTTATGAAACAGACGCAAATAATCACATACCTATTACATTGGCTCATAAAGAGTATGTACACTGGTAAATTTATATTAAAATTGAAATTTGGATAATGGAAGAATATCCCTGGCCTTTAAAATATATATTTTATGTTAAAATACATTGGGACAGGGCAGTAATATATATATATATATATATATCGGCGCAACAAAGTATAAGCGACGTATCGGCGCATTACTTAAACAATTATTATTCGGTTAAAAATCAATAGACGTTATTTCAACCTCTGAAATAACGTTATAAGCTGATTTTTATAACATGTGTCTTTATTTTTATAATTACTTAGTTGATTATTGTTACCAGATAAATAATTTAAAATGCTTTAATTCACAATATAATTAAATACGGGTTGTCGCTATAACAATTTGAAAGTAATCATTCTCAAAGCGCAGGAAGTGGGGATGGCTTGCGCACACTCGCATTCGGTTTAAAAGGCGCGCGATGGCTGGGGCAGGGCTGCGCCCTCCTTTCTGCCAAGGAGGGTCGCGTTCGTATACGGCTTAGAGATCTCTAGTCAGATCGTTAAGCCAATTCCTAAAAGGCGGTGTTTAGTGGGTAAAAGTCTCCACATAACCACGCAGCCGGCTGCGTGGTATGCTATGAGCATTCACCGCCTCCCCCCCCGCTTTCCGGAGGGTTGCCCATATTTGCTTCGGGCGCAAAAAAAAATTGGGCAGGAATTCCTTCTTGCTCGAGCTGTCGTGCTGTTCGGACTGTATATTGAATTCGCGAACTATAAATTGTGAACAATAGTGAATAATTATTAAATCGTTAATTGTGAACAATAGTGTGTAATTGTTGATTGTGAGTAACTATTAGTTGTTATTAGTAAAATCAGTTAAAAGTAAAATAAGTGATTCTTATTATTAAAGAAAACAATAATGAGGGAAACTAGAAATCTCAATAATGACGTCATCAATGATGACGTCATAGTTTTAAAAAATACTTCTGGTGCAAATATTCCGTCATCAGAAGTGGGATGTGAACAATGCTCTTCCACTTTTGCTCAACCATCTGCTATTGAAAAACCATCGATGTCATCTAACACTGAAACAATGCAACAGAATCGGAGTGATAACACTTCAACGATTAATGTACCATCACATTTTTATGCAGATGATGCATATGATGCAAAATATGTCTGATAGACTGAATACTCCATCGGAAACAAAGGTAAGAATCAATGATATTTACCTACCTTCATTTGATCCAGATACTAACGTTGGAGTACGTGAGTGGTGTCAACATATTAATAAAGCAATTCAAACGTACAACCTCAATGATTTTGATATACGCATGAGGGTTGGCAGTTTATTGAAAGGACGCGCTAAAATGTGGGTCGATGATTGGATGATAACTACATCTACTTGGGAAGAACTGCGCAACAAACTTATAACTACATTTGAACCAGAAAACCGGTATTCTCGAGACATATTAAGATTCAGGGAAACATGTTTTTGATTCATCAAAGGATATAGCGGAATTCTTATCGAGAGCGTGGGTACTATGGAGACGAATTACCAAGGATAAATTACGTAATGAAGATGCGGTTGAGGCCGTCATAGGTTGCATTAGTGATTAACATCTACGGATTGAACTATTAAACGCGCGCGCAACAACAGTGCCAGAACTTATATCTATTGCATCCTCAATACGATTAAAGCGCGTTCATCCATCAAATAGTAGCATGACAATGCCACACAAACGTCCCCGGTTATCAAAGCAATAATCATGCTTACGCTCCATCATTCTGTCGCATCTGTAAAAGGAAAAATCATTCTGCCGATGAATGTCGTTTCAAACCAACAGCATCGAGTCAGGAATTAAAAGAAGTGAAAGTGATAGTAAGTCTACCTGCACATTTTGTCAAAAATTAGGACGTACTTACGACCAATGCTTTAAACGTGATCGTTCTTTGACATCAAATGTAAATCACATTGAAGGTGCAAAACTCGCCCCTTTAACTATCTGGATAGAAATAAAATCTTTAAGGACAGTGTTCGACAGTGGCTGCAGAATGTTCAGTTTTACGAATCTGTAGCCACAGCTCTGCCTGGACAAAGAGTTCAAACAGCTAACTACTTGAGAGGTATTGGACGATTTCCCGTACTGTCACTCACGAGCTTACTGACTATATGTGTCATAGATAATATCAGCGTTGAAATTCAGTTTTATGTTCTGCCTGACTGTGAGATGTCGACAGACATTTTGGTGGGCATGAACTTGATTCGAGGCACAAATTTGAGTGTTATAGTCACGTCTAGCGAAACAAAATTAGTACACCAAGGGTTTGTCAATCATATCACCACAAATAATCCAATATTTGAAAAACTAGACTGTGATCTTTCCAACCCAGAAGAGATCAAATAACTTCGCATACTCCTTAATAAATTTGAACACCTATTTATTCGAGGATACCCTAAAACCCGAGTTAATACAGTATGTTAGAAATCAGATTGAAGAATCCGGATAAATACGTTGAACGAAGACCATACCGCCTCAGCCCAGTGGAGAGGGAAAAGGTTCGTAGCATTGTTAACGAATTACTGAAGCACAACATTAAACGTGAGAGCAAATCGCCATACTCAAGTCCTATTATTTTGGTAAAAACGAAGAATGGAGATGACCGTCCTTGTGTAGACTTCCGCGAATTAAATGCCAATACATTGCGGGACCATTACCCACTCCACTCATCTCCGACCAGATCGATCAACTGGCCAATGGACTCTACTTTACCACATTTGATATGGCGGCAGGTTTCCATCAGATACCTATTTCGGAGAATCCCATAGAGAAGACTGCATTTGTTACACCTGATGGGTTAAATGAATACCTTACTATGCCATTTGGTTTATCCAATGCATGTGCAGTGTACCAAAGGTGTATTAATAGGGCATTGTTTTCGTTACTAGGGAGTGCTGCTCAAGTTTACGTCGACGATGTTTTGAGCAAAAGTGCTGATTTTGCTCAAGGTCTAGTAAACATTGAACGCATTCTCATAGCATTACAGAAGGCTGGGTTTTCTATTAATGCAGATAAGTGCAGCTTCTTCAAACTCTCAATAGAATATTTGGCTAACGTTGTTTCCAATGGTCAAATCCGTCCAAGTCCAAAGAAAGTTGAAGCTCTAGTTAAGTCACCAGTACCGAATACTGCTAAAAAGTAAGACAGTTCAATGGTTTAGCTGATATTTTCGGAAATTTATCCCCGACTTTTCCCGTATAATGATGATACCCTTGTATGAGTTGACTAAACAAGGTGCTAAGTGGGAGTGGAATGATCGACACGAAGAAGCACGTAATAAGATAATCCAATGTTTGACATCATCTCCTGTGTTAACAATATTTCAGGAAGAAGCACCATAGAAATTATACACGGATGCTAGTAGCTTGGGATTTGGTGCCGTTCTAGTACAGATAATCAACAAACGTCAACATGCAGTCTCCTTCATGAGTATGAGGACTACTGATACTGAAAGCAGATATCACTCGTACGAGCTGGAGACCTTGGCGGTAGTACGTGCAGTAAAACATTTTCGACAGTATCTGTATGGACGGAAGTTCAAAATTATAACCGATTGCAATGCCTTAAAGGCATCTAAGCACAAAAAGGATCTCCTCCCGAGAATTCATTCGGTGGTGGGTTCGTTTTTACAGAGCTATGATTTTGAAGTAGAATATCGCAAAGGAAATCGTCTGCAACATGCCGACTTCTTTAGTAGAAATCCAAGTAGTTGTGAGGTTAACATTATGACAAGAGACCTGGATTGGCTAAAGGTCGAACAACGCGAGATGAGATGTTACGTCGTCTGATGGACAGCTTCAATAACGGAAATACAGTGGATGGGTACTTTCTAGAAAACGATGTTTTAAAACGAATCGTAAAAGACCCAATTTTTGGACAGCAAATCTGTATTGTGGTTCCTAAATCCTTCCAGTGGAGTATAATAAATTCATTTCATACAGCGCTTAAGCACCCTGGATGGGAAAAGACTCTACATAAAATTAAAGAATCTTACTGGTTTGATAAAGTGAACACCCTGGTGCGCAGATTTGTGGACAACTGTATCGTGTGTAGAACATCAAAAGGAACATCGGGCGCTGTACAAGCTCAAATACATCCAATCCAAAAGCCAACTACAGCTTTTCAAGTGATACATAAAGTCCGCACAGCACACTGGCTGCACTAAAACGTCCTATACACCTATTCGGAACACCACTTCAAATTATTGTGGATGGAGGCAGAGAATTCTTGGGGGAATTCAAGACTTATTGCCAACAGCTTGGAATAAACATCCATGATATATCACCAGGAATCAGCCGAGCTAACGGACAAGTTGAGCGAATAATAGCAACGCTCAAAAATGCATTAATAATGATAAAAAATTGTGAAGCAGAACAATGGCATACTGCATTAGAAGAACTTCAGTTGGCCATAAATTGTACTGCTCATCGAGGAACAGGTGTCGCTCCGCTTACTCTACTTACAAGACGAAAACACTGTGTTCCACCGGAACTACTCTGGTTAGTAAATATTGATAATCAAACTATCGATATTGATCCCCTTTCCAGACACGTACAGAATAGAAAGCCTCAAGCGTCTGAACAAGATAGACAACGATTATCAACGTAAAGCTAAGATCTGTCATTTTCAGAAAGGAGAATACACGCAATCAAACCTCATTAGACCTCAAATTTAGTGAACCCTATACGACCGATACGATATAAAACGACCGTTATTTGGTAAAAAAAGGTAATTGGCAGAGGACGGCCTCGAAAAGTCGCCCACGATCAACTACGTCGTGCCCCGCAGCCAGGAAACCAGAGTGCCGTATCGGCGGAAAGAGAGCCATACTCTTGTAATATTAGTGCAACAAGTGAGCCCGGCCCATCCACTTCTTTAGAATCATAACAGCAGAACCTAACTCAAGAACAAAACTTTTAACGCTTGTAAAATAATTTTCAACTTTCTATTTTAGAGGCGACGAGAATTGTGTGTGTAGAACTCTACACACACTATTCTCGTATATGGTTGAAACACAAATAATAAACAAACAGCAGTAAAGCTGTAAGAATAAAAAAAATAATAAAAATAAAAAATTCTATTTTCTATTTTAGAGCCACTGTGTATAACACAGCATCGACCTTATCCTAATTCCTATAGAGCCCCTGTGTACCACGGCGAACGGGACCGCCCAGAACACAGCATCACTCCAATTTCCATTCTACGAGACGACGAGAATTATGTGTGTAGACGTGATGTATGGTTGAAACACAAATAATAAACAAACAGCAGAAAAGCTGTAAAAAAAATAATACAAAAAAATTGGTAGGTGCTGAGCACGCACCGCCAATCAGAATGGCCGTATCGGCGCAACAAAGTATAAGCGACGTATCGGCGCATTACTTAAACAATTATTATTCAGTTAAAAATTGATAGACGTTATTTCAACTTCTGAAATAACGTTATAACCTGATTTTTATAACATTTTTATAATTAGTTGATTATTGTTACCAGATAAATAATTTAAAATGCTTTAATTCACAATATAATTAAATGCGGGTTGTCGCTATAACAATTTGAAGGTAATCATTCTCAAAGCGCAAAAGCGCAGGAAGTGGGGATGGCTTGCGCACACTCGTATTCGGTTTTAAAAGGCGCGCGACGGCTGGGGCAGAATTCATTCTTGCTCGAGCTGTCGTGCTGTTCGGACTGTAAATTGAATTCGCGAACTATAAATTGTGAACAATAGTGAATAATTATTAAATCGTTAATTGTGAACAATAGCGTGTAATTGTTGATTGTGAGTAACTATTAGTTGTGATTAGTTAAATCAGTTAAAATGAAATAAGTGATTCTTATTATTAAAGAAAACAATAATGAGTGAAACTAGAAATCTCAATAATGACGTCATTAATGATGACGTCATAGTTTTAGAAACTTCAGGTGCAAATGACGTCATAGTTTTAGAAAATACTTCTGGTGCAAATATTCCGTCATATATATTGATTGTATCGTAAATTTGCTCATATGTCATTGTTCAAGGCAAATCTACGAATACGTTTGTATATACACGACCGCTGTATACCCTATTAAGAAAAAAAACATAGTCTAAAATAATTTTTAAAATTCCCAAGTTATGACTGAGTCAGAATTATTTCATACAGTTTTGCATGTTCCCATAATTCTTTTTCATCTTTAGGCCCTAAAAGTTAATTTGTCTTAATTCTTACACTCGATGGCACTCTTGATCAGAAATTCACTTGAAAAGAAAGGTTGTAAAAAAAGGCTGCCTGCGCCGGCGCGCGCTGCTCCACTACCGGTGCGTGCGTGCGCACGTACACTGCATAGTGTGCGTATACACCGTAGCGTAACGAATCTGGTGAATAGTAATAATAATAATAGTTCTCTAGACCGAATTTCGGTCACGGCGGTTCATCTCAACGCAGATTAGCCATCGGCGCAGGACAGGATTATAGTGCCCAAATGTATGCACAAGCACAGGTGCACTCTCTATTGCCTCACTCTCATAATCCGATGGGACGGTAAACCGACGCTTTACGTGCTTTCCGAGGCGCGGGGGTGAGACACCGCCAACTTCCTGACTCCGGGAAACTACTGTGAATTTCTTGACGGAATTACTCAATAACGAGGGGGCCCGACCCAGGATTCGAACCCAGGACCTCATGATCAGCAGTCGCACGCTACTACAACCACTAAACCAACCAAGGAAAAGTAGTGTAGATAAAAATTTGTTGCTAATGTGTTAGAGAGAGTTTTGCATATTTGCCTATTCCTTTTCATGTCATTGTTTTATTATCGAAGGTTTTAATTTATATCCCTATTGATTTCCCGATTAGAGGAACTTCAGCTATACGTAAGACAAATACGCGCGTCTATAAATGTGCTGATAAAAATTGTTGTTTATTTATTTATATTCTGTGTATCCCTATACTATTCATACAATTACGACGAAACTTTATTCAGCGGTTGCGTGTGTCCGCGAAAGCTTCTGACGAAAAATAGACCACGCGTGCCAGTCAGTGAATTTAATGCAAAACTATTTGTTACTTCTAGATGTAAAAATTATAAATGCTATGAAGGACGAAAAGGCTGGACGTGCTTTGATTAACGATATTCGAGCATTATGTGAGGCAACTCAAGACATTTCTTTAGCATCAGAACAAGGGTCTATGCAAGTAAGTCAAATCAAATAATTTTAATGTACGACTTCTTATCTTTAGAAAATAATTAATAGTCAAGTTCTAATCCCAGCTAGAGCATGTGGGTTACAGACGGAATAAAAATCTAGGATCCTCTTGTTGTATAAACAACATATACTGTTAGAAATATCATTAGCATATGAAAATCCACTGCTAAACATATGTACAACGGGAGACCCCTCCCGTTGTAGGGAGGTTCTGTTTTAACAATTACGCTTGACAGGCTTATTGACAATCGCATCTTTGATGTTGCCGACTGTCACCAAAATCTAGGTGTTTTACGTATCATCATCATCATCATCAACACAGCCCTTCACAAGCCCACTGCTGAACATAGGCCTCCCCCAAGTAATGCCACAAAGCACGGTCCTGAGCCACCTGCATCCATCGACTTCCTGCATATCTTACCAGGTCGTCACTCCATCTAGTGGGGGGTCGCCCTACATTACGCCTACTGGTACGAGGCTGCCACTCGAGAACCTTTCTTCCACATCGGTTATCGGTTCTTCGAGCTATATGGCCGGCCCATTGCCACTTCAGCTTACTAATCCGCTGGGCTATGTCGGTCACTCTGGTTTTACTGCGGATATCCTCATTGCTGAGTCTATCACGCAGAGAAACTCCGAGCATAGCCCTCTCCATAGCTCGCTGAGCGACCTTGAGCGTCCTCATACGGCCAGCAGTGAAGGACCACGTCTCTGATCCGTAAGTCATCACTGGCAACACGCACTGGTTGTACACTTTAGTTTTCAGAGATTGAGGTATACCTGACGAGAAGATGTGTCGTAATTTCCCGAACGCTGCCCAGCCGAGTTGAATCCGTCGATTGACTTCTCGGTCGAAGTTGGACTTACCTAGTCGGACTATTTGTCCCAGGTAAACGTACTCGTCAACAACTTCGAGCATAGTGCTCCCAACAACTACCAGCATAGGTGTGACATGGACATTAAACATGTTCTTTGTTTTGTCCATGTTCATCTTAAGACCTATCCGTTGGGAGGCACTATTGAGGTCATTGAGCATAGTGCTTAAGTCCTCCAGCGATTCTGCCATAAGGACTATATCGTCGACAAATCGAAGGTGAGTGATGTACTCGCCATTGATGTTAATACCGTATCCTTTCCAGTCCAGTAGCTTGAAAACGTCTTCCAAAACAGCGGTGAAGAGTTTCGGGGATATAACGTCACCCTGTCTTACACCTCTATGCAGTTGGATAGGTTTCGAGCTCTGGTTCTGTACTCGGATAGCCATCATAGCCCTACTGTACAAACACTTCAGCACTTCGATATACCGACAGTCTATTTGGCACCGCTGAAGGGACTGCAGCACCGCCCAAATTTCGACGGAATCAAAGGCTTTCTCATAGTCCACATACGCCAGGCAAAGTGGCAAATTGTACTCTTCAGTCTTCTGTAGAATCTGCCGCAGGGTATGTATGTGGTCTATGGTACTGAAGCCTTTTCGGAAACCGGCTTGTTCGGGAGGCTGGAAGTCGTCGAGTCTGCGTGCGAGACGATTCGTAATGACTCTCGAAAACAGCACGTAGACGCGGCTCAGAAGGGAAATCGGTCTGTAGTTCTTCAACAGAGCGTTGTCGCCTTTCTTAAAGAACAAGACCACCGCACTTCTGCTCCACGCCTCCGGAGTAGTGCCACCATGGAGGACGGAATTGAAGAGCTTCTGAAGGACTTCAAGTACCGGTGTTCCACCCGCTTTCAGAAGCTCCGCTGTAATTCCATCCTCGCCTGGGGCCCTGCCGTTTTTAAGGTGCTGGAGAGCCATTCTAATCTCGCTTAGACTGACGTCCGGGATATCATCGGAATAGTGTCGGATAAGGATAAGTGTCGGAATAGGATCGTATCGCTTGAGCGTAATAGTATACAAGCGTATACCGCTATCTACCAGAAGTCGTAAGATCTTTCTGGCATATCTTACAGTCTCCTTCTGTGACAACCCTATCTTGCCATTCGCACGGGAACAATGGGGTGACAGATTGTCCGCGCCGCCACCACACGGCTAGGGTCTTTAAGTCCTTAGGTCTTCTTTTGGAAGAATATCTATTTTTTTATAGAATAAGGGTGACCAACGAGCACACTATCCTCTCTCTAAATGGATGATGTGGCCCATAGAAATCTATATTTATTCCCAATTAAGAATCAAAACGCAAACGCATTGTCACCCTTGAGGACTAAAATTGAATTCCCCGTTTCCAGTAAAAAAGGGTCTCCGGATCTCTACACTCACCATACGATTAACAGCGGTACTGAGCTGCAATTTTACGCTGGTATTCTTTGAGAGCGCGGTCTTTCCCCAGTCGAGCCGACCCATTCGTCCATAAAAGTTTTCGGTATTTAGTATCTCTTCTTCATAAATACTTCGTAAAACTTCGCTACTGAACCTCTCTCGTTGTAGATTTTGAATTGATTGAAATTCACATGAGACATCTTTGAAAGTATTTTCCTCCTTCTTCATAAGTCCACTCCCGTTGTAAGGAAGATTTGCCTTAACTATACCCACGTGAAAAATTTTATGCCGCTGCCCTTCGTCGGTCTGAGTAATTTACCTGTGGGTACCACCCTCTGTCGTAAGTATAATATTTTTCATTTTCATTTCCCATATTTTTTATTTTTCCAGTTAGTGGTTATTGGATGCTATCTTTACTTTTTATTTTCAGGATGTAAACGATGCTGCATCAAAATTCGCTAGATACTCGTCGAAACTTTGCTACGCGTTTATCCCGCATGTTGATCCCAAAAAGGAAAATATGGTAAAGAATAAAAAACATGGTAGTTTACATGATTACATATTTTTTACGAGTAAATGTACAAATGATGTTCGAATATCAAAAGTGTCAAGAATTTTTCTGTTCCACAAAATCTGACTTAAAAATAGTACTTTTAACTTTTTCTATGATTATATGACTACTTACTCTTCGTGCTTGGCAAGGTTTTACAATGTATTTCTTAAAAAAGGCATTTATTTACTATAGAAACTTTTCATGGATTTTAAGTTTACTTTTAAAATCTAATCTATTTAACTACGTGCTTTTAAAATTTTAAAACAATATTGCACGTAGGTAATAAACAATTACTGAACAAATTGATTTGTAGACCATACAATACTTATTTCGCATGTAAATGAACCTTCGGCCTGTAGCGTACTACACACTTGCCTCTGAGTTACCGAGTTAGTTATAAAATTTGTGTAATGGAGATGGAAAAAATAAAAATAAATTTTGATTTACAGATCGTTGATCTGTCAAAAATTGCGTGTGAAAAGGCTTCCCAACTACTCACTCACGTGAACCAGCTTGTGGATGAAGTTGGTGGGGATGACGGCGAGCGATTGGATGTTTGTGGAGCTAAGCTTGTAGACGTTGTTCAAGCACTACTCACTGCTGCACAGGTTTTTAATTCCTGATTTTAAAGAATACTAGTTTATGGTGACTATATGTTTATAGCAAAAAACTAGCAGAAGCTACATATTAAATTGTAGTGTCAAAAACCGAAATCACTTTAGCAATATAACTGGCGCAGATTTATATCTTTCTTCAGACAATTTAATGATGATCAACATTTTTTTATTATTGGTGATTGAAGTAGCATTGATATCGAAGCTTTATCATTATAGTCTATCAAAAGTTTACTCTGAACATAGGGCTCCCCCATACGTTGCCTCATAGGGGGGATATTTGATATATTGTCTGACAACCGCAGTTTTTATTTTTATTAAGCTTTGTCATTTGATAATGCTGCACATATCCTGGTTCAACTATCCTCTGTAACCTCTTACGACACCCACGGGACGATATGGGGTATTGAATATTCTAGCACCGTCACTATGTTGTATACTTTTTCTTGATGATTAAAATATTTTGGTTTTGCTTATTAATTAATTTCAGTTTACAGTGTTAATGAATTACTGTTAATATTTTATAACAGATAACAGCACCATCTTTTGCTGACGCACGTTGTCAGTCCACGATGTTATCAGCGGCGGATGATGTATCTTCTTTATCAAATGAGCTTGCGTATACTTGGAGTCCTCTAGTTCGTGGTACGGAACGACAGTTGTTACAGCGTAATCTGGACACTGGTCATGCTGAGTTAGAAACTGCTCTGAACAATTTAAGAGCTGCTTGCAAAAGTTATGGTAAGACTGTATCTTAATTGATAAAAAAAGTCCATTGTTTATTGAAATTCGTGTAATTTTTAGTCCATCCTACTCATAAATTCTTCTCCTTTTTCCACCCTTCTTGTAGATTGGCTGAAAGAAATTGCTGTATGAGACTACCTTTTGCTTTCTTTCTAAGTTTACTTATTTTATTATATGTTTTATTTTTAAGGTGTAATTAAGAAGAAATATTTTATTACAATCTATTTTCAACAGTGTTTTTATCCAATTTGATATTTACGTTAAATGTGATGTGAATAACGCTGTACGTTACGGTGTGGTATCTGTTACAGGATCAAAAGATAAAGAGAAAGAACGCCTTAAGTTTATCAGAACAGTATCACACACGAAAAACAAAATGTTAGATGCGGAAACGGATTTACAAAGGGTAAAGTAGATAATTTTACTTGTAGTAGTTTTATTGATGAGTAGCCTTTATTGTATGGGTTAGTTTGATTGTTAATTTTATACTATTTAGTTCATATTTAGAGCGAATATATTAGTCATTTTGTATTTATTTGAATTCTCACACCAACTTAAACGAAGCTTTTGGTACGATTTATAAATCAGCGATGTAGCTATTTGCTGCAACTTTATCTGAGCTGGCTACAATTTAAATACTTATAACATTTTAATCTATAAATATAAATATTTCTATTATTTCCATTATTATGCTTTAACTTATGGAAGCTTGTACTATTTGTTTACTCCGATAGTACTGAATTATTTATTTATTTCGTCATAAGCTTTAGCGAATTTATATATATATATATATATATATATTATTTATACATATATATATATATATATATATATATATATATATATATATATTCAAGGGCCCCAGATAAGGGTCCTTGTGGAATTCCCAAAGTGAGTTCAATTTAGAACCCTAGACAGTATCCATTGACACATAATGCCTTACTTCGGTTTAGGATTTATGGATTAATTCATCACAAATGATTGATAGAATTACTTTCTTCTGGAAGTTTATTAATGAGGAGACCACGATAAATTTTATCGAAACCTTTGTAATGACCTTACTACACAACATTAACTACTAAACGATTCTCAATAGCCTGAAGCAAGAAATTTGTTATGTCACACTTCATAATGGTATGCTATAAAGAATCAACCTAGATTGGTTTGTTTGTCTTTTGAAATCGAGTATTATAAATCGATATTATATGATATTACTTATCAGATTTAGGTGACAATATAAACTTCACCAGCTGCGTTATTTAAATTTTTTTGATATTACAGCTGCAATGACTATTAATAAATGCAGGAAGCATTGTTGATTAAATAAGTGTATGTACACACTTACAGTGACAGTGACAGTGACAGTGACAGTGTATTCTGAACATGTTTGACGTTACGTAAACATCACGATTGATTTTGTTCACAGCCGATAAAGACTATGGACGTTAATAATGTAGGAGAGTTGCAACGGAAGATGGCACAGCGTCTTGCGCTGCTTAATGCAGCAATAGCGTCACTCGTGAAGGCCACAACGGGTCAGTGTTGTAAACTTTATAAAGGCAGTCTTTTAAATTAAGTTATTCACTTTTCGACTCCTCAACAGATCAGCTTATTGGTACCATTTACTCTTTTATCTTCACAATCATATTTACAAGTCCCAGTCTACAAGAATCTTAAACAGGATATTTTGCTAGCAGTATGGATTTAGCTTAAGTGTTATAAGGGAAAATCTTTTAAGAGTACAACATAATATAATATTTATTAATGATTGACAACTGCGTGTTTTATTTAATGATTTCCGGTACTATTTTGACTAAGTTGTAAACTTAAACTTTTTCAGTTTCAGATGACGTTGACTACAGTGCTGCGGAGCAATCCATCAGTTCCATTACGAAGTTGATTCCGGGCGTGATAGAAGGTACATCCAGTCATGTCAATTTAATGCGACCTTTAGAAACTTTACGTTATTTTTCCCTTTTTTCATTAGCACAAACCTTCAACACCTGGGCTTTTCCCAGTATCTGAAAGTTTTGTTATACTCTCTACACTTATAGTCGAATAGAAGATCACAGTTCCATATATCTCGTAATTCATATTTTCGGCGGAAAAATTTATACTTAGGTTATACATGCAAAGACAGCTATATCTAAGCTATAGGCTATGTATGTACCCTATTTTTATTATTACATTGGTATAAATTGTTTATATTTTTTATCCGAAAATGATATAAACTATAAGTGATTTTAGCCTTAATAAAAATTGATAGTCAAAAGTATTGCATATTGTATAGTAGTATTTTTTGCTAGTTTTCAAACGGTAAAAAATTATAGATAAAGAGCTGCACCTACATTTCATGTAACGCTGAAACCAAGCCAAAATCAGATTCTACTTATTGCGTGAACACCAATTCACCCAAAAGCATGTATCTAAAATCATTGGGAACCAGCAACATAGTTTTGGGCATTTGTATGTGCGTCCAGGAGCGGAATTTTACAGGCTTTATGTTGTTGTAATGCTGAAAGAAAAAGAAAGATCTGTGCAAGTCAAGAAGTAGAGCATGGTTTTGGCGTCACTTCAAATGTATGCAACGCTCTATCCATGTTTCTTTGTTAGTTTGAGATTTTTATTTTAGATTTTTTTTATATTATGGTCATTCGAAGTGTGCTAGGTCCAATGTCTCTTTAAATCCAATAAAGCAATTGGTCTCTTCGTAAACCAATAATCCGGGTTTCTAGTAGTCAATTTGGGTTGGTTAACTTTTACTGAGTGGCCCATGTATAGCATAGAGCAACACAGACATCGGCGGACCGGACGAGAGTAGCATTGCGTTTTTTCCCGACACAGAACTGTTCGTCATTTTTTGCGGGGAAAACCTGCGCACACAAAAACAATCGTCGTTTAGTACGAAACTCACACATAAAAATTACTATAATTTCACACACTCATTGATAAATTATAACAGTACCGCTTAGTGAGCTACAACTCGGATACAGACTTGGATCAGCCGTTCGATCGATTATCGTATGAGGGCGAGCGGCCTGAGTTGGTTAACTAATCCGAAACAACTCGAACGTTATTGTTGTAATTTTTTAGGTTTAAAGCGAAGTTAATAGCAATAATGTAATTAAAAATTAGTATAAAAAATAACTCCACCTTTTTGTAAATTTGACGAAAAAGATCCCTTTTTGCAGCAAAATACTGAACCATTGGGCATTTTTGTTGTTCGTCGATTTAGCCGAATAATAATGTAATTAAAATTACTTACATATAAAAAATAACTCCACCTTTTTGTAAATTTGACGATAAAGATCGCTTTTGCAGCAAAATACTGAACCATTGGGCATTTTTGTTGTTCGTCGATTTAGCCGAATAATAATGTAATTAAAATTACTTACATATGAAAAATAACTCCATCTTTTTGTAAATTTGACGATAAAGATCGCTTTTGCAGCAAAATACTGAACCATTGGGCATTTTTGTTGTTCGTCGATTTAGCCGAACAATAATGTAATTAAAATTACTTACATATGAAAAATAACTACACCTTTTTGTAAATTTGACAAAAAAGATCACTTTTTGCAGCAAAATACTGAACCATTAAGCATTTTTGTTGTTTGTCGATTCAGCCGAACAATAATTTAATTAAAAATTACTTACATATGAAAAATAACTCCACCTTTTTGTAAATTTGACAAAAAAGATCCCTTTTTGCAGCAAAATACTGAACCATTGGGCATTTTTGTTGTTCGTCGGTTTAGCCGAATAATAATGTAATCAAAATTACTTACATATGAAAAATAACTCCACCTTTTTGTAAATTTGACGAAAAAGATCGCTTTTTGCAGCAAAATACTGAATCATTGGGCATTTTAGTTGTTCGTCGATTTAGCCTCGCAAATGGATTTAGTGTAGTGAGCAGTGCGGCTGCATCTAAATTTATTGTAAGCATACATGAGGGGAACGCCTGCGTGTCACCTCCAGTCCGCCGGTAGCCCGTGATGCTCTGTGATGAGTAAAATACGCGAATTTTATTTTAGATACGAAGTTACTGAGCTCGTTGAAAGACGACAGGGCACAACGGGCAATGCTGACCGAGCTGAAAATTCTATTTAACGCAACCAGTGATATATGCAAGCATACAGAACAAGGCAATGCACAGGTGAGCTGGACAATGAAGTAATATGTAAGTACGTAAGTACAATATAGTTCAATGTAGCTGAAACATCTTTTCGTAGTTTTAAAGCAAGATTTAATCCGATATTTATGTAAATTAGGAATATTTTGTCAACATATTCGACCTTTATTATTCTCATTAGTCTCTTAAACACTATAAAGTGCTTGACAATGATCTCTGATTCTCTGAGAGTAATAAAGATGATTTTATATAATAGTTGATCGTATATTGATTAAAACTACTTTTACGGATTTTATCGCGTTTTATTTATATTAATTTTAATACCCGACGTTTCGGGTGCTTTCCAGCACCCATGGTCACGGGGGACTGAGGTGACTGACGTCCCGATGTTAAAGTTAACCCGGAGTACCTTCAGCTTTTTAATTATTGTTTTTTGTCCGATCTACGCAACGGGTGCGTTTGGCAGAAAAAAGCGCTAGCAAGCGCTTATAAGCGCTGAAATAGTTTTCGGCCAGGACACGATACTACTTCAGTAGCGCTGACACTATCCGCCATTTTGCTTATTTAATTTGTTTGTTTTGAAGTAGAGTTTTTAAGTTGTTTTGTGCAATATTAGTTTTTAGTAATATAATAACGTGAATAAACATATACATGTTATTAAAAATTCATGATTGGTAACTTTTTAATATGAAAACTTTACAAACATATATTTAAATTAGGTTAGGTTCCCCCGGTTAAAACTAACATCGTGTCCTGGAGGAAAACAGCTACTTACGATTTGACAGCGCCTACCGCTTACGATCGCCATTTTGCTTACAAGCGCTTGCTAGCGCTTTTTTCTGCCAAACGCACCCATTAATAATTAAAAAAATAATTAAAAAGTTGAAGGTACTCCGGGTTAACTTTGACATCGGGACGTCAGTCACCTCAGTCCCCCGTGAGCATGGGTGCTGGAAAGCACCCGAAACGTCGGGTATTAAAATTAATATAAATAAAACGCGATAAAATCCGTAATAGTAGTTTTAATCAATGAATAGTGTTCGCGTAAATATAAGAAATCAGCTGATCGTATAGTTATATAGTAGTTACTTAATGTCTTACATCTTTGATGCGTACACGTCACAGATATGGGGATTTATACATTTGGATCTATCTGGAAATTTTAAGATCTACCGTGTAGTGGTGGTGTAAGAATATCCAATACCTAATATATCATCCTGTGGTTGTCGTAAGAGTCAACGAAGGTAAACAAATCAGGAGATAGGCAGCAACGTCTTCCTAATAATGACTAAAAGTAAAAAAAAACTGCGTCTTTCTACCCGTTTGTCAAGCGTGGCAACTTAAGGTAAAGGTACCCTTATGAGGTAATCTATCGGGGAGGTCTATGTTCAGCATTGGACTTTAATAGGCTGTAACGGTAACGATAACGGACATTTCGAATAATCTTATTGAGATCCACCTTTTTAAAGTCGACTAAAAAGTGAAAAGAGGGCATCAAGTCGGGACGGTTTATTTCGAAAGCTTTATTTTACATATTAAGAAAAATTATCGTATGTGTTCTTTCAGGCTATCAATGATATGGCTTTGAAGTTTGCGGAAGCATCTGGAAAACTGAGTTTAGTCTTTAATCCGCAGCATTCTGCGCAAAAGAATGATGTAAGTGCACTTTTATTACACTTTCGGTTCCTAGGGAAAATTTTACTACTAAAACATTATTAAATCTTCTTTAAATATGTATATAAAACTTCTACTACCTGTGTGTGTGGTTTTCACTAAACTCCTCCTAAACGGTTAAACGGATTTTGATTAAAAAAGCTGTGTGTGTTTGAGTAGGTCCTTGGATTGTTTAAATTTGCACACGGTAGGTGGCACTGTTGTTAAGGCCTAGACTTGCAAGTCTGAGGAATAAAAATATTTCGTAGACTTTCTGCCAACACGCGTTTAGCGCGGTGGGCTTGTGGGCTACAGAACACGCTGAGGACTGAGAGAAAGAGAGGAACCTTCTGTCCAGCAGTGGGTCGTATATGGGCTGGGAATTTATATATTTACTAAAAATAATTTTATGGAACATATTACATTTCAAATAACTAACTACTACCAATTACCTAACTATAATTGATTTTAGTTCAGTTTACACAGAATTACTTAGTATATTACTCTATTCTTTGATGCAGAATTAGTTTACAGTATCTTGAAATCTTGTGAAGTGTTTCTTTATTTGTGTATTCGACTGATATTCTTTGTGTATTTATAATTTAAAAAGTATTTAAAAAATATTTATGACCTATCATGATGATTACGTTAAAATGACAAATTTATGAGTCTACAAGCTTATCCTAAGTTTGTAAGGGTTGTAAGATTGTTTTTAATCTTCAGATAGCAGATTTGTCTAAAGCAGCATACGATAAAGCATCAAAGATGCTGGTAAATGTGCATCAGCTTTCGAAATCTGTGGGAGGAAAAGACTGTAGTCATTTGGACGAGTGCGGCGTTAAAATGGGAAACGCTGCAAAATCACTGTTTACTACTGCGCAAGTAAGTTGTTGTAATTGTCGATTCTATGTTAAAACAGTATTTTTATTTTTATAATCTTGAATTTGAAATATATCATGTTATACTAAATAACAATATCACCATGTTGTTTGCTATGAAGATGCTTCTCGTCCTTGTGTTTTTCTTGGGTTTCGTAAGAAAACTTTATCAATAGAAATAGATAAAATTTTAAATCAACTTCATTGTAATTTAATTTTAAAATCAGGAGCTACTTTGGGAGTCATTTATTATGTTAAATATTATGTGAAAATTAATAAGCTATTTTACGCTTAGCTCTTAATTTAAAGTTCTTTTCATGTTTCAGATTTTATCATCATCCATAGGTGATTCTAATTGCAACACTACTTTAATTTCCGCAATCGACGATCTCTCTGCATCTTCCCAAGAATTGACTTCAGCTTTGAGTCCAATCAAGCAAAATATCAAATGCAAAAACACTATAGATGAACTTGAAATGGAACAAGGAAAACTGGACTCAATGTTGAATGATTTGCGTGCAGCGTGTAAAGAAATAAATGGTGCTTACTGTTATATATAATTATTTTCTGTTATATATAATTATTTTATTCATGACCTAACATCGATAAAATATTAATATCGATGTTATATTACTATCGATGTTATCGATGTTAGGTCACGAATTGTACAATCATCATTATCATCATCATTGAAAAGAAGTATAACTTTGCCTCCAGGTTCTTCAAAAGAGTTATTGCCAAGGCAAAGTATAAGCACATTGGCAGACATGGCGAGAAATTAGTTCGCCTTTCCAAGGGAATTTCTGTAAGCCATCACTACCATCTCTGCATAGGGAGGACGACTCACTGACCCACGCCACAAAGAGAAAGCCAATCTTTTAGGCTCTCTTTTTGCATCCAACTCGACTCTCGATGACGGGGGAACACACCGCCAACCATCCCGCGGTGCGAGCCTTCAAGTCAAATACAGTCCGCCGTTTATTATAATGAAGCATTCTAGTCACATTACGTTGACGGTTCCATGTTGCAGTAGGTTAGCTATGAGTTGCACCGCTAAGGGCCACAGGTTCGAATCCCACGCGGAAAAATATTTGTAAGGCCCACAAATAATTGTCCCGGTCCGGATGTTTGTTCATGTGAAATGCATGTATGTAAACTGGAGTGGTCTATGCCTGATGTGCGATTCACACAGTACTCAGTACGTAAAGCACTCCTTTCCCTAGCTCCACAAGTCTAGTGAGCCTGACGGAATCCCGCCAATTGTGCTGAGGACGTGTGCTCCATTGTTGGCACAGTTTCTGACGCGTCTTTTCCGATACTCCTACTCCCTCATCGTAGTCCCGAATTCATGGAAGACAGCTTTGATGCACCCGATCCCTAAAAAAGGTAACCGCTCTGATCCGTCCAACTACATTACTATCGCCATTACCTCATTGTTCTCCAATATAGTGAAGGAGCACCATCTGATTAGTGACTGCCAGCACTGTTTCCGTCGGGGTTGCTCAGCTGGTGATCTTGTTTATGTAACACACCGTTGGGCGCAGGCGATCGAGTCCAAGAGGGTAGGCTTTGGTGGTTAGTTGGGACATAGCGAAGGCCTTCAATCGGGTTTGGTATAAAGCGCTTCTTTCGAAGCTTCCTTCTTATGGGCTTCCTGAGAAATTGTGCATTTGGATCACCAGTCTTCTGTGTGATCAAAGCATCAAGATCGTAGTAGACGGTGGATGCTCTGCTTTATATAATTAGTAACAAGGATATGTTTAAGAGGCACCTAAGGGAAAGGTCTGAAAATTTTCATGCCATAGGTACCATAGATGAAGATATCACATCACTATCATTCATCAGCCATTCGAAGTCCTCTGCTGAAGATAGACTAAAACCCAGTGATTGCCTTGAAGTGGGCATTTTGTCCGGTTGCTACGCTTCGTAATCGCGTTTGGAAGTTGTTACCAGGAAGACGCTGCTGATCAACTCCTGGTTTGTTTCTCTTTGTCACAACTTACGACACCTATCGGGTATTATATATACGTGGTAGAGCCACGCTGCAGTTATATTAGTAGTATAGTTGTAGCACGAATGGTTCGGCTCGACCGGGGAAGGACTACGCTCTCGCAGAATACCAGCGTAAAATAGTAGCTTAATGCTGCTGTGTTTCGTATGGTGACTGTAGAGTACCGGATACCCTTTTTACTGGAAACGAGGCATTCCATCTTAATCCTCACGGGTGACAACGCATCTGCGTTTTGATTCGTAATCGAAGATGGATGTAGATGTCTACGGGCCACAGCAACCACTTACCATCAGGTGGACTGTGTGCTCGTTTGTCACCCTATACTATAAAAAAATTATCGGGTAGTAGATATTCTTACACCGCCACTTTATGGTAAGATAGCATTGATATTGGACAGTAACAGTATACCTCATATGCCATAATCGCTATGCTTGTCTAGCGGACTTACACCTTCGATGGTGCTCTTTGTTACCAATCTGGATGTTTTACATCGCCTTTATGGGATGATATACTATCTATGAGATGCTTTGAGATACTTCTATCCCTTCCCATAGTCGCCTCTTACTAAATACTGTACCTACGAAAAGGGATAATTGAATCTTTTTTACCACCACATGGCAAATTTTTACCTGTAATTGATACCTTTGTTCATTTTTTAAAGTAAGTTTCCATTCATGTTAGACCTTTCCCCCATACTGTCCAACATTAACTCCTGCATTACAAACTGTACTTAAAATTATTCATCATTAAATCTGTTGTTGAATTAACTAACAACATTGTTAAATTTCATTTCATATTAATAAGTATAAGCTTAATGTCATTTATAATTTTGTAGCTATTGAAAATGATCCTGAGCTGCATACACAAGATGTTATAAAGCAGCAACATACGTTACTCACTGATAGTTCAACCGTCAAAAACGTTGCGCCTAATAACATTGAGAAAGAGTTACTGGAAGTAAGTTTTAAGATTTGTACCTATATATCATGAATTGGCTTACTTAGAAAGTATTTTTTTAATAAAACTGAGTTTTTTTTTATATAAGAGGGCTAGCGAGCATGCGGCTCACCTGATGATAAATACTACCGTCGCTCATGAACAACTGCAACACTAGGGGAATTGCAGATTAGTTGTCAGCCTTCTAAAAAGATCAGGCTCTTCTCATGAAGGTCTCTAAGTCGTATGTGCCTGAAAAAAATTGCTGGTGCCAGCCGGTTTCACAAGGAAGTTGTGCGAGGAAGGAAACTTTTTGTGAATCGCACAGTTGTGGCTCGCCAATCGTCCAAATCGTATGATATCGCGAATGTTATAAGTGACAAACGAAAATACAGCAAGTAGCAACTTGCTATCTCGTGGACTGTATTTTCGTGTATATATATATATATATATATATATATATATATATATATATATATATATATATATATATATCATACCGCTGAGAACTGTCCCACGGAGTCAATCAGTAATCGAAATCGAAAACCTGTCGCGGGAGCGTGGAAGATCTGCGAGGACGGCGGTGATAAGGTAGGCGTGAAATTTATTTTAACGAACGCTCTTTCTCTCAACCAGTATCCCTGTACAGTCCAATATCGCTATAGCTTATAAGTGTTTATCTTAGAATTACCGAATATGTTCGATACTCGACTGCATCAGTTTATAATCATTTGGGTTTCAAGTTCCATACAGTCCGTTGATGGCTCCGTGTTGCAGTAGCTTAGCAATAAGTTGCGCCGCCAAAGGGTCGCAGGTTCGAATCCCGCACAGAAAAAAAATATTTGTAATGCCCACAAGTAATTATTCCGGTCCGGAAGTTTGTTCTTGTGAAATTTATGTATGTAAACTGCCCCCACGATACAGAAGAAAATCCTAGTGTGGAGGTAACGTATTATTAAAAAAAAACAAGAATAAAAAGAAAGAAAAATATAGAGAATCGATGTGCAATGTTCAAGAAAAATAAAAGGTTTCTTTCTATTCACAGGTAAAAGATCTATCCAAAAAGGTTATCAAAACAGCAAGAGAAATGTCAACAAATGCAAGCGCGCTAGCTGATTTAGTGGGAGGTACAGACCGTGACCATCTACATGATTGCGGAGAGCGGATGACCGATGCTGCTCAAGTTTTGTACAATACTGTAGCTGTAAGTTGAGAATAATGTAGATGTCTATGGGCTACAGTATCGACTGACCATCATATGTGTGACATTGACTGTGTGCTCGTTTATTACATATATAAGAAAAAAAATTGTTACACTATATTTCACCACAAAATACACATATACACACATACACGCACACGCACATGCACACGCATATGCACACGCACATGCACATGCACAGCACAGAAGAAGCGCACACGCACATGCACACGCATACGCACATGCACACGCAAACACACACACACACACACACACGCACATGCACACGTACACGCACATGCACACGCAACACGCATACGCACGCACATGCACACGTACACGCACATGCACACGCAACACGCATACGCACATGTATATATTCCATTACATTGTAGGATGTAACTACGGAACATAGGCCTCCCCAAAGATTGCCTCGTAAAGTGAATACTTGTCAAAGTTGCTGTGGTTAGCAGACGGGTTGGTAACCGCAGTTTCCTATTTTCTATTTATGTTATTATAAAGAGGCTGCAGCCCATTCCCTCGTTCATTTTCCTCTACAAGGCCACTCTTTATGATATGGAGGCAAATATGTGGAGATATGGAGGCAAAGAGACTTTCTAAAATATTAACTTGACGTAAAATATCATATCATATTTATCCATCTATCCATTCATAACAGCCTATGAAAGTCCTTTGGTGAACTGTGATTGCCTAATAGGGAGGATTATACCATAGTTGCCAAGCATAGCGGCCGGGTTGGCATCCGCAGGTTTTTATTATTTTGAGTTGTTATCAGAATGATGCTGCGGCTGCCCATCACCTACTAAAACACTAGCCCCACTTCAAGGTCACTCTTTATATCTTTACATTTATGCGTACAGAGTAGATACAGACATTTTTTCTTTTTCTTTTATTCTACAAAGCCGAACTTTCTGAGCCGTGGTAGCTCAGTGGTTAACGCTCGCTGTAAATATAACAGAACGCGAGTAACCCGGGTTCGATCCCCGCCGGCACCAATGAAATTGTTAATTGCAATTTTAAGTGCTGATTTACCACGTGCTCGGCGGTGAAGGAAAACATCGTGAGGAAACCTGCATGTCTGAGGAATAAGAAAAAAAAATATTTCGAAGACATGTGAAGTACGTCAACACGCATTTGGGCAGCGCGGCGGACACTTCCTTGCCCTAAACCCTCTCAGAAATGAGGGGAGGCCTGAGCCCAGCAGTGGGACGTATATAGGCTGTAACTTTACTTTTAGTTTACTACAAATATTAAATTGACTGAAAATTTCATGTAATGTGCTTTTTATGGTAACATTAAATCATGTAAACCTTCTTTGATTGCGAATGTAGAGAGTCAATCAGTATACTGAAGAAGTCTACGGTAAATACAGTGTGTTAGCCGCAATCGATGCTGTCAGCGCTTCTTCGTTGGAACTGGGTGCTGCGTGGAGTCCAATAGAAAGGAATGCAGTACACAGTAAGATTATAGAGGAACTGGAACAAAAAGAAGTTGAATTGGATGATGCTTTAAAAAAGATGAGAGCATCGAGCGAACATATGATTGGTAATTTGGCAAAAATTTTGTTTATTCTAGATTTATGTCTTGTAGAGTGACGCTGCAGCTTTACTACGGTTATAAAATAAATGGGTCACCTCGACCAGGGTAAGACCACGCCCTCATAGAATACCAGCGTAAAATACGTAGAAGCTAAATGCTGTATTTCGTATGGTTAGTGTAAAGAACCGGAGACTATTTTTACTGAAAACGAGGCATCCGGTGATAATCTGCATTTTGATTCTTAATCGAGGATAGATGTAGATGTCTACGTACCACCACATTTACTTACCATTGAGTGGATGGCATGCTTGTTTGTAGTCCTTATTCTATATAAAAGAATATTATGTTGTCCATTTTTGTCCTAAAGTGGTAAACACTAGCGACTGTTCCCGTAGTGACAGCTATTTCTTTTTAGGTGTACAAGATGAAGCGTATGCATCCGGCGAGAAGATGAAACAGTGGTTGAAGCTAATAAAATCTATGTCAGATGTTAAATGTACCTTGCAAAAGGCATCGAGGGAGCTTGATAAAGTAAGCTATGTAATTTTCCCGTATTTTTTTCCTTTTCAGCCTGAAAGTCTGGTGCTGGGCCTGGGTCTCTTCCGTTGAAGGATTTTTAAGTATTGTTCCGTTGAAGGATTTTTACTATTATAAGCAGTGTTTCACTATTATACCACCTACTTACAGGAGAGTGACGGGTTTCTATACGGACTTATTTAGTACGTGTTTTTATATATAAAAACGCTTATACCTTAAGGTTTGCTCTCATATAAAACCAAAACTAGGAGGAGGGCATAGACAAAAACACAAAGTCGTATACTATATTACTATAACTAATATATTAAGAAAAATCAAAATAGCAAACAAGCTTTGGACATCATTACGGATACTTCAAAAATATAATGTCACAATGGCATCGATAAAGCAGCACCCTTTTAACCGTTTATTATTTGATTGACTGATTAAGAGCTACGTCACAAAGCCATCTATGCAAATAAAGACGTGGTTTTTGAGTTGTAAAAAAGTGACCATATTGCGCGGATGACCATATTAACCTCACGTATAGTACCGTTTTTATGAACTGTTTAAAGATTTTTCATTTTATGTCAACATTGTAATATAATATGTTGTACTTGTATGAAATAAAATGGATGTTTATAGATAATGTAACGTTTCTTGATTGTAGAAATGGGGTATTAGCTTAATAAAGGTATTTACCTATGCTACCTGATGGTAAGTGGTGAATTTTACTTAGTCGTCACGTTTGACAGACGGATTGTGGATTGTAGTACGCGCTCTTTTGACGTTGCTGTTCATTGCAAGTTTTAGGTTACTTTACTTCTAAGCGTTAACAAGATGGTATACCGCTATCTATCCGAAGCGATTAGATTTTTTGTCATATTTCGAAGTCTCCTCTTACGACCGCCATGAGACGAATTGGGTGATATTCCCTGACGTTATCTCTCTTGGATCCTAGTGTTATTAAGTATAAGTATAAAGTAGTTAGTATTAAGCCATGGTGGCTCCGCTGTAAAGTCACATTACGTGAGCAACCCTGGTTCGATACCCGACGGCACTAAGGAAATTGTAAATTGCAATTTTAAGTGCTGATTTCCCACGTGCTCAGCCGTGAAGGAAACATCGTGGGGATACCTGCATGTCTGAGAAATAAAAAACATATTTCGCAGGCATATGAAGTCCGCCACCAACACACTTACTTGCCCTAAAATCCACTCAGAAATGAGAGGAGGTCTGTGCCCAGCAGTGGGTCGTATATAGACTGTAACTTGCGATATATTAGTAGTACCTTAGTAGTGCTCGTCTAGCTGTGTGACAGAAGTCTTTGGTTTCCACGCAATTAACTGATATTACGGTTAATCTTATATTCAGATTATAAATCTGTTACATATTTGCTTTACTTGCAGCCTGTGACTGTTATGGAACACGCCGTGAAGTCACCGGAGCTGCAGCGTAACATGGCCCCGTGCTTAGCTCAACTTAACTCCGCCACAGCTTCGTTGATACGATCTACCGTCGGTAAGTAGAAATTAACTATGAATATGTTCCGAATTACTCATATACAATATGTAACAAAAACCCTGTGGTTCCCGTTAACTGCTTTATCAGAATCAGTATCCAAGCATATAGAAATATTTAAAAAAAACACATTTAAATAAATTATTTTAATAAATAAAAATAATTTGCAAATTGTATGTGGTTTTATTTCCTCTAACTCACACGAGTATCGGTAATGCGGAGTCTTTGATAATCCTATTACTCCTCGGCCAATGTAATTTGCAAAATATTTTTTTTTTCATTAAAATATTTTTCTTATGTGTTTTTGTTGAAAAAAAAAATTGTTTCTATATGCTTGGATGCTGATTTTGATAACGCAGTTAACGGGAACCACAGGGTTTTTGTTACATGTTGTATATACCAATAAATAGAAATAGGTGTTGCTTTAATCCTAATTTAATTTATATATAGCTTAAATCGGCGTAAAAATAAAATGGTTATACCTGGTTTGGACAGCTCCTTCTTACCTTTCGAAATTAGCTGACTCTTAACCATGTCGGAAGTCTATTACTCCTTCAATCACTTACTTTCTAAATTAGGGTTGTAGTTAGTGACGATACGTGTTTTGCCATTAAACGAGGAAACGAAGTGTTAAAATAGCCCTGGCGATAGATAACTGATAAAATTTTCTGTAGATGGTGTATTTTGTCTAAGTTAAGTGATGTTGGGTTTAGTAGTGGCAGTAATAGTACACACAATTTGTAATTAAGGGGGTAATAATCTTCCGCCCACCAAATGTCGCTAATTGACACTGAGGTAAAGTTTTTTGTTACGCAATGTCATTTAATTGAGAAGTTAGTTTTAAATAAATATTTTTAATAACTTGATTTTCAGATCAGGTGAATCCAAACTACAACGAGGCGGATAAAGCTATCAGAAAAATTGGTGAATTGATACCCGACATTATTCACAGTGAGTTGTATTTTTAAATAAAATTGAAGTAACAAGTCCATCTCATGGTCCGTAACTACTGCACTCCATGTCCACGGACATCTGCAATCAATTTCAAACAAACAAGTCTACAGACTCGTTGCCACTTCAATAGGCTACGATGATGATGAATGCTTGTAATAGAGAAGTTGCATAATTTTATTTTGCCACAAATTTATATATATAAATAAAAGAATAGTTCATTTAAAGTATATTTAATTTTTTTTTATTAACAATTCAATTTTTAGTGATTATTAATAAAAAATAGTTAAATTTTTGAATGAAAAAAAAAAAACGACTTGTTATTGATTGTGACCGTTGAGGCTAAGAGTCTATCGTGATCATGGTGTAATTTTGTATTTTGCTACATTCGGACCATATGTCTTAACAAAACATATACAGGGTGGCCTCCATTTCGAAAATTTACTTTAAATAAATTTATCTTAAATTATTTACTAGTTTTACTATGAATCTTGAAATCATTTGTCCAGAACGTAGTAAAATGATACCTTGTTTTCAATAAATTTTAAACAATACGTAAGTAAAGACACTGGATGTTATTTTTGCTAACCTGAAGCATTTACTATCTTAGTTTAGCCTTAGAAATGATATATTTTTTAAATCAAATTAAGTATTCAGGTAGTTTCCTGCCGGAGTAACTTCAGAAGTCTGTAACAGAAAAACTGGCCTACTAAGTGTCATTTTTTTAATGTTATTATGAAAGATTAAGGTACTGGCAAGTTTTTAAAATTAATTAGAAAGTATGAAATCATTATTTATTACTATTTTTCATTTAATGTTGAAAATTCGAGCCCCAATCTCCTGACAGAACATTTTTAAGTTTCGATTAAAATTATTGTATCTTCGGTGAATGTTAGGAAGCTAATTATTTTATGTATAATAGAGCAACTCATAAGGATCATGCTACAAACAAAAAAAACTTGGGAAAAATCCCACAATTACATTTTTTTAATGTTAGGCTGTTTAGGGTGAACATTTTCAAAAAAAGGATAAAAAAAATCATAACTCGAAAACTACAAAAAATCGCGTAACATACATAGGGTATTTTCGGATACCCCTAGGTGTGAGGAATCAAAAAAAATTTTTATAACCTCACTGTTTGGACCATCCTGTATAACCTGTGTTATGCAATGACAATTTTTAATATTTTGACAACGTAAACATGAGTGTTTTATCATTTCACCATGCGGTGGCGTTACCAAACATATAATGACGTCACTGGCGTTCTAATTTACATTTTATAAAAAAAACATTTTAATTGTAAAGTTACATGAAAATATTTTTTTACTGAACATTCAAAAAAAAAAAAAAAAAGAAGTAAAAAAAACATGCAACTTCTCTTTCCCTTCAAATCGGAACGTAGGAGTACCGTAGGATACACCGCTGTTTGACAGCGGAAGCAGGTAAGTGGGTGATCTGAGTATATTATACATATATACGAGTACTGTGATACCTACCCAGATTGTCATCCAGGCAGAAAAACTCCCCGAAAATCTAGTATATAATAAAAAAAATGTCATTCATCGGTTCTTCTTTTTATTTTCCGAAGTAATTAGCAAGATGTTCATGCTTCGCAGATGAATTAGCGTTGACACCTTAAACAGAATACCAGCGTCAAATAGCAGCTCAATGCTGTTGTGTTTCGTATGGTGAGTGTAGAGAACCGGCGACACTTTTTACTGGAAACGAGTCATTCCATCTTAGTATTCAGGGGTGGCACCGCATCTGCATTTCGATTCTTAATTGAGGACAGTTGTAGATGTTTATAGGCCACAACATCTACTTACCATCAGGTAAATTATGTGCTCGCTTGCCCCTCTTAATCCGTTATCCTTCCCCGGATGAGCCGACCCATTCGTGTTACAACCATAATATAGCTGCAGCGTGGGCACTACTAAGTATAAAATATATGCTTTTGTAATCACACCGGCGGTAAATAAGAAGAAAAAAATTTCAGAGATTCAGCACTGAAAATATAGAATTTGTTTCTTTATATAAGAAACAACTGGGACTCGAATCCTCTAGGACTCAAGACTTAAAAGTTATATTCTCTGACCTTACTCTGATCTGTACATCTAAACCACGGTATATAATCTATCCCATATAATATAGCCTGAGAAATAAGATGAGGATACAATTTTTCGCGGTGATGTTTTTAGATTCCAATGCTTTAAGCGTGCCAAAGGATGATGTAACCAGGCAAAATATGGCTACCGCGCTTAAGGCTCTCTGTGAAGCTACAAGAGAAATCTGCTTGGAAGCAGAATTTGGCCACATTAAAGTGAGTTATCTAAAATATTATTTTTTATATCATACATCGACATAATCTACATACATGTGAATAATACATCAACACTCACGCCTGTTACTCAGAGGGGTAGGCAGAGACTACAGAATTCCATTTGGCACGATCCTGACACACCTCTCTCGCCTCCTCTACATTCATATACCTACGCACACATACTCGCCAGTTATAATCTCTTAGAACTCTTAGGTTTCTTCATGTAGTTTCAGACATGCAAGTACAGACCTATATTCTTAATAAATATTTCTGTATATCGTTACAGCCTATCAAAGTTCCACTGCTGAATATATATATATACAACATGTAACATAATTAACGCACTTTGAGAAAGTATTAGAAAATTATATTATCAAATATATCTTCACAGAAAAAATGAATTTGGGTATAATTCTATCATAATAAAATAGTGTATGAAAGTCTTGTCTTGAATTATATATTATAAAAGTTACTGTATATATGATATATATACTTTACATATTATATATATTTAACCGATACGACTTGGGGACCTTCTAGAAAAGAGCCTACTCATTTTTAAAAGGCCGGCAACGCAGCTGCAATTCCTCTGGTGTTGCAGTTTATGGGCGGTGGTAGTCACGTATCATCAGTTGAGCTGCATGCTAGTTTGGCCCTCTCCTATAAAAAAAAAACTCATTGGGAGGCTATTTGCCATAGTTGTACTCTTGGCAGGCGGGTTGGCAACATCAGTTTTTTTTTTAATTTTTAGTCGTTATTAGGAAGACTGCTGCCCATATCCTGATTTGTTTCCCTCTGTCGTCTTTTACGACACCCGTGGGACGAAATGGCGCAGCGAATATGCTTACACTGCCACTACACAGTGAAAATCATTTTGTATACGTACAGACAAAATTATTATTTTATACTCTGTTGCCAATACGCTTTCCGAAGCGCACGAAGTTGGCGTACATTTTCTTGACCTAAAATCCTCTTAGAAATGAGAGAAGGCCTGTGCTCGGAATTGGAACATACATAGGCTGTAACTCTACCAATTTTACCCGTCCCGAGACATGCCATTAAGCTCGATCTTCGCCTTTACCCATTCAGTTGATGTCAGCCGCCTCGCTTTGGAGTGATAGGTTTTGTTATGATTATATACTGTTTATTACCGAGTAGTGGCAGTGTAAGAATATCCACTATCCCATATCATCACGAGGGTGTCGTGAGAGGCGACAGAAAGAAACAAATCAGCAGATGAGCAGCAGCATCTTCCTAATAAAGACTAAAAAAAAACTACGGTTGCCAATCAGTTTGCTAAGCGTAGCAACTATGGCAAATATTCCCCCTATGATTGGCAGTCTATGGGGAGGCCTATGCACAGCAGTTGACTTTGATGGGCGGTAACGGTAATGTTAAATTTACTTTCGCATTTTTGTCCTATAGTCAGACGAAAGCCTTCTATTATTTCGGGGCTTAGTTCAAGTAGCTTTCAAATGCCTTTTTATTGTAATGTTTGAAATAATCATGCTAATACTTCCCTATTTCAGAACGCATATGATCCAATTTCTAAGTTTGCTGATGCCTCGAGCAAATTATGCTACGTGTTTAACCCACGAGCCGACATAAAGAGAGAGAATTTGGTAAATATAGTTTTATTTATTTTTGTATAGTTTAATGCTGCACGTACATATATTTATTTTTTCTTTTACATATTCTCTTAAAATCATATTTTTAGTTGTAATAGATTGGTGGTGAAGTAAAACATCGTGAAGAAACCTGCATGTCTGAGAAATAAGAAAAATTTTTTTTTCGAAGACATGTGAAGTTCAATAACACGCATTGGGACACTTCCTTGCCATAAAACCCTATAAAAATTAGGAGAAGCCTGTGCCCAGCAGTGGGACGTATATAGGCTGTAACTTTAACTTTTTCTAACTTTAATAGAGTGTATACGCACATGTGTCCGTCAGTGCGTGTTTTAACAATAATTTAAGTATGGCTTTGATTTGACTTCGGCGTCACTTGAATGGGCATAGCGCTCAGTCTATCCTTCTATTTGTCTAAGAGTCTAAGGGTTTTTCAAATTTACCTCGACTGGTCTGAGGGTTTATCAGCATTGGTCTGAAGGTTTACCAGTGCTTAAAAGTTGTTAAGTAAAGTGTTAAGTAAAGCCTACCCCTTGGTTTATTTAATTATAATTGTGGCTGCTCTGTCGTCGGGTTATAATGCGTAATAATGTATACGCACCAAATAATAACCAAAATAGTAATCCAAATATACAATATAACCAAAATAGTTTCTGAATAACTCTGCTACTGCACAGAAACTTGACGTAGCGTTGAACGCTCCCCAGGAAATGCAGCTTGCTCGATGGGAGACTTCCTCTTTTATTTTAATGGCTAAACTATGTAATGCTCAAATAACGGGATATAGTTCGGAAATTTTAGTACTGGTGATAATAATAAGAAACATCTTTTACTCCGCATCGATACTGTTAACGGGCATGTTTGTGACTGCAAGGCGCTTTATACACAGATTTTTTTTATCTACTAGCGATCTGCCCTGACCTTGCACAGGTGATATCTGGATACTACAACAGCGCTACCTACCGCGTCGAACTGTGCCTATAACCTTCGCGGAAAGGAAACAATATGTCGACAAAGTTTTACAGCAATCTGATGAACGATATGGCAGCCTATAAAATACGAACAAACTAAAATCAATTTTTATATATTAGATAGTAATTATAATATATTTATTTTGTCATTTATCTGATTTATTTTCTACAAATTTAAAGGCGCTAACAAATAAAATAAAATACAACTAGTTAATTTAATGTAAAGTTTATAAAATTTTATTCTTTGTTTCAGATCGTCAATTTATCTAAATCTAGCTGTAACAAGGCGTCAGTGCTCCTCTCGCAAGTGTATCAACTCGCTGAGAGCACGGGAGGGGAAGAAGGTGCAGAGTTGGATAAAAACGGAGCAAAAGTGGTTGATGCAGCACAATCATTGCTTACTACTGCAGAGGTATATCTATTTTATATATTATGGGCTAAATATACCCAGTGACGGGGGCAATATCGCTCCGGGAAGTCTGCAGTCCAGGAACACGTACAGGATCGCCCCGGTCACTAAATCAAATTTGATAAACCACAAATTTGTGTAAAAACTAATTTAATTTAAATAAAATGTTAAAACGATTTTAATTCTGCGTTATTTTGCAGAAATAAATTATAATAGATTAACCTTATTGAATTGAAATTGAAAAATTAAAACAGCACCGTCATCATTCGACACGTGTTTCGCCTCTAAACGAGGCACCTTCAGAAAGTTATAGAAGTAAGGGTGAGAAACGAGCACACAGTCCGTAAGTGGATGCTGTGACCCATTGTCACCAACATCTATCGTCATCTTTATCATCGTCAAAATGCGTAGACACCCTTAATGACTATGATGGAATGCCTTGTTAACAGTTAAGGTTGAAAAGGAACTTCGATTTTTTATTACCATACGAAACGCAGCAACATTATGTCGCTATTTCACGCTGATATTCTGTGCGAGCGTGATCTTGCCCCGGTCGAGCTGAGGTTTTCGTGCTGTTGCTACAATACAGCCGCAGCGTAGCCCTACCAGCTACAATAAAGCCTTTTAAATGGTTACAGATTATAGCTTCAACCATCGACGATCCTCACTGTCAAGCCACACTTATGTCTTCGACAGACGAATTAACTTTCTTGTTACACCGGTTAGCAGATTGTTGGTCAATCTTGCTACAAGATCCCAACAGAAAAAGTTTAAAGGACCAACTGAACAGTGAAAAGTCAGAACTTGAAAGTGCAATCGACGAGCTGAGAGCAGCGTGCAAGGATGCAGCTGGTGAGACTTTATTACTTTAGATTTGTTTCACCCTTATGATAGAATGACAATGTTGTAAATTGTCATAATATTTTGTTTATATACTAGTAACTCGTTCTGGCTACGCGTAGATAGGATCTATGAATGTGGTGTTATTTAGATTTAAGATAATCAAAGACCGTAAACCAAAAAAGATATATTGTATTTATTTTGTGGTTGTGGAAGGAAAAGGGGAGATCTCCCGCCGGGAAAGGTGTTCTGCCCGGGGAGCGGCCAAAGCATCAGTTCTAGTTTTTTTTTCGCCCGAAGCAATTAGGGGCAACCCTCTGGTAACGGAGGAGGGAGGTGGAGAGTGCTCATAGCATACCAAGCAGACGGCTGAGTGGTTATGTGGAGACTTTTACCCACTAAACACCGCCTTTAGGGACTGGCTTAACGATCTGACGAGAGATCTTTAAGTCGTAAACGGACGCGATCTTCTTGGGAGAAAGGAGGGCGTAAGCGGCGAGTAGCCGCTAGGAGTGTGATAGCTCGGAGCTATTCTATATATTATACTGTTTTTACTTCGGAAATTTGATAGCGCGATTTAGGGTTCGATGTGTTTCGCTTGTGGCGCGACGATATCGCCGCTACAATTTCATCAGTTGTTTTCAAGTTTTTCAGATATGATATGGCCTAGATTGGTCCCGGCATTGCTCTGTATCTGTTCATAAAGTTTTATCACAATCGTTTTAACCATTCCGAAGGTTACTTCAGGTAGACAGATGGATAGACAAACTTTTTAAATACGGCTATTTATCTTTTAATTGCATTCAAATAAACCCTGAGTTTATTAGAATTTCAATGTAACAAACAGATTCTGGAATTTTTTATAAATTATTTTGTATAAATTAATACCAACTGGCGCATCAGACATTGTCCTGGCCTTTCCAGTTTCGATATGACTTTCAATTCACAAGCACGAATGTTTACAGTATAATTTAAATTTTATTAATAACGAAAGTGTTATTAATAAAATTAAAATTTTACTTTATGGTAGGGCTGAATCTGAATGACAGGGTGAGAAATTGTCCCCCCCCGAACGGGTTCCCGCCTTGTCGTGACGGGGGGGCTTAGTAGCCGTGGCTTGGTCTCCCACGGTGAACAAAGAGGAACCCACGTGGCTGGCCCGAGTTGAAGGGCCAGCCTGAGGTGGCCACTCCGAGTGGGCTTGGGGAGCCCACTTCGGAAGTGTGCTGGTGGACTGCAGCGAGTGGGGACTCCGCACCCTCTACCGCTGCAGCCGAGTTGGAGTCGCGGAGGAAGAGGAGTGTTGGTATGGCGATGCGCCACTCGCCCTATCCTCCGCGACTCAAACGGGGCCGCACCGTTGATGCGGTGGTGATGGGGCTGCGGGGGGAGAGGATTGTCGGTATTGCGAGGCGCCGCTCTCCCTATCCTCCGCAGCCGAATCTTGGTTGGCGGCGGAGCCATAGACCAGATCCGCCGCTGGGGTCGGGAAGGCTGGTACTTCTAAGTGCTCGTTTTTCCTGGCCCCATGGCCTTCGCGCATCGGACGCGGGGGCGTCTGTTGCGCAGATGAAATTGGAGGCCGTGGAGGAAGGCGTGCCATGTGTTCTGGTGCGTCTTAATTGGGAAGGAGAACGGGGAGGAATATTCCTCTCCCGAGGAGGTGCTGCCATGGGGCGGCAGTCGCTGGTAGGGCCGCGGAAGTGTGCGAAAGCGTTCCCGTAGCCCTGCCAATATGCGACGAAGGTGGAACACCATGGGGTTTTAGTCGGTGCGAGTCCGACATAACCCGTCCTTGCCCCCCGCGAGGCGGGTATGCGTAGGCATTTCCCCATGTTAAAAAAAAGGGTGAGAAATTGTGTAATTAGAGAAAAATGTGGTGTGCAAGATGATGTTATGACTAGGATTAAGAAAGGAATGCTTCGGTGGTTTGGTCATGTAGAAAGAATGGACGAGGAAAGAGTGAAAAAGCAAATTTATATGGTAGATGTGAATAGCAGAGTTGGGAAGGAACAATCCAGACGAAGATTTATTGTCCAAATTCGTGATATTTTGAAAAGGCGCCACATTAGGAGTACCCTTAAACGACGAGCGTGTATGCGTAGATATATGGATGTTAAGGAGGTGAGAGAGGTGTGTCAAGATCGTGCCAAATGGAATTCCGTAGTCTCTGCCTACCCCTCTGGGTGAAAGGCGTGAGTGTTTATGTATTATGTATGTAATTCGAAAGTCGAAAGTTGAATTGTGATCGCTTATTCGTTGTAAATGCCTTAATATTTCAGATGTAACGTTAAAGCCAACAAAGCCGGTAAAGCCACCACCTCCAAAAAGAACATCTTTAATAGATGTGGGCCAAAAGTATCTTCAAGACGAGAAACTAAAATTAGCCAAATCTGTGGATGAAGCAATTAGAAGCATTGCGCATACAGAAGACCAAATCAGAGAGGTGAGTTTTATATAATGACTTTCTAGAGACGCCTACAACTATTCTGGATTAAGAATTATAATGTAGATTGGCAGTCCTTGTATATATTTTTTTAAATATATATTTAAAATGTTACTTATATGGTTTTGATATGGTACAGCCGGTTAATTGTTTTATCCTATTATGTGGATGATGGGGCACTGCCCTCGAGAATAGTGGGAAAGCATACCGACGATTAATGATCAAAAGACAAGGTCTCATAAGCTAGTTTTACCATCTATTGTAGTCAAGTAAAGGCTTTTAAAACTTAAAAAACCTAACAATACCTTAATTATGATAGTATATATTTTTATGTCAGTTGTTATAATTATCAGTTTTTGTTTGTTTTTTGCACAGCATTTTTTTTTCTTTTATAAAACGTTACCCCTACACTAGGATTTTCTCCTATATCGTGGGGGCAGTTTATAAACATAAATTGCACAAGGACAAACATCCCGGGACAATTATTTGTAGGCCATACAAATACTTGTTCCGTGCGGGATTCAAACCCGCGACCCCCAGCGTAGCCACTCATTGCTAAGCCACTGCGCCACGGAGTCGTCAAAGCATTGTCTTGTTATTGTACTGTTATGGTGCTGTTACTGTTTTTGTAATAAATAAGTAAATAATAAATAAAGCAATTAAGTGCTATGCTTCACATGAAGTGAAAAAAAAATCGAACATATTTTTAAAAAAAATTTAAAACTAAAATGAAAAAACATGGTAATTTATCTTTTTAGATGTACGATCAAAAAGGTGTTGATACGTCTTTGGAAGCTGCACAAACTGCATCTCAACAACTTGAACGTAAACTTGTCCTAGCTAGCGTGGCGGCGTCGCATCTCGTCTTTTGTAATGGTCTGTGGAATATTGATGAAATATATATATATATATATATAATAAAAATTAACTAATAAAATCCATATGTTTTTAAATACGTAAGTAAAATCATCTTTGTTTCATTAGTTAAAAAAAGAATAATGGTGAAGCGCATGAACTGTGAAGCTAAAAAGTTATTGATTCAGACATGAAGGGCTGCTAGCATAAGCATTTTTAGCTTAGTTGGAGTGATTAATTAAAAATTTCTACGTATACTACTGGTCGGACCCTGCGCATAATGTTGCGGTAAAAGACTAGATTTTTTTTTGTTTTGTGAACCGTGAACGTTGTTTTCGGCAATCCGGCATTGAAAATCAGTGCCGAAAGTAAAATAATGTCAATATTTGTGTATACAGTCTGTCAACGTAATTTGAAGTTTATTTAAGATAAGTATGTTTTGAATAGTATGAATAAATAAGTTAGTTTTTCTTTCTCTCGCGGCTCTACCCATAGCTCTCACCACACTACAAAAGGTTAGCTGGCAGAGAATGCCTTTTCGGCATTAAGTTCGCCTTTGTACCAAATTGTTTTGTTTGAGTGCAATAAAGAATTTTCTATCTATCTATCTATGTGGCTTTATTTCGTATTTGTCTAAAAACAGTAACAGTGGTAAATTAAAATACATGGAATATTTACCGTGCCATTTACCCGCCCAGCCGGCACTCTTGCGTTTGACAGCTGTGATAGAGTTTTTATACTGAATTGCCGATCTAGCAGTATACATAGGGGTCTGTGATTAACGGGAATAACAGGAACCTTAGCGTTGCTGTAATTATTTTAATTAAATACAATTTATCTTGTATTGAGTTACAATTTTTATTCTAGATCCTGAGAAAATGAACTATAAAGCGGCTGACAAGTCCTTGAAGAGTTTGTCGGAACTTTTTCCGACGATTGTCAAAGGTAGGAGCAACCGTAAACTACCATAGAGAATGAAATATATTTTCATGAAAAAGGAAAGCAACCTGGTTTCGATCCCCGCTAGCACCAAAAAATTGTAAATTGCAATTTTTTGCGATGAGGGAAAATGTCGTGAGAATAAGTTATTATTTATACTTTTTTTAAAGTTTATATTTCATGACTGAGGAATTATAGGAAGGACACGTTTGCTAATTTACATAGCGGGGGGTTTCATTTCTGCTTCAAAACCCTCTCAGAAATGAAAGGTGACTTCTATGTCGAGCAATAAGATATTATTCGGTCTTGATATGAACACAAATATAATCTCAAAAATTGTAATTAAACCAGGATTCAACTTAGAATTAAAGCAATCCTGTCGGGTTTCTGGAGATAAGAATTTTTTATATCAAAGTATTTATTTTCAAATAAGAAAAATAATTTAAAATTTTTGATAGTATTCCCAAAACATGAAATTTTTATATCAATTTTACTGTTTGGACCGTTTTTAGATATGCGGGTACTCGGCAATTCACATAATCTTCGAGCGAAATCAATATTAGACGATACGCTCGTATTATGCGAGGCTACGAGAGCTTTGTGTGGCGCTGCTAATGATAATAGAGAGGTACGTTGCTTCCTTAATTGTTTATTGTCATTTTATCTTTTTCTCTTTATCAACATCACCCGCCTTTCAAGTCCACTGCAATGCTAAGACTTTTCTAAGAAAGTGACACTTGGTAAGCAGTATATAAAAAAGTTGTCTATTCTCACCAAAACAAAACAGATGGGTTGGTGAAAGCCGGGTCGGATACCTTTCCCTGATAATGCTGGACCTTATTACAGTAACTGGTCTAAAATTGGCGGGGAGATTCAAATTTCTACAAATTTGTAGTACCTGAAGTCTAATAGTTTAACGAATTTTAAATCCTACGTATTTCAAGTTCCTGAGAATAAGCTATTGCTTACTCGGGGTGGTAGCAGGGACGTGCCAAAGAAGTGAATTCTCTAAATAGTGTTAAGTCATATTTATTTATATTTTTATATATTTTAAGGTAGAGATATAATACGACTATAGTATCAACGTTCTTAATTTCTTAAGTCCTTGATGCCTGAGAAAGATATTGGGTGCGTTTGGCAGAAAAAAGCGCTAGCAAGCGCTTATAAGCGCTAAAATAGTTTTCGGCCAGGACACGATTGCTACTTCAGTAGCGCTGACACAATCCGCCATTTTGCTTATTTAATTTGTTTGTTTCGAAGTAGAGTTTATAATTTGTTTTGTGCAATATTAGTTTTAAGTAATATAATGATGTGAATAAACATATACATGTTATTAAAAACTCATGATTGGTAAGTTTTAATATGAATACTTTACAAACATATATTTAAATTAGGTTAGATTCCCCGGTTAAAACTAACATCGTGTCCTGGAGGAAAATAGCTACTTACGATTTGACAGCGCTTACCGCTTACGATCGCCATTTTGCTTACAAGCGCTTGCTAGCGCTTTTTTCTGCCGAACGCACCCATTGTATTGTATTGTGTTGTATTGTATTGTAAAATTAAATTTAGAACGTCAAAAATTGGTCGTTATCTATTCGAAGACTTCAAATTCAAATCCAACAGACTGGTGATGATCAGCAGTTTTACCAGTGCGTGTGATGCTCACGCCAACCCATCTCTGTCCAATGTATATATACAACTTTTGTAAGACATGTGTCATTTAGCGCATTCATCCAAAGGCTTATATCCAGTTGTGGATCTAAAATGCTAATAAGGCGAGATTAAAATTAATAAACAGTCTCTTTTACAGAAGCTGAATGAAATCGCAGTCGATTTTGCAAATAAATCCGCCAAGCTACTCTATACTATTGGAACTGACGTAGATCCGGAACAAGAAAAAGAGGTACTGTTAAATATTTTATTTCGTCATTATCATGTATAGCATCAGCTAATCAAAAGTCCACTGCTTAACCTTCCATTCCATTCCAAATAGGCCTTCCCTTCAAATGGCCTTATAGGGAAGATATTTGCCAAATATGGCATGCTTGGCATGCGGCTTGACAACCACAGTTTATCAATGTGAGCTTTTATCAGGAAGAGGTTGTCTATCTTCTGTTAATTTCCCTCTGTAGTCTCTTACGACTCACACGAGACGGTATACACGGTGCTCACATATTGATTATTTATGAACTGCAGTATGTGATCATATCCTAGACGGCCCCAACCATTACATCAGATTTGACAGGCCACAAATCCTTGCGAGAGAACATCGATTCCTACCATGGATAAGGCTATTGAAATTAAAAAAAAACATCCTAATTTTAATAGGGAAGAAGGCTTGTACTACCACCTGCTTGGGACCCTGTGATTAATAAAATTAAAACTAAACCCAAGCATACCACTGCAAGAATTCAAGACACAGTAAGTTCATTCTGCTTAGATTGGACCATAAATAATAATTAAAAAGCTGAAGGTACTCCAGGTTAACACTGACATCGGGACGTCAGTCACCACAATCCCCCGTCACCATGGGTGCTGGAAAGCACCCGAAACGTCGGGAATTAAAAACCATATAAATGTGATAAAATGCGTAAAAGTAGTTTTAACCAATATTTATGAACTTTTAATTGTAGTAAGACTCTCTTTTCGAATACAATAGTTACACGTGGTGAAGAATATTGTCTTAAAAATTATACGTTATATTTTGAAGATTATCTGTCCTCTAATAATATTGGAAATTTAAAAAAAAACGCAAATAAATACATACATTGACTCGTATATATGGATTTTTTCTATAAAACTGAAGAGATAAATCAACTTACTGATTATGACTGGCTGCTACTGTCCGACACCGGCAGACAGTACCAAAATGAGAAGGCTTTAGGTACGTTATCTTTCTGAGGACGGAGACGAATATTTTTACAACTATTATAACCTAGAGTTTGACTAATATCCCACCTTATGGTAAGTGGTGATGCATTGATGGTGGTAAAGCGCATTAAGTGTAATAAAAGCCTATTCACTCTTGCGTCGAAGACGGCATATAAATCGGTATCGGTCGTAATCGGTATATACATAGTAATCGGATGCAAAGACATTCCTTGGCAAGTTATTTCACTTCTTTGCTGTATTTATTACGTAAAATGAAGCAAATCCTTTGATTAGAATGTGTGATAGTATGTCGACAATAAAGAGAGACCAGCCGAACGTGTGGTGGTCTGATGATGGAATATCTTAAAGCTTATGGTTTGCTAAACCCACACAGCAGTGCATGCACTATTATTATTATTATTTTATAGAATAAGGGTGACAAACAAGCACACAGTCCACCTGATGGTAAGTGGATGCTGTGCCCCTAACATCTACATTTATCCTTGATTAAGAATCAAAACGCAGATGCGTTGTCACCCCTGAGGACTAGGAAGGAATACCTCGTTTCTAGTAAAAAAGGGATATTTAGTCAAAGTAATCTATCTAATCTAATATCTAAAATCTAATAAATCACACAATTAGGTAACTTGGTGCGCTAGTTTAAGCTGTTCAATTTGACGTGCAAGGTGATTTCCCGTGCGAGAGTGATCGGAGACTGTGCGTCGCGGCTCACGAGCTGCGGCGCGGCGGGAGTTCACCTCGCGGAGGACTCGCGTGCGCAGCGGCTGTGCCTCTCCGCGAGCTGCTGTGCCAACGCAGCCAGCAACTTGCTCTACATTGCTAAGGTTATTATAAACTGTTCTTCATTATCATCATCATCGCCATTCTATTCCGTTTTTACTTGCTTATTCCTTTCAACTACCACTTTTACTCCCATAGGTAAATTTCCAAAAATTTCCTTTTTTCTTTCAATATCATCATCTATACAGCTAGACTTAGCAGCTTTGATTGCTAAGAACAACTAATTATGCTCTCTTTTTTTGCTTTAAAATTCCATTCGTACCGCATTATCCCACCTAAACGTATTTTTACTCCTTATCTTTACTCCTGTCGTACTTTGGTTTCTGCATTCACCAAACTTAATTAAGTTTTTCCTGCACATGCTCTATATCTGAATCTTACATTTATCTAACGTGAAACCGTAAATAAGACATAGCATGAACGAAAAAAGGTTATTAATAATATAATATTGATCCACGCGGTAGAGCCACAAGGCAGCTTTTGCTGCTGCACTTATGGGCTGGCTCAAACTGAGGTGGTACCAAGACCTCACAGAATACCAGCATCAAGTAGAAGCTCAGTTTGTGCGTTTCATCTGGTGAGTGCTGGTCGCTGAAGGCCCAATTCCTCCCACCCCCCCATCCCATCAACATGGTAGCGGAATTAAATAAGAGACTATACTAGGAGGGTACCAGTATCCTTGGTAATGGAGAATCCCTCGCTGAGCATCCACGCTACTACTATACTCCTGAGCGTGGGTGTACAGCCTGCCCCGTGTGTTTTGAGGGTGAAATTCCGCTCAAGAAAAAAGCTGCTCGGGGCAAATTGTGAAAAATGACTAAGGTGACCTCTGCCACGCTATCCGTCGATCTCTGCAACATCAGGGGCTTCATTTCAACCTAAACGCCATCCTCTACCACCTGGACATGGCGAAGCTCCTTGGCCTTGCTCTTTCTGACCGAGATGCAGGTATCCTCTCCAGCTGATATCTACCTGGGATACAAATTGGAACACTCCTTTGTGCCTGGGGCTGGAGTTTGTGTATAAGTCAAAAAGGACCTCTGTTCTTGACGCCTCGACAGTCTTGAAGGTTCGGACCTGTCCGCCCTTTGGCTGCGCGTAAACCATCCGCGTGACTACGAGTGCCGAAAACTTGTGCGCCGAAAACGACAAGGTCTTGTCAGGAACTTACAGTCTTAGTCACAAAAATCGAAAGGTTATTTCAATGTCATTGAGTTTGATATTAATTTACATTCTTTCTCATCTGCCAGCTTGTAGCACCTTCAATCCAGTACCCGGAGAGTCAAAACATTCTTTTAACGGCCGCTGACCAACTATCAGGACAAGTGAAACAATTTTTATCTATTTCGACTCCCCTGTCTTCCCAGCAAGAACAGTTAAATTTTGTCAAAGATTTTGAAACTGAAGGGGAGAATCTGGAAAGGCTACTAAGTGATCTAATACAAGACGTGAAAAACGAAAAACTGGTAAAGAAAAGGAAAGAAGAGATTTTAATGATTGAGGACTCTCCAATACGACAATTGGCTTCGAAAATTCTACAAAATTATAAGGTAACTATTTTAATGTTTTAAAATTATATTAGCTTGATTTAATATTTAGCGTGGACTATATATGGCTGCGTATGTAATGTAACTTAATTGCTCTGATATAATAATAATAATGTCCTCCAGACCGAATTTCGGCCACGGCGGCCTGCCTCAGCGGAGGCTAGCCATCGGCGTAGGACAGGATTATAGTGCCCAAGTGTATGCGCAAGCACAGGTGCACTCTCTATTCCCTCACTCTCATAATCTGATGGGACGGTAAACCGACACGACCGGAGAGAGATCAGGCGCAGGACCAACGGCTTTACGTGCTTTCCGAGGCACGGGGGTGAGACACCGCCAGCTTCCTGATTCCGGGCAACTACTAAGAATTTCTTAACAGAAAAACTCAATAATTAGTTTTTTTTGGCCCGACCCGGGATTCGAACCGAGGACATCATGATCAGCAGACCGGAAACTTTTACTGGAAAGAACAACACACCTGCATTTAGATTTTTATCAAGGGTATATATATATACACAACACGATAAGCCAATTGTGTGGGAAATGGAAGGAAAGGAAAAAAAAGCGTTAATTATTAAAAATGGTAAAAGTGTGAGAGCTGATGTTCTTTTGCTCTCTTGCTTGCGCAATTTCTCATTAACAATAATACGACAGCGTAAAGCTCTATACATTCAGCATAGAGTAATTACAGTTTGACCATACCGCAGTATGCCCCCATCACAATTACACACCAGTGCAATGTGAAGGACACAACGTAACACAGCACAACCTCTGAGAGGTTGTGCTGTGTTACGACACCATCCTTCTTGCCTGCACCAGAAGAATCACCACAATGGACAGAACAACGATTGTCTTAGCACGCGTAGACTGACTTCACTCGTGAAACGATTCAAGCGGAATCCCCCGCGCTCTGCACCTACATTGATTTTTATACTGCACAAACGAGTAGGAGTGTTTCGCGATATACCCTCAATTCCTACAAGTGATGAGATCCAACCGGCATTTTATAGATGCACCTACGTATATATATATATATATATATATATATATATATATATATATATATATATATATATATATATATATATCATATTATAAGGCTACAGCATCCTAAGTGGATCAAGTCAACAGATAAAGTGGACTGTGTTCGTTTTGTCACCTTTATTCAACAGAAATAATTTCATGCATCCATCTTTATTTTTCATGTGGATTTTAGCTAATTAATTTTAATGTCTTTAATATGGATTCCCGCAATGTAAACCCTATTAAAATGTTACGATTTATTGATATGGAACACGATCCATATAGCGTATTATAATATAACATGTTAAAGTTCTAAAAAAATTGTTTTAAAGACTTATGTGGAATATCCTGACCTGCCCATGGAAGAAAGAAGAAATCATGCTTACTATGCAGATAAGTTGACTGTCGCAATAAAGGAACTGGATGTTGCTAATGCTCATTGCCGGAATTCTCCTCAGGTACAAAGCATATTTGTTATAACATGATATTAACAAAAATTTAATATCTCTTATAATTTTTTTTACTAAGCTGTTATAAAAAAGAATGAAGGAAGGTGCTGCTATCTGTTTCTTGGTTCAGTTCCCTCTGTAGTTTGTTATAACAACCTCGGGATGATATGGGGTAGTGGATTTTCTTAAACCGCCACTACACGGTTTTATTTTTTATTAAAAATGTAATTATTATACCCTTATGAATGGCCTCACTCTCATAGTCCTATTGAGGCGATCCGACACGACTCGAGGTTAGGGTTAACAGCTTTACGCTCTTTTCGACAGACACCAACATTGAAATTGGATGGAAATATGCAGGCAACTTATACTACTCCTTAGTGTACAACTAATGCGTGACGAACGATGAAGTAAACTATTTGGTTCAAATGCGTAGTAAGTCGGACTGGCTGAGCATTTGGTGGTCCGATACGCAAGAAAGCGGGAGCAAATAAGTTATGAAATTCCTACTCTACGAAATGTTACGTGTTGAAAATTAGAAAGCTAGCTACTTTGCTCATGTATTCGAGACTAGTGAAATTGGTTTTAACCAAATTCTGGTCACTAATAAGCTACTTAGCACGCCTTTTCATTTAGTACAAAACTGCTGGGTTGCGTTTTACAAGACTAGCCTATATATGACATCAATACTCCGTGCATGATCTGTAGCGTAATAAGTAACGGTGTAAGAATATCCAAGACCCCGTATCGTCCCGTGGATGTCGTAAGAGGCGACGGAGGGAAATTGAAACAGGTGGTGTGCAGCAGAATCCTGCTGATAACAATTCAAAATAATAAAAAATTGCGTTTACTAACCCGCCTGCTACGCGTGGCAACTATGTACTTATAATAGTAGATGTACAATTATTTAAAATTAATTTTTAGGATGCAAACATCCTTCGTAGATTGGAAAACGCAACTCAGAACTTGCAGCAAACATTGCTGCAGTGTCGTCGTGGACACGGGAAGGAGCAAAGTAACATCGTCGATTTAATGGTATAGTATATTCTCGTTGTTTTATTTTGTTCTTTATTTTGAAAAACGTTACTTTCGTGTAAAATATGCCGTGCAGAAAAAATGCATGTTACTAATTAATCATAACTTAAATTGAAAATTTTAAAGACCATCAAAACAAAAATAGCTCATGATTTTCAAGAACCACCGCTGGAAAACCCGCTTTTAAATTAAAAAAATCCCAAATCGGTTCACGCGTTTAATATATATATATATATATATATATATATATATATATATATATATATATATATATATATCGTCGGGGGTTAAAAATAGAAATGAATCTTTCGATATTACAAATCCACTAAATTCACTTAGATTTGATTTATTGTAAACCATACTTCAATATACACCAGAGATTTCATTACCTTTCGATAGATTTCGAGTCAGCTAACATCGAGACGAGACGCAACACGACACGGCGCGCACTTTTTAAGATAGTGATGTAAAATGTAACTTTATTTACAACTCAAAAATACACATTTTATTGAGATAATTCGAAAACGCCCCGCGGCGATTAAGGCAAATCCTATCTACAATGGAAGAATCAATGACGCAGTGTCTTAGCAATGAGTTGCAGCGCTGAGGGCTGCGGATTTGAATCCCACACGAAACAAGGATTTGTATGGCTTACAAATATTGTTCGGAGTCTGCATGTATGCCCCTGTGAAATTTACGAGTATGTATATAAATTGCCCCGATGCACGACATTGGTGAAAATCTTAGTGTGGAGGTAAGGTTTAAATAAAAAAACAATGAGGGCTCCCCATGTCCAGTAGTGGGTTTTTACGGGATGGTTACATCATCCTTTTTCTTATGAACTCGTTAGTCTACTAAACTAGCGAGCATCCGTAACTCCAGTAATAATAATAAATAATAATGTCTTTCAGACCGAATTTCAATCTGAAAGACATTATTTTTTACTTTTTGCGCAGGACAGGATTGTAGTGCCCGAGTCTATGCCCAAGCACAGGTACACTCTCTATTCCTTCACTCTCATAATCCGATGGGACGGTAAACCGACACGATCGGAGAGAGATCAGGCGCAGGACCAACAGCTTTACGTGCTTTCCGCCAACTTCCTGACTCCGGGCTGTTACTGAGAATTTCTTGACGAAAATCCAATAAATGATTTGGAATGACCCGGGATTCGAACCCGGGACCTCATGATGAGCAATCACGTTTAGGACCACTAGACCAACGAGGCAGTCAAATTTCAGACGTCATGTCCAGTACATGGGGCTTTAAGAACGCAATAGTTTGATTACGTGGTTGAGCCACGCTGCAGCTATATTACAGTTGGCTCGACCGGGCAAGGACCACGCTCTTACAGAATACCGGCGTAAAATAGCAGCTTAATACTGTTGTGTTTCGTATGGTGAGTGTAGAGAACCCGAGACCCTTTTTCTAAAATCGAAGCATTCCATCTTAGTCCTCAGGAGTGACAATACATTTGCATTTTGATTCTTAATTGATAATAAATGTGGATATCTATGGGACATAGCATCCACTTACCATCAGGTGGTCTGTGTGCTTGTTTGTCACCCAATGCTATAAAAAATCGTCTGTCTATATTTTTTATATCCATTATAAATACGTCCCCCAGAGGAGGTCATAAGATGTTCCAGTCTATCATTGAGGAACTTAAAATAGGTTGAATACTATTTGGACTATATGTAATAAATCTGTTTTCAGGATTTTGTTCAAGACGTTCTTTCAAATATTGAAATGTTATCAGAGACAAAGAATGAAGCTAATGGAGAACATTGCAGAAAACAGTTACAGGTAAATTTAAGGATCTTTTAAAATATTTGTGATTAATAATTCTTAAAATAATTTTTTGATTTCCGTAACTTTAATATCCGATAAGTGAACCCGATTAAATTAGTTACTGAAAATGTGTATATGTATATACAACTACGTCTCTGTTTTAATTTTCTAAAAATTTGCTACCTTTTGCCAATTTTACGTTCATTTGCATATTTATCTCAATCTAAAGTAGATGGTAAAACTTAAAAAATATATTAATGACAATATTTTATTATATATCGATGTAAAATGGAGGCATCGTACCTGTAAGTGAAGTGTAGGTCCGCCCTCCACTAAATGAAGTGACGACCTAAGAAGAGATACAGGAAGTCGATGGATGAAGGTAGTTTAGGACTGTGCTTGTGGCATTATTGTGATGACCCGTAATGATAATAATATTCCAGCAAATCACAAGTGCGTTAGCCGGTGACATATGTCACCTCACTTGGGTAGTCCACAATCGTCGGTCGTTGGCTTCCTCCGACATTGAGCATCAGAACACGTCGGCATCAAAACGCTTATGCGCATTTATATTGTTCGGCTGATATATATACATTATTTCTATAATTCTACTCTAAATTAATTCTAAAGAATTAAGGGATTCAACGATATGTCTTTTTGCCGATACGATACCGATACCGATATTAATATAAAAAGATACCGATACGTTTGGATAATATAAATGAAGGTAATATAAAGCACAAGAAGAATTAAATATTTATTTTTATTTAATTAATGAAATACAGTAAGTCACAGTAACAATTAAAGTTGAGAGTGTTAGTAATTATAAGATTTTTGTTTAACAAAATATTCCCAAATTTTACGAAAAAAGTGATTTCACAATTTTGAATGAGACCTGCGGTGGAAAACAGTCCCTCAAATGCGATAGAACTCAATTGGTAACTAGATTACTTCTGCGCCATTTTTTTCAAGTTTGGATATAAGAAGACATCATTGTAGATAGAGATCCAGATAGCAGAGTGAATCTGCGTTTACGATATATTAGGGATCTTGAACTTAATGGGTGTCTTTGTAACGACAGTGAAAATATGGCCGATACCGATGTATCGGCAAACCCAAAGTATTGTCGATATTGGTATCGGATGTATCCTTAGTTGGCATAAATAATTATTGTGTACGCAAGATTTGGAATCAGGTGATTTATTTGATAACCAATCCATCGCTAACTATTATGATATATTTCTTCCACAATACTCTCCTATGATATCCTGATCTAAAATAGACAACAATGGAGGAGGTTCTACGTATAAAAATAATAATAAATGTTATATGATATTGATTGCGATTCCCGTGATTTTCCTTGCAATTTACTGTTTTCTTTAAACGTTGTTTATCAGTACATATTTTAGTGAATGGGATGGGTTGTTCCTGTTGAGTTAAATTATATATACTAAACGTTGTTTTAGGACATCAAGGATGAATGTGACAAGATGTGGAAGCATGCAAGAAAACTGACCAACCCTACTGAACCTCGCGGGGAAGGAAGTCTAACGGATGACTTGGTGCTGATTGATGCTTTCGCTCAGGTAAGCGTAGGATGAGGTAATCATGCTGTTACGTAATTAAAATTTGGGTAAACTGATCGTGTATATTATTGGATGATAGATTGATCGAATGCTTGTGAAATTTTGTTTGCCTTGTTGGTGGTTAGTGCATTCACCCGATTTCGCCTAGTTTGGTTTGGTGTTTCAAGAAGTGACTATGGGAGAGACCAGAAAGACTTGGCAACTGGACTGACTGATTTGGAAAGTATTCGATAGACGGTGGAATACGTACCATCACATATTTTAATTAAGATGCGAAGAATCTGTGGGGAACGACGTTACTATTATTATCGTATCATTTCAAGAATATCATTATGTTACAGGATTGCAGTAAAGCTGCTTCACGTGTTTATTCGTGTGCAAAGACTGTTCCTGATGTACAGTCACGAAGGCAATTGGAAATTAAAACACACAGATTGACTGACAGTGTGAATATATTAAGGTACTTCAGTTGATTTTGTTGAAGTGTTATTTTAATAAATACAATTATCGGCGTAAGAGAATCCACTATTATCATCCTATACCTTTAAACGAGCACAATATATATATATATCATACAGAGAGAATATAAAACAGGAGATGAGCGGAAGCATATAGAACCTTTTTACCGTCTGGAAAAATAAGGGTGTAACATGTGAACGGAGTAGAAGCCTATGGCACTGATATTTTACGAAAAATAAATAAAAATGTTGAATTGAACGTTCGAATTTTTTTTGTTTGAACAATTACTTTGCCCTTTGCCCTTGAACCTGTGACCCTGCGAAGACAAGGTCAAAGATGCATACTAAATTTATTGTTTTATTGCCTTTCGTTAAGTAAGGTGGGTGGATATGATTTGAATTTCGATAGATTTTAATTTATTCATTAATTTAATTAAATTTTTTTTGTTTAATATCAGTGCCATAGGCTTCAACTTCGTTCACATGTTATATTATATTTTTTTCCAGACTGTAAAAAGGTAGGCTTAAGATAGGTAGGTAGGCCTGCCGTGTAGTGGCGGTTGAGAATATCCACTGCCCCATATTTTCCCGTGGGTGACGTAAGAGGCGACAGAGGAGACAGGCGGGAGATGGGCAGCAGCATCTTCCTAATAACTGGCAACTATGGCAAATATCCCCCCATGAATAATGACGCAAACAAACGGCCCCCAGTCCCCGGCGGCCCCGCTATTCCTGGCTACGGTGGCGACCATGGTAATGGCGGGACAAGGGGTGCTAAGAATCTCCGGTGGTGATTCGGTTGCCACTTACGACGACTCGACCTGGCAACATATAACGCACCTACCCTGAGGTCTGATGAGAAGATACTGGAGCTGGAAGAAGAGGTAGACAAGTTGCGCTGGCATATTATTGGATTATCCGAGGTCCGAAGAGAGGGGGGGACACGGTAATCCTCGAGTCCGGCAACTTGTTCTATCACCGGGAGGGCGACCATCTGTCCCAAGGAGGTGTCGGATTTATCGTCCACAAGTCTCTCGTCAGCAACGTTGTAAAGATTGAGAGTGCCTCGACGAGGGTCGCATGCCTGATACTCAGTCACCAAACGGTATTCGCTGAAGGTCATACAGGTTTACTCACCAACCTCGGCACATCGCGATGAGGAGGTGGAGGTATGAGTAGTGGTATGAGGATATTTTCAGAGCCATGCATTCCTCCAAAACCCACTACACGGTGTTGATGGGAGACTTCAATGCAAAACTAGGCACTAGAGAAAGCGGTGAGCTGAAGTTAGGGAAATTTGGAGTATGGCAACGGAACCGTAGGGGCCAGCAGCTGGCTGACTTCATGGAGAAAGAAGGACTCTTCATGATGAACTCTTTCTTCCAGAAGCGGCCCCACAGGAAGTGGACCTGGTCGAGCCCTGACGGTTCGACAAAAAATGAGAATGACTTCATTATGACGACCAGACACCAACTGTTCAGTGATGTCTTAGTGATCGCAAGGGTGAAAACTGGCAGTGATCACCGAATGGTTAGAGGCACACTGAACCTAAACGTTAAGTTGGAGAGGTCTCGTCTAATGAAGTCAACGCTCCGTCCCCCTTGTGCTCTGATCCAGAATCCTGAAACTTTTCAGCTCGAGTTACGTAACCGCTTTCAGTGCCTAGAAGATTGCAATGCAGTGAACGATATGAATGACAAGCTCGTGGAAACTCTCCATGCGGTCGGAGCTAAGTTCTGCAACACCCGCCGCAGAAGAACACAAAAACTCTCCGATCACACTCTTAATCTCATGGCTTTTAGACGGGAGATGAGGCTGCAATCGTCAACAGATTTGACAGCATACAGGCAACTGAACAGACAGATCTCCAAATGCATGCGGAGAGACTTGCGCAACTTCAGACTATTGAAGAAGCGATCGAGAGGTACGTGGTAGAGCGATGCTGCAGTTATATTAGAAGTATAGTTGTAGCACGAATGGGTCGGCTCAACCGGGGAAGGGCCACGCTCTCACAAAATACCAGTGTGAAATAGTAGCTTAATGCTGCTGTATTTCGTATGGTGAGTGTAGAGAACCGGAGACCCGTTTTACTGGAATTGTGGCATTCCATCTTAGTCCTCAAGAGTGATAACGCATCTGCATTTTGACTCTTAATTGAGGTCAAATGGAGATGTCTATGGGCCACAGCATCCACTTACCATCAGGTGGACTGTGTGCTCGTTTGTCACCCTATTCTATAAAAAAAAGAGGAACCGGGACTCCAAAGTCTTTGCCAGAGATATATCTGCCAGTAAGAGCCAACTGTCAAAGCTGAAGACTGAGTGTTGCAGCATCGTTTCGGGACACCTGAGTGAGATTGAGAGGTTCTATGGGCAGCTGTACATCATCGTTGGAGCCTCACGCAAGTGTGAGTAACGATCCAAGAGCAAGTCTTATCCGACACTATTCGATGATATCCCGGACATCAGTCTGAGCGAGATTAGAATGGCTCTCCAGCACCTTAAAAACGGCAAGTCCCCGGGCGAGGATGGAATCACAGCGGGCGGAAAGCGGGTGGAAAACCGGTACTTGAAGTCCTTCAGAGGCTCTTTAATTCTGTCCTCCTTGGTGGCACTACTCCGCCCGAGCAGAAGTGCGGTGGTCTTGTTCTTCAAGAAAGGTGACAACGCCCTCTTGAAGAACTACAGACCGATATCCTTTCGGAGCCGCGTCTACTTGCTGTTTTCGAGAGTCCTTAGGAATCGTCTCGAACGCAGACTCGACGACTTCCAGCCTCCCGAACAAGCCGGTTTCCGCAAATATAGCATATACCATATACCACATACATACCCTTAGGAAAATTGTACAGAAGTCCGAAGAGTACAATCTGCCACTTTGCCTGGCGTATGTGGACTATGAGAAAGCCTTTGATTCCGTCGAAATTTGGGCGGTGCTACAGTTTCTTCAGCGGTTCCAAGTTGACTGTCGGTATATCGAAGTGTTGAAGTGTTTGTACAGTAGGGCTACGATGGCTATCCGAGTATAGAAACAGAGTACGAAACCTATCCAATTGCAGAGAGGTGTAAGACAGGGTGATGTTATTTCCCCGAAACTCTTCACCGCTACACGTTTTCAAGCTACTGGACTGGAGAGGATACGGTATTAACAACAATGGCGAGTACATCACCCACCTTCGATTTGCCGACGATATAGTTCTTATGGCAGAATCGCTGGAGGACTTAAGCACTATGCTCAATGACCTCAATAGTGCCTCCCAACGGATAGGTCTTAAGATGAACATGGACAAAACAAAGATCATGTTTAATGTCCATGTCACACCTATGCCGGTGGTTGTTGGGAGCACTAAGCTCGAAGTTGACGAGTACGTTTACCTGGGACAAATAGTCCGACTAGGTAAGTCCAACTTCGACCGAGAGGTCAATCGACGGATTCAACTCGGCTGGGCAGCGTTCGGGAAATTACGACACATCTTCTCGTCAGGTATACCTCAATCTCTGAAAACTAGATTGTACAACCAGTGCGTGTTGCCAGTGATGATATATGGAACTGAGACGTGGTCCTTCACTGCTGGTCGTATAAGGACGCTTAAAGTCGCTCAGCGAGCTATGGAGAGGGCTATGCTCGGAGTTTCTCTGCGTGATAAACTTAGAAATGAGGATATCCGCAGTAGAATCAGAGTGACCGACATAGCCCAACGGATTAGTAAGCTGAAGTGACAATAGCCCAGCTCGAAGAACCGAAAACCGTTGGGGAAGAAGGGTTCTCGAGTGGCAGCCCCCTACCGGTAGGCGAAGCGAAGGGCGACCCCCCACTAGATGGAGTGACGACCTGGTAAGACATGCAGGAAGTCGTTGGATGCATGTGGCTCAGGACCGTGCTTTGTGGCATACCTTGTGGGAGGCCTATGTTCAGCAGTGGACTTTTGAAGGGCTGTAATGATGATGATGATGATGATGATATCGTTATTCCACTCAATGTAGGAAGGAGAACAAAGGAAATTTTCCTATAAATTGTCGGAGCTCAAAGTATTTTTTTCTAATTTGTAATGTGGTAGACCCAAGCTTCAGCTATATTTGAGTTGTGGACGAATTTGTTGGCTCGACCGGGAAAGGAGCACGCTCTAACAGAATACTAGCGTGAAACAACAGAATAATGTTGTGATCCTGTGGGAGCCCTTTTAATGGTAATAAGGTTACATCTTAGTCCTCAGGGTTGACAGCATATCTGCAATTTGATTCTTAATCGAGAATAAATGTGGATGTCTATGGGCCACAGCATTCACTTACCCTCTGGTGGACTGTGTAATCGGTTTTTACCTTTATTCTATAAGAAAAAATATTGTCTGGGTTTTTTACATGGGGCAGATTTTTCTGTCATTAGACTTTTATACGAAAAAAAAGTATAAAAAATTAACGGGTTATACTTATTAATCCAGGTTTGCAGTAAAAAGCGCTTTAGCGACAGCAGTCAGCGCTTCCCTGGATGAATGTCTGCATGATCTTACTGAACTAGAAAGCAGAATCGATAATATGTTACAGCCGACTGAATCGTTACGTACGCCTCAATTCAACAAGGTAATTGCTTAAAATTTATTGTAACAATAATAATCATGACCGAAATTATCCCTGTAGTCGTTTCTGCGTACTGGCTAATCTCGGTCAGCTTTTCGGGACATCTGAGATCACAGGCCTCCTCTCATTTCTAAGAGAGTTATTAGGGCAAGCATGTGTATTGTGAAAACCTTGCCCTTTGTAATATTTCGCATACAGACTCTCACTTACTTCTTCCTAGCCTTCCTCATTTCAATCCGACCCTACTTATAATGACGGTTACGTACGTATGAAACGTACTATTAAGTGTCGGTAGAATGCGGTTTATGAGGTTAACTGCTTGCCTATTTCCTGTACTGATTGGTGACATATGTATTTCTTTAATATTATTTCCTCCACTTTCTTATCTATAACACACGTTTCCGCCATGTTTCCCCAATGTAATGGCGGTTTTCACATGTCTTTGAAATATTTTGCTATAATTTCTATAGGTTTCCTCACGATATTTCCTTCATTGTAGAGTACGTAGTTAATCAATACTTATTTATTTAAAAATGCCTTTATTGCTAGCGGGGATCAAGCCCGGGTGATATTTTAATATTAATTTACTGCTACTATTAATACCTACTTATAATGATGGTTACGTACGTATGAAACGTTACATCTGTGAATACACCTGTGATCTCGCGCCGAACTATTAAGTGTCGGTAGAATGCGGTTTATGAGGTTAACTGCTTGCCTATTTCCTGTACTGATTGGTGACATATGTATTTCTTAATATTATTTCCCTCACTTTCTTATCTATAACACACGTTTCCGCCATGTTTCCCCAATGTAATGGCGGGTTTCACATGTCTTTGAAATATTTTGCTATAATTTCTATAGGTTTCCTCACGATATTTCCTTCATTGTAGAGTACGTAGTTAATCAATACTTATTTATTTAAAAATGCCTTTATTGCTAGCGGGGATCAAGCCCAGGTGATATTTTAATATTAATTTACTGCTACACGAAAAAGAACAAGTATAAAATACTAATTGAATCATAAATTACAATATCGTATCAGAAGCTGTTAAGTTTTGTTACTGTTACAGTTTTAGTTTACATAACATTACAAATGGAGTTTTATAACAGGAGGGTAGTTCGACTATTGCGGCCTTATGCTGCGTGGCTGCATCTCCTCGCAGTTCAGCGACGACGCTGACGCCAGCTCTTATTACATACGTCACGGAAATGCGGATGCGGACGAATCTGAACGATCCACAGGAGAAACACAAGTACGTACTAATTGTAAGGCGCGGAAGTGGTTCAGGCACGTAGCATGGCAGGTGCCAGTGGTCATGGAAATTAAATCCCCCATTATTTTCATTAGTGCCAGTAAAATTTGAAAATTTATGCCTTGCTGAATACTTTTGATAACAATATTACGAACGTATAAAGATAAGTTGCACACACGTACCAGCCAAGTGTAGGGAATACAAACGACAAATTAGACTTTTTAAGATACCTATTTCTATAATTGCAGGTGTGGGGCTTATAGTCTTAGTTCAAGTTTTACAGAAATTTATGACTTTTTAACTTTTGTAAATTACAATGTTCGCATATCGTTATACATTACCGAACGAAGTTATCTTTTTATAATAAACTTGCCGGCCCGGCAGACGTTGTTCTGTCCGTTACGGCCGGTGGCGTGATGACTTTGAGTACAATTTTTCGAACGCAACCCCACCTATTGCGTCCAGATAATGTGATTTTCTTTTTAGACACTAAATAAACTTTTGTGAGTCATTTTGATGTATAACTTTTTTTTAAATTCTTTATTAATGAGCTTATTTACAATATGAATATGTTATGTTAATCACTTGATGTAGTCAAGTGAAAAGTGTAGGCAAGCGCCATCTATCGGATCTTAGCTATAAATCATCGTGTCGACAAAACACTATGTACAAAGTGGTGTTGTGCCTATGAGACGAAATAAATGTGTTCTTTCTTTCTTTCTTTCTTTCAAAATATATTGTGTGAATATAAATTCAAGCGGTGAGATATCTCAGGGGTTCAAACGTGGTAAAGTCATGTTGGTCGATATATTATGGTTGCAGCACGAATGGATCGGCTCGTCCGGGGAAGGACTACGCTCTCAGAATACTTAAAATAGCAGTTTAATGCTGCTGTGTTTCGTATGGTGAGTGTAGAGAACCGGAGACCTTTTAACTGAAAATGGGGCATTCCACGTTAGTCCCCAGGGATGATATCTGCATTTTGATTGATTGATTTGATAAATTGAAGAGAAATGTGTCTTCGAAAATGTCTATGGGTCACAGCATCCACTTATCATCAGGTGGACTGTGAGCTCTTTTGTCAACCGTATTCTATAAAAAAAGTTACACCATCACCAACAAAAGCAATGATTGTTGATTGATAAGTATATTATATAATTATTAGATTAATGTTTTTGAAATAGGTTGGAAAAACATCTTAAAAAGTTACTGAACTTGCTGAAGTCGCTGATGATGACAACGAGCAGGCGCACGGCTACCTGGCAGGAACAGGACGACGGTGAAGTGATGACCATCGGTAATCAAATAATTCAGGTAACGTTTCATGAGACATTAAAGTGGCGTTCAGTCATAACCCAAGCACGGCTCCGTGGCGAAATCTTAGCAGTGAGTTACGAGGCTGAAAGCCGCGAGCTTGGAACAAGTATTTGTATGCGCATGGAATAAGTATTTGGTGACCTACATGTTCCGGGCTAAAAGTTTATCCTCGTGCAATTTACGTTTGTAAAATGCCTCCATGATACAGAAGAAAACCTAGTTTAGGGGTAAAGTTTTTGACTTCCCGTTATGAAAATCCATGATTTTCAAAAAATTGGGAAGTTATTGCTATCACCTCATTTTCCTAAAATCAAGGTTTTATCAGATCTCGACGTTTTGAGGTCCTAGAAAACTATGTGTGTGAGCCTGTGTATATGATGGCGTTCAAAAGGGCTTCACCAAGCCCTTTTGAACGCCATATAGATTTTCAATACTGTTTACCGATTTGGACCGGTATATTTTGAGAAATCTCAAAAATAAAATTTTTAAAACATCAATTCCAAAATCTAATCAGAATTCCAAAATAGATTCTTGCAAACCGCTTCAAAATCGGTTAATGCGTTAAAAAATCGAATACGAATAATTTCGAAAATATTGTTTTTCCACATTACTTTTGAATAAACTAATCGATTTTTTTAATAGATTTTATTATTGTTCTTAAAATACCTCGTCAATTGCCACCCATTACATCAAAATTATTTGACCCGTTTGAAAGAAATCGTTGTCAAAAAATAATAATAAAGTATTTTTTAATAACTTCGTTTTTGATGTAATGAGTTAACTATTAGTTCGTAAAAATATTTGTTGAGTGTTTTTAGATCGAACATAGCGGGAAGTTCCAGGGATGGCCCTACAGGTCAACCATTTTTCAGGTTTTTTTTTAAATATAAATATTTTAATGTCACTATGCAACCATTAAAATAGACCAAAGATATCATTACTGAGGACTGCAATGGAATATCTCAAAGCCTGTTACTTTACAGGATTCTCCATGTTCTTTCAACCAGAATACAACATTAGATGCACTGCTGTTTGTAGATATAGGTTTTACCTGTGTTTACGAACTTCTACCGAAAAGAAGCATTATTAACTAAATTAATTAAATATATAATGTAAACAAGCAATATCTTAAACTCAAAATATAGGTTGGTAAATATGTATTTAAATCAATGTTTATGACCACGAATGTCTTCGTACATTAGCTAAAACTTGGCGAATCAATTCCCTTATATTTTATAAGAATCATCCTTTTAATATATTTGTATATCATTTTTCAATTATGACGTGGTGAATACTTTATCTGAGATGAAAATAATTTTTACGGATTCTGTCACGTTCGAGTTATTGATTTTTACGCTTATAAATTATTCTCAACATATCGAGATCTCTGCAGCATCCTGATCACGGGGGACCGAAACGCTAAGCGTTTTGATGCTATATTTAACCCGGGATACCTCCTTCTTCATTGAACTTTATGCGAAATTTGTTATTTCCAGGAGTTGGAAAATCAAGAAGATGTTGGAAGTAATAAAGAAAAGCAAGGATATAAAGTTATAGATAGTCTTGACGTAAGACGACTTCTTCTGCCACCTACAGACAAACATTTAAAAGGCAATAAAAAGTGAGTGGGTACTCATTTTTAAAGTATTAGTCTAGGAACTTCAAAATGTTGCGGGAGAACTGATTTCCTTATAACGAAGGCCAATCAAATCAGCAGTAAAATATGCGTCACTAGAACGTTCTACACCTAGTCAGTTGGGACCGGTATGTACTCGAACATTCGGGATGTTTCGGTGAAGGCGGGCCTATAAAAAGCCGGTAAGGACCGCGACCGAGGGAGTATTGAATTGGCAAAACAAGCGAATACTTCGAAGTGATATAACTGCGAATTGTGTTTTATTATTAGTGTGTTTTAAGTTGTAATTGGTGTTCGGTAATTAAAGTGTCAATTTTGGTAATTCAATTGGCAGTTATTAAGGTCACGAACCCAAAGCTCGTAACACAACTAACCGACAACCACAACTATGATGTCAACTGTACTCAAGCAGAAGCGCGTGAATTTTTACAGCTAACTTTTCTTTTGCGCAGGGCCTTGCGTCTAATTTCACAGCAGCTGTTAAGACCAGATCGCTCTTTACCTATGTATGATTTTGTACTTAAATTGTAGTGAACTCGGCACAAAATTATATCAGACTGCTTCTAAATTAAACTCGATGATGGGGACCATAATGTCCAGTATCCAAACACCTGCCACGCTGTCCAAGAGTCTCCACGCCACTGCAAATGCTGCATTAGACCTGGCGATATTAGCTCGTGGTCTCCGGAACACTGAGGTAAATTAATAAGTTATGTAAACATAAACACATATATAAAAACATTTTCCCATTTTTAAAATTATCGCAATTAGGCGAGTGGCCACGGTTACTAATTGATTGAATAATAGATTTTTTTATTGACAGGATTTTTTTAGTTAGTATGAATTTTTTTGCATCACAATAACTTTTTTTGCCCATCTCATGACCTACAGTCATGAGATCTGCTTACCATCAGGTCGACTTCTTTTAGAAAATAAATGTGACAAGCGATCTCATAGCCCTATCCTCCATCAAAATCAAAATATAGATGTTGTCACCCCTGAGGACTAAGATGGAATGCCTTGTTACCAGTACGAACAGCAGTATTGAGCTGCTATTTTACGCTGGTATTCTGTGAGAACGTGATTCTACCCCGTTCAAGTAGACCCATTCGTGCTACAACTATACTTCTAATATATATAATATGTTTGTTTAATATCTATAAGTCTATGTTTTCACATTTTTCTGACGGCTCCGTGGTGCAGTAGCTTAGTAATGAGCTGCGGCGCTGAGGATAGCGGGCTTGGATTCCACACGAAACAAGTTTTTTATTTACGTGGTAGAGCCATGCTGCAATTATATTAGTAGTATAGTTGTAGTACGAATGGGTCGGCTCGACCGGGGACGGACCGCGCTGTCACAAAATACCAGCGGAAAATATCAGCTCAACGCTGCTGTGTTTCGTATGGTGAGGGTTGAGAACCAGAGACCCTTTTTCCAGGAAATGAGGCATTCCATCTTAGTCATCACGGGTGGCAACGTATCTGCATTTTGATTCGTAATCGAGAATAGATGAACATGTCTACAGACCACGGCAACACTGACCATCGGGTGGACTGTGCGTGTTTATCACCGTTATGAAAGTGACTTTCAATAAGTATTATTTATAAACCATATTGAATAAAAAAAATCTGTTTCTGTTTCTCTTTCTATCCTATGTTTGTTAACATTTATGTATGTAAGATGATAAAAGAGAAATCAAAGTGGGGGTGGGAGTAAAGTATGTTAGTAAGGGTAACGTTTTAAAAAAATATAAATAGAATGGAATATGAATGAATCTTAATTCATAATACTTGAATGTTTTCAGAATCGCTTACAGAGCAACCAGATAGAAGAGTCAGCGAGAGAAATGTGTTTTGCCACTTTCAACCTTTTAAAAGCAGCGGAGAAAGTTGCTGGTGTGAGTATAAACTTTACTCCAAATCCTATACTCCATGGCCTAATTGTTTTTTTGTGGTAAAGTTATTTATAGAATCCATGGTATAAAAAGCATTGCTTTCACTACTTTAATAAATGTAGCCCAATTTAGTCCAGCGGATCAGTGAACTAAAGTGACAATATATAAATCATCTACTTTGAAGAACCCACAACCGATGTCAAAGAAAGGTTCTCGAGAGAACTCCTTACCGGTATCTTCCTGTTGGCCGTTTGAAAAGTCTCTCAGCATGATATGGAGGGGGAGAAAGGTTCCCGAGTGGCAGCCTCGTACCTGTAAAAAAAGTGTGGGGCGCCCTCCCACCCCACCCCACCCCACTAGATGGAGTACATTTGGTAAGACATGCAGAAAGTCGATGGATGCAGTTAGCTCAGGACAGTGTGCCGTGTGTCGCACTTGCGGGTGACCTATGTTCGGCAGTTGACTTGTGAAGGGCTGTGATGAAGGTGATGATGATAAAATGTGTAGATTTTATCATTATCATGTTTTAATATACGTTTGTTTCATTTAGGAGCCGGATCGTCCAAATTCAAGATGGCGACTTTTTGATGCTTGCCGATCTCTGAATGACTCCATAAATAAATTAGTAAGTATTACTTATATAGGCACCAATGTTTAAATACATACCTCTCTGTAATAAAATTCCTAATTTATCTTCTAGATTAGAGCTACAGATTCTAGGCGAGAAGATAACGAAGTGATACGTAGTTTGCAGCTTCAGCTGAATTTCCTCCAAAGTCTGCAGCCGACGTGTGCCTTGAACTATGAGGAATGCGTTGAAGCTTTGCAGAATCAAAGTGATGTCATATGTAAGATATTTTGTTTTCCATATCTTTCTTTGCTGACGACACTCTGTGACCATCTGTGGTAAATATGTGGTGTGACCCGTGAGGACTGGACGCTGTGTGGTCTATCTAATGTTGTGGAATGCCAATGTGGTATAAGTAGAATATATTGTGTACTCGCTTACGATAGCTCAGGCCCCCGTTAGAGGCTGATTTAATTTAAATAGGTACTTAAAAGAAGGGCCATCGAGTATTTGCGTGTTCATGACCTTACCTGTATTATCGCCTGCGAATCAGTGAAAGTTAAGCGATCCTCACTCCAAGAGCTGCGATGCGGTCGCCTATGGTTTCCAGGCACAGTCACCAGGATACTGCGGATAATTCTTGCGCGCGCTTATTAAGCACACAGTCTAGCAGTTTTGTAGGTTCATTGGTACACCGTTTTATTTACACATGTGTGGGATGCAAAAGGAGCAATGCATCCCTTAAAAGATGATGAAAAATTAGAAGCTTATCACTGTTCCCGTTCACCGTCAGACCCCACAATCTCCTTCGTAGTTATTTTTATATAAATCATTCAAGTAGGAGCCCCGTGGAGCCAGCGGTGCTCCGTCGACGGGGCTTCCCTCGACTGCGCAACGTAAAGTGGATCTCATTTTGAGGTTATGTTTTCGTAATATTATTGACTATAAACCTGATTAAGGGGGGGGGGAAGTTGGGGGAGGGAATTACCACGCCACTCAACGTATTACTTCGGAGTGGTTTATAAAAAATAACCATGAAGGAGAAGGCGGGATCTATTCGCTCGCTTCGCTCGCTCACTCGGCCCCGCCATCTCTTTCTAACCTAAACTGCCCGAGTTGCGATGCCCTAAGTCCCGAACTCGCTTCGCTTGATCTTACACTCAATAAAACACCAAAATATTAACTTTTATAATTTATAGCTACAAGATCATCACATTTAAAGTCATAAAACTATATGAAATCTTCAAGTGAGATATTTTCCATATTTTTTGTCATAAATCCGCTATAAAAACGAAGATTTAAAAAAATCATCGAAATTGTATGATTTTTCGATTTTCTAGAGCCAAAAACGAGGGGATCGTGAAAGTATAAAAATACTAATATTTTATAAGTGGTAGAGCTATGCTGCAGTTATATTCGTAGTATAGTTTTAACACAAATGGGTCGGCTTGACCGGGGAAGGATCACGCTCTCACAGAATAGCAGCGTAAAATAGTAGCTTAATGGTGCTGCACTCACCATACCGAAACACAGCAGCATTCAGCTGCTACTTTACGCTGGTAAGAGCGTGGTCCTACCTCAGTCGAGCCGATCTATTCGTGCTACAACTATACTATAGCTGCAGCGTGGCTCTACCACGTAAAACACTCCATGGCCCTTCTGGGTTACTTATGGGCTCCTCTCTTAAAAGGTTAAGAGTAGAAAATTTTGTCGCGCTTCCCAAATGCGTGTCGGCGGACTTCACATGTTTTGAAATATATTTTTTAATTTCTAAGACATGCAGGTTTCCTCACGATGTTTTCCTTTGGGAACACGTGGTAAATCAGCAACGTTTAGAGTAAACGATATGATTTTAGCGCCACCCATGGGAAACAATAACATTTTTCTGACAATTTCTACGACACCCACGAGACGTAATGTGATTGTGAATTCTTTTATGCTACCACCACAGGCAACAGGAAACATTACTAATATTCCCTTGTACCGCTTCTAGTCAGCTTAAAATCCTTGTATTGAGAGTGGTTCCCGACAGTAGTCGAATGGTGGATTCAAACTCACGACCATTGAGTTCGCGGTTCGGACCCTGCCATTAGACTTCTGTTGCAACATTACTGACCTTACGGTACTGATCTTACAATTTGTGATTTATATTCTTTTAATTAAATATTCACATAAATACATACTTTCAGATAAGCTTAAGAGTAGTCACGAAATGTCCCATGAAGAGGGCACAGCTACCCTCCAATACATTACGTCTACTGTTTGCAACACTTCGGAGTACGCGATGCAGTGCGCCTATCTAGTAAGATCTCAGTTTCCTTTTTCTTAACTTTTCCTGAAGATTTTTTTCGATTGGTTTCGATTTTTATAACTTTGTTCTTATGTTTATCTTCATGCCTGAAAACTTACTTGTTTTTAGTCAACTTAAAAAAGGAGGTACTTGACAATTGTATATTTTTATTTTTTGTGTGTATGTCACACGATATCATTGTCAATTTTGAACCGATTTTTTCAATAGCTTATGCTACCTATGACACGTGATCATATAAATTTTGTGAAAAAATTCCACCCCTGAAATTGCCAAAATAAGGTTCATGCCCTATTATTCGTAGTGTGGTTTTTAATGTAATTCGGGTAAAATTGAGATTGTAATATAATTAATACAAGATTGTAATATAATAATAAAATAAATTAATATAATTAATAAAAAGGCCAATAATTTTTTTATTGAAAAGTAAAAGGCGATAATGAATATTTTTTTTTGGAATGATAGCCAAACTGACTGTAAGTAGATATGCAGCCCAGGGGCACCTGTAAGAAAACTTCAGACAACGGCCACAGGTGTTACCTCCCTTGAAGACTCGGATGGAATGCCTCACAGTAATTACAATAGATTTTGAATAAAACTATTTATACAGATTTTATAGCGTTTAATAACTTATTTTTAACCTATTTTTAATGCCCGACGTTTCGGGTGCTTTACAGCACCCTTGGTCACGGGATGACTGAAATGTCTGACGTCCCAATGTCATAGTTAGCCCGGCACCTTCACTTTTTGTGTATTAATTTTTGTTCCAATCTACACAGAACGAGCGTAAAACCCACCAGTGGATTCACTGCTTGGCAGCAAAATAGGTGAAAGTTAAGCATTGGTGGTGTTAGTAAATAAAAAACTGAAGTGGACTGTATAATAATTATTACCCAAAACTGTACAAAGTCTGATAGAAGGTAAACTATAGGTGGCCCATACTGAATCAGCGGTGATGGCGGTCAGCTGGTGGAGCGTTGCCGTTTATCATCGTTTCGCACCTCACATTGGCATTAAACCAGACGAACTACTAGGCAGAGAAGAAATAAATAAAAAGACCAACAAATGAAAAGACTCATTTGTAAAGACTATTATTAAACCACAAAATTATTACTAACCTTCCTTATAGAGGACCAGCTCTTTTTTTAAATTACCTCCAGTGTGCAGTACGTTAGCAATAGTTTTACATATTCCAAAAAGTTGTACTTTGTATCAACTTTACATGTTGTTTATTTTTTATTTTCTAGATTTCAATATGCGATAAGTACAAGATTATGGCCAAAGATGGACTGTTTGATGTAACAGGACTCCAAAAACTTATGACGTCCATACAAGATAATTGCGTAAGAATAATCTGCTTGGGAAACATTAGCCAGGTAATGCAATTAATTTACGGAATCCTAAACAGATTTTTTTCATAATGATGTGGTGATGTGTTTTGTGCTGCTAAAGGCTAAAGAAATCGTATTGATGACAGTTTTGTTCATTATCATTATAAATTTCTACTGAATTAATGAAAAATATGTTTGAACGGCGACATTTTTGATTGCAAGTTTATTAAGGAAACTGTTTTATCGTTTCAGGCTAAGGATTTTGAATCAGAATTAAAAGAAAAAGGACGCCAACTACAAGATGCAATTAATGAATCAAAAGGAAAAATTGAAGATATAACTGTTGAGAAGGAAATTACTGAAATAACTACCGGAATAAATACTGCTATAGAGGAATTTAAAAAATTGGTACACGTACCTAATACTAATATGGTAAGTGAAAATTAATTCAAAAAGATTTAATTATGTTAAAGCACTTTCTTTAGTACTTTTTTTAATTTCTTTAGTACCGCCATACCGTGTAGTATCCACTACGAGGGCGGCACTGAAAATTTCGGGAATCAAGGAAGTGACACAACATTACTATTTAAAAATGTATTTATTGCTTTTCGAAGTATTCTCCGCGAAATTTGACACATTTTTCCATACGATGGAACCAATTATTGAAGCAACCATTCCATGGAAGTTGAGGCTTCTTCAGGTGATGAAAATCTCTGTCCACGCAATTTATTCTTTATTTTAGGGAAAGTATAGAAATCATTAGGGCTTAGGTCGGGGCTGCACGGCGGATGGTCAAATAATTCTATGTTTTCTTGCTCTAAAAACTCTTTTGTTCTGTGTGCGGTGCGAGAACTCGCATTGTCGTGATGGAGGATGATGCGGCGGTTGCAGTTCTCTTTACGGAGTTCAGAAACGACCTGTGGCAAACAAATGCTAGCATACCATTCTGCATTAACCGTTCTTTGTCCCTCAAGAGGAATAGTCGTAACATGGCCGGTTTTGGAGACAAACGTGGCCACCATTTTTTTTGCAACACTCCGTGAACGATCAATTTTTGTTGGCCTTAACTCATTTTCGAACACCCAAACTCGTAACTGGTTTTTTGTTTCGGGTTCGTACGCGTATATCCAGGATTACCTGATACGATGCTGTAAGCAGCATTTGAGGATCCTGCGTGGAATCTTTCGAGAGTTCTGACGCACCAAGTAACGCGAGTCGCTTTTTGCTTTTCACAGAGCAATGCGCTATCATCGGGAAAACACCTTTTTTACACCTAATTATTCATGCAAGATTATTTGTATTTGAATCATGCCAATGTCTAAAGTTGACTGAATTTCGCGGTATGTCACATGTCGATCTTCCTCAATCAGCTTACGAACAGCATCAACGTTCTCTTGGGTGACTGCAGTTTTTGGACGACCTTGACGGGGATCATCACTGAGCACATGTCCACGTTGAAATTCAGCAAACCAGCGATAAATTGTGGTTTTGGATGGGGCTTCATCACCAAATACAGAAATCATCCGGTCAACACACTGTTTTTGTGTTAAACCACTTCGAAATTAATAATAAATCATCGCTCTTAAATTTTCTCGAGTCAATTCCATTTTCTCAACGACTAAACAAGTTTGATAAAACCTTGTGACAAGACCGATAATCTTTTTTTTAAATAAATAAATGGTATTCGGTTTTTAAAACCAAGGAGTTTTCAATTAAAAAGATTTTAATATGACAGGAACTGTGGAAATATTCCATTCCCGATACTTTTAGTGCAGCCTGTGTACCCCAGATCATCACTTGGGCGTCGTAAGAGGCGAGAGAGGGAAGCAAATCGGGAGATGGGCAGCAGTGTTTCCTAATAACAACTAAAAATAAAATACTATGGTTGATAACCCGCTTGCCAAGCGTGGCAACTATGGCAAATACCCCCCCGATGACGAAATCTATGGCGGAGGTCTATGTTCAGAGATAGACTTCAATAGGTTGTAACAGCAACGGTAAAGAACTTCCTTTAGTACATTATTTATTCGCTCTATTTAGTCTCGCGGTGTCGGCGGACTAATAAAACCATAATAAAGGTAACAAACAAGCACACAGTCCACCCGATGGTAAGTGGGTGATGTGGCCCATAGACATCTACATTTAACTTCGATTAAGAATCAAAACGCAGATGCGTTGTCACACCTGAGGACTAAGATAGAATGCCTTCTTTCAAGTGAAAAATGGTTTCCGAATCACTATAGACACCATACGAAACACAACAGTATTAAGTTGGTATTTTACTCTAGTATTCTGTGACAGCACCGTTCTACCCCAGTCGATCTGACCCATGCGTGATACAATCATAATCTATATTATTGCTACTATCTATATTACAGCTATCTGCAGCACGCTGCTATAACAAGAAAGAAAGTACTAATGTCCCGCAATCAAGTGAAGATCACCCTTTACTCTTAGTTCTGCATTCATTATTCGTTTTATATCCTTATCATTTCTTCTATTCTTGTGATTATATTGCACAAAAGTTAGGATGTGTCATAAAGGCACATATGACCAAAGATTTTTGTGTATACTACTAGACGGATTTAATACACTGCGCACTAAGTTCTGGTCAATTCTCCGTAACTCATTTAGCCGAATGCGAGCAGGCGAGAAGCTTAGTTCTTTGTTTTGGAAATTGAACACTCATCATTATCATCATCATTACAGCCCTTCACAAGTCCACTGCTGAACATAGGCCTCCCCCAAGTAATGCCACAAAGCACGGTCCTGAGCCACCTACATCCATCGACTTCCTGCATGTCTTACCAGGTCGTCACTCCATCTAGTGGGGGGTCGCCCTACACTACGCCTACCGGTACGAGGCTGCCACTCTAGTACCTTTCTTCCCCATCGGTTATCAGTTCTTCGAGCTATATGGCCGGCCCATTGCCACTTCAGCTTACTAATCCGTTGGGCTATGTCGGTCACTCTGGTTTTACTGCGGATATCCTCATTTCTGAGTCTATCACGCAGAGAAACTCCGAGCATAACCCTCTCCATAGCTCGCTGAGCGACCTTGAGCGTCCTCATACGGCCAGCAGTGAAGAACTACGTCTCTGATCCGTAAGTCATCACTGGCAACACGCACTGGTTGTACAATCTAGTTTTCAGAGATTGAGGTATACCTGACGAGAAGATGTGTCGTAATTTCCCGAACGCTGCCCAGCCGAGTTGAATCCGTCGATTGACCTCTCGGTCGAAGTTGGACTTACCTAGTCGGACTATTTGTCCCAGGTAAACGTACTCGTCAACAATTCGAGCATAGTGCTCCCAAGAACTACCGGCATAGGTATGACATGGACATTAAACATGATCTTTGTTTTGTCCATGTTCATCTTAAGACCTATCCGTTGGGAGACACCATTGAGGTCATCTAGCATAGTGCTAAGGTCCTCCAGCGATTGTGCCATAAGGACTATATGGTCGGCAAATCGAAGGTGAGTGATGTACTCGTCATTGATGTTAATACCGTATCCTTTCCAGTCCAGTAGCTTGAAAACATCTTGCGGCAACGCAGCGGTGAAGAGTTTCGGGGATATAACGTCACCCTGTCTTACACCTCTCTGCAGTTGGATAGGTTTCGAACTCTGGTTCTGTACTCGGATAGCCATCGTAGCCCTACTGTACAAACACTTCAGCACTTTGATATAGCGACAGTCAACTTGGCACCGCTGAAGGGACTGTCGCACCGCCCAAATTTCGACCGAATTAAAGGCTTTCTCATAGTCCACATACGCCAGGCAAAGTGGCAGATTGTACTCTTCGGTCTTCTGTACAATCTGCCGCAGGGTATGTATGTGGTCTATGGTACTGAAGCCTTTTTGGGAAACCGGCTTGTTCGGGAGGCTGGAAGTCGTCGAGTCTGCGTGCGAGACGATTCGTAATGACTCTCGAAAACAGCACGTAGACGCGGCTCAGAAGGGAAATCGGTCTGTAGTTCTTCAAGAGAGCTTTGTTGCCTTTCTTAAAGAAAAAGACCACCGCACTTCTGCTCCACGCTTCCGGAGTAGTGCCACCTTGGAGGACGAAATTGAAGAGCTTCTGAAAGATTTCAAGTACCGGTGTTCCACCCGCTTTCAGAAGCTCCGCTGTAATTCCATCCTCGCCTGGGGCCCTGCCGTTTTTAAGGTGCTGGAGAGCCATTCTAATCTCGCTCAAACTGACGTCCGGGATATCATCGGAATAGTGTCTGGTAAGACTTGCTCTTGGATCGTTACTCACACTTGCGTGTGGCTCCAACGATGATGTGTACAGCTGCCCATAGAATCTCTCAATCTCACTCAAAATCTCAGGTGTCTCGGAAACGATGCTGCCACACTCAGTTTTCAGCTTTGACAGTTGGCTCTTTCTGACAGACAGATCTCTGGCAAAGACTTTGTTGCCCTGGTTCCGCTCGGTTGCTTCTTTAATAAGAGTAGTATTAAAGTTGTGTAAGTCTCGCCGCATGCATTTGGAGATCTGTCTGTTCAGTTGCCTGTATGCTGTCAAATCTGTTGACGATTGCAGCATCATCTCCCGTCTAGCAGCCATGAGATTAAGAGTTTGATCGGAGAGTTTTTGTGTTCTTCTGCGGCGGGTCTTGCAGAACTTGGCTCCGACCGCATGGACAGTTTCTACGAGCTTGTCATTCATATCGTCCACTGCATTGCAATCTTCTAGGCACTGAAAGCGGTTACGTAACTCGAGCTGAAAATTCTCGGGATTCTGGATTAGAGCACGAGGGGGACGGAGCGTTGACTTAATTAGACGAGACCTCTTCAACTTAACGTTTAGGTTCAGTGTGCCTCTAACCATTTGGTGATCGCTGCCGGTTTTCACCCTTGCGATCACTGAGACATCACTGAACAGTTGGCGTCCGGTCGTCATAATGAAGTCAATCTCATTTTTTGTCGAACCGTCGGGGCTCGACCAGGTCCACTTCCTTTGGGGCCGCTTCTGGAAGAAAGAGTTCATCATAAAGAGTCCCTTCTTTCAGCGAATACCGTTTGGTGATTCTGAGTATCAGGTACGCGACCGTCGTCGACACACTCCCAATCTTTACAACGTTGTTGACGAGAGACTTGCGGACGATAAATCCGACACCTTGGGACGGAAGGTCGCCCTCCCGGTGATAGAACAAGTTGCCTGACTAGAGACCTCAGATAATCCAATAATATACCAGCGCAACTTTTCTACCTCTTCTTCCAGCTCCAGTATCTTCTCGTCAGTCCTCAGGGTGCGTGCGTTATATGTTGCCAGGTCGAGTCGTCGTAGGTGGCAACTGAACCTCCACCGGAGATTCTTAGCACCCCCTGCCCCGCCGTTACCATGGTCGCCACCGTAGCCAGGAATAGCGGGGCCGCCGGGGACTGGGGGCCTTTAATTTGCGTCGTTACTCATGGGGGGATATT